TTATTGCGTTTTTAGATAGGAAGAGTCCTTTTGCCAAATTTAGTACTGTAGAGAAAGTTTTCGCAGGTTAAAAAAACAAAAATTCTAAAACTGTAATATGAGTTTGTTCAAATAAATCTGTGCCTCCTCTCAAAGCAAATTTTTGTTGTTAAGAAGCTCATAATTATTTGAACAATCTAATATTTTTAAAATCAAAAACTGCAGAAATTTTCTTTACAACTAAGTTTCAAATTGCACTTTTGCAACATATAAATCATACTGAACAGATACGATGAGGTCATGTTCATTCCCCCTGGGATTTCCAACACGTGATGCAGAAACATTCTTTCCACGATTCCTTGCTCTCTCGAACAGTTCAACATCATGAATAATATATGTTATAGTACGTGTAAAACACTTTATAAAAAGCTATGGTAATTGAAAATGAACTTAAAAGGAAAATATTAGAAAGAAATATCGTCTACAAATGTTGCGGTACCATTTTGGTTCTGTTTTTTAAAATTAAAATAGAAAAAGTCGACTATAGAGTACCAAATGTTCTGACCAGCTTCAATTTTAAGATTGTACGGTGCAGAGTCAAAATTATTTTTAAAAACAGTTATAACATACTTGACATAAAAGTTACAGTACCTCAGCAGGCCTATAGCACTAAAAAATAAAAGTACAAAACACGTTACAGTAAAATTTTAAAACATTTTAAGCGATCAAACATCAGTATTCATTTCGCAGTAAAAATAAATTAAGCTGGCCACGTAATACCCATTATCAAATTACTTTACAATGTTTCTGTTGCTAATAATAATGTTTTTACAGCGACAAACAATAACTATTCATGGATAACATTCCCACGCCCATTACACGTTTAATACCTATTTTTTCAACTGTTTTATCGCCATTTTTTAATTTATTACCTACTAGTTTAAAAATTTTAAAAACTTAAAATTGTCGTCATTAGTTACAGTTTTGAGTGTCATACAGGGTGGTGTGTTGCAAACGTCACAAAACTTTGGAAGCGTTAAAACAATCATTACTTGCCGAATGGGACAAACTTACGCCTTAGGACCCGCGGCCCATCGCTGAAAACTTTGTGAAGCGTTTACGCCTCTGCGTGTCGGCAAAGGAAGACCACTTCGAAACCGCTTGACTATGGTATAACTAGTACTATATGTTACTATTGTTAGTTGTTGTTTTAAGTATATTCATTGTTTAATATATATATCCCTAAAATAATGAGTCCGGGGACTTTTTACGCACCCTGTATTGTAACAAAAACTGTAAAATAATTTTTTGTAACAAATTAAAATTCTTTTGTGTCTTCGTAGTACTCCTGGTACCTTTTATTATTAACTTAGTACGTGTTAGTATTGTATTTAAAAATGAAATTCAAATTGAGCATCGCAACAAGACATTTTTCACTTTATAACTATTATATTACAGTAGCTCCGGCATCCCTCCCCCCTCTACAAATCTTCCAAAAATAAGTTTTTTTTGGCAAAAAAAATGCAAAATTGGAGAGCAAAAAGACCGAAAATGGCTATAAATAAACCCACTAACTGCGACAAACTTTTCCAAAGTTCAAATCCAAAAAAAAATTTGCAAAAAAAACTGTTTTTTGGAAAAAATACTGCAAAAACTTTCTTTACAGTACAGTGAACCCCACTTTTATTGTACGGTAAAGAAAAGCTGACCCTCGATACTGTGGCATCTTCTTCATAATGGCAGTTTCTGATTGTCTTTGTAATATTGGGTTGTTCAAATAATTCTGTGCTCCCGTAACTTTAAAAATTTGCTTTAAGAAGGAGCATGGAATTAGATGAACAGGTTAATAGAACTCCTTAATTATAAAGACAGGTTTGGACCAGTCCCTTGAGTATCATACTCAAGACGTTTGACTGTATCTTTTTTTAAAAATGTAGCCAAAATAGAAACGCAGAAACGTTTTTTACAAATCAAAAACAAAATAAAACAAATTTTGAGTTTTTTACGAAAAAACTTTGTTTACACCATAACTATCGCTAGTAAACCACGATAAAACTTTTGTTACAAGCATAAAGCGACAAAAATAGTATTTCCTATGTAAAATACGTTGAGCCAAACGTGCTTTTGATTATTACTGTAACCAGACCACCTTCAATGACCTATAAATAACTTTGGCATTAAAAAGTTGTACCGGAATGAGTGGGAGAAACGTTTTCAATGCTCACAGACCGTGAAGTCGTCGCTGTCTCAAATCTTTGGCTTTTTTCCAATAAAAAATGTTTTTAAAACAAGCCTAAAGCCTCTACGACACTTTTTAAAATTAATATTTAAGTTACTGTAACATAAAAATCAGCTTTAAGCTATGCTTTTTAGAATAACGAAAACTTTCTTTCCAAAACATAAAACGGCAAGAACTTTCTGCACAGAACGCAAAATAGCGAAAGCTTTCTTTACAAAACAAAAACTGCCAACAACTTTGTTTACAATATTTAAAATGCTTTTCAGCGTATAACTTGTCACCCGCGAGTTACACAATGTGGAATTTGGTTGCAATCAGTAAGTAGTTGGAGCTAAAGCTGTAAACAAAGTTATTGCGGTTTTTCCGTAACTTTATCTAAAAACTGCTTTGTAAAGAAAGTTTTTTCGCATTTAAAAATAACAAAAGATTAAAAACTGTGTTTCGTACTAAAAACTAATTCGAGTACCATTACTGTGAAACTAATTCGCTTTTCGGAATTGAAACGTTTCCCCTGAGGGCAAGAGCGAGTGTTGCCACTTTTCTGACATTCGAAACAGAAAAAGTGCACAAAACACTAAATAGGAGGTGTTATTGTGAAAAGGGGGTGGACGGTAAACAAATTAAAAGATTTTTAACTTCAAATCGCTTAAAAATACATCAAAGTTAATATTTTAACAATTTTAAATCATTGCACCGTGCATAAGTAAAGTTTCATTGTTTTGCACCGTGCAGTTAATTCACCTCTTGCACTGTGCAACCATTTCAATTTTCACCGTGCAAAGCCAAAGAAGGTTGATTGCACAGTGCAATGAAGCAAGACAATTCTGCCTGCACAGTGCACTCCCATTCAATTCAATGCACTGTGCAAGCTTTTGTCATGTCATTTCAAAAACAAAATCTGCAATGTGCAGTTCGCCCTTCAAAAAAGTGCACAGTGCAATCCCTTGCGACATTCAAAACAAACAAAATTCCAAGCGACACGACAAGAAGTGTCGCAACTTTGGAACTTCAGAAGAGGTTCTGCGACAAGAATTGAAAGACCTTATGCGACAAGAGCAACAAAAGCTGAGAAAGTCTGCTGCAACAAATTGAAAGCAGCGACACAATGAATGTTTTTCAATTTATCGCAGAAAAAATTGAAACAGTCAAAAGCTGCGACAAGATTCAAAGCTGCGACAAAATGCGAAATTCTTCGAACTGTCGCAGGCTTGCTGTGCACTCCTGTCGCCGAATAACGCTAAACCTCGTGTCGAACTTGTCGCAGAACCCAGCAAACCAATTGTCGCGACATAATCTCTTGTTTTTTGTTTGTCGCCAAAAACCCAAAGGCAAATTGTCGCAAGATCAATTTTTCTTCTGCACGGTGCATCCAACTTTCATTCATCGTCGCGATAGTTTGGGCGGCAAATGAAGCGACAAACTGCACAGTGCAATCAAATTTCCAAACAAAAAAAGATTTGAAAGAAGTCTGCACAGTGCAGTCCCTTGCTTCTTGCACCGTGCCATGAAATAAACGTCTGCACGGTGCAAAATCATTTAAAGACTGCACAGTGCAAAAAAATAAAATCACTGCACAGTGCAAATCTAATTTTTTGCACGGTGCATTCTAGTTTATTTGCGATTTTAAAATTAACTAAACCATTAAATTTACGACAAAAGGTGATAATAACATTAGATACTAATCGGAGACAGCATTAATACCCAGACTGTGCTCTTTTTTGTCGCGGAAATGCACTAAAAATAGAAAAAAATTGTAAAATTTGAATTGGCGACAAAATACAGTAAACAATGTCATTTCTCGACAAAACAACATTCTTTGTACTTTGTAGCGTCAAATTAGCATAAATTGCGACAAAATAATTTTTTTCTTCGAATTTCAAAATCCATGCTTAAAAACGCAAGAACTTTCTTTACAAATCTAAAAATATTTGAAATATGACACTTCTAGTTGAAATGATGACAAAAAGGTCAAGAGCCAAAGCGACAAATGTAAATGAACGTCGTATACGTGAACATAGCCAAAAGCGTTTAAATTTAAACTTTTTTAAAATTTAAATCTTCGAAATATGCAAAACTCCCACATAACGACGCCTCAGGGTATGGAACTTAAATTATATTTACTGTAACTGGGTGCAAAAGCGTACTGTAAAGAAAATTTTTGCAATTTTAAAACTTTATTGGTGGTCGGTCAAAAAGTTCTTGGAAGGTTGAATATTGGTCCAAAAATTCGTAGACATTGACTTTTAAATCAAAAATGTCATAGATCATAACATAAAGGTCAAAAAGAGAATAGGAAAATCTCCGTCATTTTCTATCGAAAAACCGCAATAACTTTCTTTCCACAACAAAACAACAAAAAATTTAGAAAAATTAAAATCTCGGAAATGACAAAATTTGGTTTACAGAAAACGTCACCGTACCTGATTACCGTCCCCCCTCCATAGCTTCTGTACTTTTGTTTTTACCGCCAAAATGTCAAAATAAATTAACGGCTGAAATTTCCCCTGAGGCATCAAACAAAAAAACTGTTTTCAGCCGACGTCTTAATTAAGCCCTGAGCCGGACTAATTCACAACAAAAGTTACTATTGTAAACACGTTTGGGCTCGCAGTAAAACGTGGTTTAAATTTTAAAATTTGAATTTTTAAAATTTTAAAATTTAAAAACTGAAATTTAATTCTTTTTGAATTTTCAAAAAGCGGCAAGAATTTATTTTCAAACATTCTTTTAGAGAATTTGCAGTGGCAGTAATACGTTGTTATCATGGTATGATAATGCTTGATTAGGAGTTTCTGCGGATAAATGTCGCGCGTTCCTGAAAATTTAAAAAATTTAAATTTTTTTAAAATTTAGTCCTATACCCGCCCAAAAATTTTGTTAAAAATATTTTATTGTACCCCTCTACCACCTTATACAAAGATCTACCCCGCCCTACGAGATCTACCCCGCCCTACCTCTCCCTCCTTATTGTAAAGCATAGTCTGAGCGGAACTGCCATGCCCAAAGCTGGCAATGTCTTCAGCTTCCAACTGATCCGGAGGAGAGTTGACTCCTTTTCCTTTCGCGACAACTTTCACACTCTTTCCGGGTCTCAGCACGAATTTCTTGGGGAAAGTGTACACAACTTCAGCACCTCCATCCAGCGACCGTCGCAACTTCCAATCGCCCAACTTCTCTTCCTTCGAGCGATGAGTGTTGTTTAGGATGACATAATTGCCCTCTGGCGACACTTCCTGGATCGAGACATTGCCTTTGGCACTTCGCTGATAAGAATGCCGTGTCGCGTCCACCCGGCTGTCAGTAAGGGCTTCCACGTGGAAGCCGTTGTCCTTCTTGGTCATGGCTTGATCGACCAGTTGGCGAAGGCCGGGGCGACTGTCTTCGCCGTCCAACATCTGGCGATACATCTTGATCTCGTTGTCCAGGGTCTGAAAGTTTAGGGATAACATTGAGAAAGGATCTTTTCACAAAAAATTGAAAAATAAAACCAAATTTGAATTTAAAAAACTAAAATTTAAAAGAATTTAACTAAGAAGTACCTGTTTTGTATCGAGGAGCATCTGAAGCTCCACCATCAGGTTCTGGCACTCATCCCTGACTCTTCGAATCTGGTTATCTTTGTCGGTTAACGCGTTTTCATAACTACGTTGATCATCTTCCAGTTGGTAGTTCAGTTCCTGGATTTGCTTCTCTAGCATGCCATTCTAAAACGGGGCACATCATTATTTACAAAACATACGAGTCAACTTTATAAAATTACTATTATATTATGTTACAGTACACCAAAACAACTCGCCTTGCTCTCCAAATCGGCCAGTTTTCCTCTGAGATCGGTCAATTGTACCCTCAGGCGTTTGACTTCCTCTTTAGCATAACCTTGCTCAATATTCTGACGAGCTGATTGAGTTTGGATCTCTTGTACCTTCAGACGATACCATGACTCCATATCAGTTCGATTCAGGTTGGTGATCTGTAAAAATAGTTATTTTATATTTAATTGTTAAATTATTTTACATTTGAAGTATAACATACAACAGCAGCGACATAATGTTACATTTTTCGTTAGCTTGTAAAGTTCATCATCTAAAACAATATCTAAGCAAGATAAATCTAAAATATTAGACTTGTATAACTATGATATACTGCTTGTAACATACGCACATTGGCAAACTTCTTGACAAAAGAATTAAAAAAAGTTATACCTGATCATAATCTTGGCGAATGTCACAAATAGCAGAGGACAACTCATTCTTGAAGTATTCTCGGTTCTCTGGAGTTGTATCTCGAGCTGCTTCCAGTTGAAGCTCACGAATTTCTTGATCGTGAACTCGACGAAGGAACTCGATCTCTTCGAGCAGAGTTTGAACTTCATTTTGCTTGTCAATGCGGTTCAATGTCTCTTGATCTAGCTCCTAAAACAATATTTTACTTAAAGGTGAGCTTAAATATATTATATATTGTGTTTTTTAATTGTATTACATTTTAACTCCTTTCTAGCCATTTTAAATATAAAAATAGGTTAAACAACAACTTTTCAGCCAGAAAAACCAATGAAACTTTGACCTTGTTTTATATCAAAATTTCCACTCACAGTTCTATATTGCTGTAGATCAAGGACTAGTTGATGGTTTTCAGCCTTCATTCGCTTGGTTTCATCTTCAAGACTTGAGATTTTACGTTGGAAATATTGAATTTCAGCTTCGAGATTGGATAAAGTTGTCAGGATCTCATTCAAACGATCTTTTTCAGCTGATCTTTCACGTGTCGCATCTGCGTATCTAAAAAAATATAAGAAAACGCTAGTCCGCATGTCGCATTTTACATTTAAAAATTTTGGCATTGCAATGCGCATTGTAAACAATATTTTTGGACACAGTTTGCTTTTTTCCGTGCAGCCTGCATGATTTTTTAAACTTTCCTCGCGAGTCGCGGCACAAAATTTGATTTTAAAACTGAATTTTTTGAAAATATAACTTATCAAAGTAAAAAACTAAATTTGATCTTACTTTTGCTTGTAGTTGTTAACTTCAGCTAACAACTCCTTCAGCTCTTTTTTTAGGGCATCCTTTTGTTTTGTGGTCTCATCGATCAGCTTGTGAGCTTCCTAAAATACGTTGGATATCAAATTTCACAATAAGTTGTTCGGCTAGGTATATCGTTGATAATGTTTAAAAATTCTCTTCTTTTTCTGATTGATAAAGTTAACAATCGACCTTTTATTGTAAACTTAGAATTCATGTTTCTTTTTATCATAATTCATTTATATACCACAGTACGTTACCTTGAGTTCGCTTTCGTACATCTGTTTGACGTTATGAGTGTCTTTGCCCCATTTATTCCTTAGCGATTCCAAATCCGCGCCGATTTTTCGATTCTGGGCCTCCAGAAAGCGGACCTTCTCGATGTAGCTGGCCAGCTTGTCGTTCAAATCACTCATCTCCTTTTTCTCTCTTTCTCTGCTGTCTCTCACGGCCGTCGCGGCACTTTGGCCGAAGGGAGAGGTGCCACCGCTCATGTAGGTTCCAGACTGACCCATCTCGGTCACGATCTTCAGAGAACGCGATCCACTTCCTAAATTAAGGTGGTTTAAAGTAAAATACGTCTTTTTAAGTTATTTATTAAATATCTAGCTATTCTAAAGTATTTTTTTATAAACTTTACTTTTTCTGACATCATGTTCAACTACTCTATCGCTCTGTCGACGTCTCATTTTCAAGTTATATCAATATTAGAGACGTTTTTAAGTTGCAAAAGTAAATCTTCTAGTTATGTTACAGTAAGCCAAATATTCATAAAAGTATGTAGTTACTAAGCTTGGTAAAATACCTCTATAAACGACAATACAAAACCTATAACATAGGCTTTTAAAGCTTCTGTATGATGATTTATAACCGCGCAATGTTTAAAAAAACCGTCTAAATTACTGTGCAGCTAAACGGTCCGTTGCGAATTTATAAAATACTTTTGCTACAGCTACAGTAAGTTATTTATCGTAAAGGGTTTTGCTTTACAAATCGTAAACTTTTACTATGATCACTCATGTTCAGTACTTAACGCCTACCCTTGATGATACTCTTTAAACACTTGTTGATACTCTTAAAACCCTTGATGATATCTTTAAAAATCAAAATAAAACCAAAAATCAACTTTTCCTATTATAACTTACGACTTTTGACAACCGGCTCTTTCGGCTTTTTCCGAAACATGCCAAACATGGCTGACAGAACTATATTTGCAAAACAAGCAAAGTAGAAAGTAAATATTAGAGAGCGCGTTTTTTGTAAAAATCCCGAAAAAGGTCATCCGGCTTTGGAGTTTACCATTCAACCGTTTCAGCGTGCGAGCAGACTTACAATTGTGTTTGTCAACAATGGTCGAGTTAATTTTGGCATTTTGGCAACCTAATCTTGGAATATTTTTTTGAAATTCAAGTTTTTAGTAAAACAAGGTTTGTACTTATCACTTTGACGGTAATGAGACGACAAGACTGTGGTGGAGGTTTTAGTATAATTTTTTAACACGTAGTCTGGGCCAAAGCCTGCGAAGACTATGGTCTGGACTGTGTCTATACCCCAAAAAAATACTGGGAAGGTAAATCCTGTATTACCCTCTTTTCCAAAAAAGTAAATATCAAACTGTCACTGATAACGTGATTAATATAACAAAAGTTTGCTTACCAATAGAAGAAGTACGATGAGCCAAAGGCGGCCTGGCGAACGATAGCTCAGATGACCGGCTAAGCATTTTGACTAAAAATGACAAGAGTTACTACAATGTGGTGTTACTTGTAAGATAACAATCATAAACGTGTCAAAACAGTAAACAAAATAGTATGGTTACATTACAGTCAATAATTTTTTTAAGAAAGGCTACTGTAAAATGAAAGTTGATTGCAAGTCTAAAACAATATCAATTAAAACATATTTTTTTCAAAATACCTGAACAATATTACATTAAACAATCAAATTAAAGCCAAGTAGCACGTTTGCGCGTGTAAGCGAGAGAATGATTTTAATCTCAAGAGCGCCGGAAATCTGAAGGAAGACCCCCCTCCCTTCCCTTTGAATTTTTTTTTCAGACCAAGTGTAAATATTATAAAAATACTTTTTAAAAGCTTATAATTCTTTAAAGGCTTACGGAGGAAAAAACAAAATACGCAGCCCTGTTTCATTAAGCCTAATTACAAACAGTTTGGCTTGCGAGGGGACCAAAGGGCTTGGGTATGCAAATAATAAGGTACAAAGTTTTTTAGCAGCGTAGCATTATAGTTATGGGTATATACGAATATTATAAGTATAGTAATATACAAATTACAAGCATGTTAATATAGGTTTTACTAACGAAATATAAGTGAAATTTTAAACAAAAAATTTTTTTTTGCAAATTTTAAAAACTTTCCCTCAAAATTCCTACTACCAACCATATCCACAGTAAATATCCGTCTAAAAACAAGCTTAACATCCCCACCTATATTCGACATCCCCACAAATATTATAATATGCTGTGATTCATTGCGAACACAAAGCCAAACCATACTAAACCCCCAAAAATCTGATCGGAACACCCAGTTTTCAAATGTTTTTATGGATAAATGCCTTTATTTACAACACAACAACAATCGCGTTTCTTCAGTAAATCGCCTCCAATTTTTGGTGAGGCGAGGTAACAACGAGGCAAATCACACAGAATCCGGTTCCAATTTTGATGACAAACTGATCCCTTAATCGGACGTTGCCTATGTTTTTGTTTGTGTTTTTCGGTAAAAGGGTATTGCAATAGCAATGTTTTTTAAAATAGTAGGCAATTTTAGGGGTTAGAGGTATGAAAAATCGGAAAAAAATGAATTTATAATAGTCAAAGCTATAAGATCAAAACGTTTTGTCAGTACGTTGACCCCTCTCACCTAGCATTACCATCTCGTCCCAGTTTACAACTACCCTAATAAAATTGTGAGTCCTAAATCTGCTGTGCCTGGTAGCTACGTAATTTACAAAAGTAAAGACGTAAAAACACTGAGGATTTGGGAAACGAAGTTGCATTGTAAATACACCTTGTCGCTAACCTCATAAAAGTTTTATAGCGCGAAATGACCTCGGAATTCCCTCAGAAAACGAAACGATTACTGGAAACAAGTCGAGAAATGAGGTAAAAATGGCAATCTGAGCATAGAAACAAATCGCTAAACGTAAATAGAAAACAAGTATTATCTGTCATTTCTTAATGCAAAGTGATAATCGTTTAAAAATTACTGCAAAATCAGTTGCAAAACTACCATAACACGTTAACTCTATATTCCTACCTGCGAACGTTGTACTCTTAAAAACTAAAGCAGACATTATACTACAAGATCCACACCTCTAGAAGACGCTACGGTAAATTCTTGAAGCTACATCATATAACCAACGCCATTACCTCAGAGTAAATGGTTGTTGGCGACGTTTGATTGCTTATGAGTAACAAGTATTTGCTTTGGAACGATCAATTCCCACTTTTTACTAAAACAAACTATTTATCTGTTACCGACGTCTGATGGCTCATACAAACCAAACAGTTACAATATACAATAAACAAATGGTAATCAATGCAATGTATTCAGAGTTTTAATTACATTGCAATTTTATATTGTAGTAGATGATTACAGTTTTTAAGAATAGTATTATATTACAATACTATTAAAAGACAATGACATTTAACTATTTTTTAACAAAAAACAGTACAATATGACATTTGCAAGAATAACAATTACTTTTGCTAAACCAATGACTCATATTATAATGGTAGCTACTAGCTACAATAGTTTTATTTAAAAGTATCGTCGAAGTTAGAATCCACATAAAATTTGTCAGAAGCCTAAAAACTAAACAAAAACCAAAAACAACTAAAAAAGTTACGACGATTTGTTTTATGTTGTTTGATTACTAATTATCATAAGACATGGATGAGCACCCGATCAGCTCGCATTCCAGTCTTATCAGAAAGTGGTCATAAAAGTGTGAATAACCTTTTATTTGATCAAGATAGCTGTTTTTGTAGTCAAAACTTATTTATATTTTTAGTACACGTATAACTCACAAGGAAGTTTTAATATTTCATCAAGGAATGGCTAGCAACTATAATATACATATTATATAAGCAATTTATTAATTTAATAACCGTATTTATGATAAAAGTGTAATAAAGCATTTTCTTGTTGAGATGCTGACTAGTGTGATTCTACTCGTAAATCAGGAGCATTATGCGTATTCCCTTGGTAGTGTGGAGAGAGGTTAGTTACCGGCCATGAACTTTCTTGCCACTGCTCCATTAATCGATCGTCGACCGCGCAGCAAGCTACGCAACACTGAGACGCTTGGCTTTTCTAGCCTGCTTGGCAATTCAATCTGCCTTACTTCTGAAATATAAAACGTAATTTTGCATTTTTATTAAATTGTTATTATTCTTATTATATTGTAATACTACTCTGTTAAATTGTAATATATATCACAAGAAATTATTTAATTTGTTTTATGATTGTATGCATATTATATTATGGGCCCCAATTGTCTCAACATACCTTCTAGCATAACAGTACTCGTGCTGGCCGGCTCGGCGTTTTCTTTATTATCATTGATCGCCTGCTCAACCATCAACTTTTGCCTCTTTTTCTCTTCTTCTTGCTTCCTTTCCAACTTCCTCTTCTGCCTTCTTTCAAATGCTTCTTGCTGACGGTCGATCTCATCAGCCAAGAAGTTGGAAGCTCTGTAGCCGGTCATCTTTTAATAATTGAAGACTTTCTAAACAAAGACATTAACTTTGATTATTAACAAGATACAATAACAGCGATTCAAAATATTTATTTACATTAAGCACGACACTACCGTTATAATACAAAGTAAATTTTCAATAAATTGTAAAATATCTTAAAATCTATTCACACTATGATATTGCGAGTTAACTAAGATATAAGTCTATAACCAAGATATAAGCCCCAAGATATAAGTCTAAGTTATCACGCCCCCATTTGTTAAGTAAGGCCCTTCCTCCGAATCGGCAACGCACAATGTAACAGCGATATATCGCGCCAAAAAACAGAAGCCATTGTATTTTCCAAATTACATTATGTAACTTACTCTCGCGGTAATATATTGCAAGAAGTTTACAGCCTCTTCTTTGTCATGTAACACATTATTGATCAAGTATTTCGTTGATCCTATCGTTTATTTTATAAAGCTTCAAGCATGTTTATACGGCAGTCAAAACACAGTTACAGTATACCAAAATTTTAAATATTTTTACTTAAATCTATAAAAAACTCAAGTCACTAACATAAGATCAAAAAACTACAAAATTATAAAAACCAATCCAATAAGTACAAAACATGTTTATTGCACAGTAATATTCAGAACGGTGGTCGATGTTGTGCTTGTGCCATTGGCCGTCTGGAGCGTCTTTTGTCCAGAGGACCGGCTGGTCGAGGTGGAGCTGGGCATAGTAGACGAATGTTGACTGGATCACATTGGATTGGGGTTTCCACTGACATCTCGCTAATCGTGATCTTGGTCGCTTCTTTGTTCGCTTCCCTGGTAGGTCTGTACACCGATGTCACTGCTGCATAGCCTTTGGTTATTCGCTCCTTTTCGGCTTCACAAATCGCTACAACATCATCGGGCATTCGTGGGTTCTCTTGGACTGTTTTATCAGCTGCCAAACCAATTTTAACTCGCTGTAGAGCGTTGGCCTGGTCCGGACGTTCAATGGCTATCATGCACTGAAATTTTAAAGCTTTAGGTGTTAATACACATCACAAATTTTATTCTATTATAAATTGTCTCAAAAAGCGACCGTATTTTACAACTTAAATCCTTACAACTCTGTAAACATCCTCCCTCAAGCACTTGGCAATCAGATCCTTGGCTTCCTTTACAGTAGACACATATTCTCCATTCACACTCATGATGGTATCTCCAATGGTAAAACTTCTTTTTCCCAATGATTTGAAGCCGTTATCAGTACTAGATATCAACACTCTTCCTTCGTATGCCTTGATGTTTATACCAAGTGAACTAGTAGGGTATAAGGTAAGATATCCAACCAGATATACATATCCTTGACCAAATTCATAGGCTGGTGGAGCCAATTTGTAGAAAATCAACTGATCCCTTGTCACCCTGACTTTTCTCAACGTTCTTAACACAGTGTACTTTACTTCCAGCTAGAAATATGCATGTTATTCTTATCTTCGCTATTTTTACATTAGCTCATCATTACATAACCTAACCCATGACATTTACAACCACTTTTAAGCAAAATAAAGCTCCAATCACATCATAAACCAAGTGCAATATTAGAATAACAATTTAAACTTACTGTTTTTTGATTCCGAAACTGACTTTCCAACCGGCTGACCTCTTTGAGGTACTCTTTCTTATCTTTGACAATAACGTCGTTAACACAGTAGACCCAATCTCCTAGATCCAGGTGTTTCACGTCGTTCTCTTCCAGCTCACAATCTCCTTCAAATTCTGGAGGCAGTCCAACGATTTGCATGCTCTTGTATACCACAACATCTTTCTAAACTAGTCATATATTATTCTATAAAAATCGTTTATATCACAAAAATCGATTTTTTAAAAATTTTTAATTATTTTTTATTTTTCAAAAAAAATATTTACCGGTGATCCAGGCGGAAATTTGACAGTAAAATCGAACCGTCTGGTGATATTCTCCAACACATTACTCCTTCTGACCTTCGAACTTAATTCCAGAGCTTTGGGATCCGGAGGCAATAGTGGTTTCACTTCGAACTTGACCTGTTTCTCCTGCTTCTCTTCTTCCACCCTTCTTCTGGCTCTAGATGGAGTTTGCTTTGTCGCTCCTCCTGAAACAATCACTTCTTCCCCTGATCTCTGGGTTTGGGTTGTCGCTAGCGATGTTGTGGTTGTTCCCGTTGTTGTTGTAGCTGATGGGCTTAAAACCGATTGTCCTAGAGTTGTGGATTGTCCTAGTGTCGTGGATTGTCCTAGAGTGGTGGATTGACCTAAAGTTGTCGACTGTCCGAGAACAGTTGATTTCTGGCCTAATGTGGTCGATTGCTGGACCAATGCGGTCGATCTTTGACCAAGGACAGTTGATTGTTGTTGTCCTGGGACCGAAGTCTTAGTAGGTGTACCATATTGACTCTAAAAAAATTGTTTGAACTTCTTATTCTTAAAATTTTAAAAATAAATTTAAAAAAATCAAAGTTGAAGGTACAATGCCACCTCATATGTCATATCCTCAAAAACCCTACCTTATCATTAGTCTTTCTCCGCGTCTTAGGTCTGGTTCTTTTAGGTGGTTCTTCTTTGCTATTCTCCTTTGACTTTCTCTTGCGATCTTCTTCATCTTTGTCTTCTGTACTTGTCGCTTTATCTTTCGAATTCTGAGAAGACCTCTTGCCAGTATCCTTTCGTTCTTCTGGGGAGGAAGTTTCCTTTCTACGAGTCGCTGGTCTCTTCGAAGTCCTGATAGGCTTTTTGGCTGGCTTCTCTTGAACTTTTTCCTCTACTGATGCCATTTTTGATACTTTTTCTAAAAGTATTTAAATTTGGCTTAGGCATAAAATGCCGGTAAATTCAAATTTACTAAAAGACCGTATTGTATTACAGATGCCGCAGCTTTAAGCACTTCTCAATGTTATTATTGTTCTCTAACAGCTTCTTACCCTTGCTGCCCTTTTTGCTCTTCCTTTCCTCTACAGGTGCAGCCATCTTACTCTTGGTGATCTCAGCCTTTTCGTCAGTATCAGCCTTGTCCTCTGAAGTCTTCCGTCGTTTCCGTTTCTTCTGTAACTCCATATTCTTTAGATCAGAAACCGGAGATTCATCTTTGACAGCTTGTTCAATATCTGTATCATTAGGGCTTTTGGCAGGTGCTGGCTTTGATTCGGGGACTTCACTCATTTCCTTCTTCAACTCAGCCTCAGCTTTGGCCTTCAGAACGGTGGTTTCGCCTTCTTGATCATTGTTTCGACTTGAACTGCTGTCATTGTCTTTGACTTTGCGCACCGATTGCGACTGCGTTTTGTCTTCGTTGGACTGAAACTTTAATGTAGTTGAACATATCCTACAAATGGATAAAAAATATTGATATCTGGCCGTAAATCACAAAAATTAGAAAATCATATTAACATACCATTTTCGCGACAAACTACTTGGACGACAGGAACCAACAATTCTGTTATGATCTTCTACCTTAACCGATAAGTAATGCGACCTAGAAATCCGACTGAATGGCAAGGCGATACATAGGAAAATGACCACCAAAAGCCAATTTTCCAAAACTTCAAAACTGAAGAATTTGCATTTTTTAATTTCAATTTTTTTGTAACAAAAAATCCATCAACACTTTAGACCTTCAAAATCACCTCTTCCACACAGTATTATACCATTTATTTGATAGAATAAATAAGATCTTTTAAAGTGATTAAAGCTATTAACAATCAGGTTTAAAACTATGAACAATATAACAAAACTAGACGATATATGGACTACATCAACCCGCCAAAACAAATATAATTTGAAATAGAAAAGCTCTCGCTACCAGATGGGATACCAAAATATATAATTAGGGCACCTATGAAAGAATAAAGGATGGATTCCCTAAAAAAATTATAAGTCATCATCTCCTCGATGATATAAGACAGCACCTATAAGACACCATAAGATGGGGTATCCATCAGATAAAGATTGGGCTTTTAAAGCCTAACATTTTTTGTGGCAAATTCAATTAACAGCATATAAAGTGTTTAAAATAAGAATACAATCGTATCTTAACAAAGTGTAGCTTCAAAACGCTAAAAATACAATACGTAAGAAAATTCATACATACGACGAACCACATAGTAATTTTATACTATGCTGTAAAATAGACCGTTACCCGTACTAAAAGTTGCATTTGTCATAGCTTTGGCATTACATTTACTGTGATCAAAGCCTTGTAACTTCACATTGATCTTCGTCCTCCTCGTCCAAACGTTGTTCTTCAAGGTCAAGTCCATCTATGTCCGTATCCTCATAGACGTAGCTTTCTTTCGAATTCTGTTTCATGAATTTCATCGACTGAAAATTTAAATATCAAAAAAACATTTCGATTACCGTATTTTACCCATAAAAAACTTTTAGTTCTCTTTACTTTCTCTTTTTACCTCTTTTTAGCTAAAGGCCACCAACTTTTTAGCTAAAAGTCTGCTAAAGTCAACTACAACATCAAAGATACGATAATTCCCTACCTGAATCGAACCCCTCTTCTCATCGCCCAACTCATTCACTGTTTCATCCAGAATCCGTTTCCAATGATTGGCCATGGTCCAGTTTCGACAACCATAATGGTACACTTTTCCCGACTTACTGTGAATTTCAAAGCCAGGCTTTCGAGGATTGGCCAAGTCTTCACCTGGAGATGCTATGGCCCAATCGCCTGATTTCAGATCAAAAATCTTTTTGGGTCTTGATTGGAAAACGTTTCGACTTTCTTCAATGTACAATGGCATTAATTTGCGTTCGAATTCGAGCAGAACACCATTCCTTAGTTCCAAGAAGCAATTGTAGTGGTTTCGTACCTAAAATTTCAAAATATAAAAATTAAAGGTTTTAAAAATAAACTTCCAATAAGGTATAAATATGCAGTGAAGTACAAGATAAATTTCCAAAAAACCATACCAGCTTAGGCTTGTTATGCTTAGTCCGTAGCTGTGTTCTCGTAAAAACACCTTCAATTTCCGCTTCAGAAAGCTCAAACAACAATGGACTGTCTTCTATTAGCTGATCTGCACAGTCTGATCTAAAAGAAGATTCGTAATTATCTTATGATGATTCTAATCAAACAACAATGAAAACTAATTCAATTTTCAAAACTTGCTTCTCAAGTAAACTATTCAAACTAAACTTACTCATCCAAACTCTTTCCCAGAAATCCTTTTCCCTTCTTCTGTAGCCGTTCGTCCATCGAATTATTCATAACAAACAATCTTCTGCCAATATTCGGAGTGTTATCCGCACTTCTGATTCCGTTCTTGCCTTCAGAAGCCATCGTGCTGCGCCTCGGAAGTCTGGCCGATCCGATCGGAGATTCATTTTCATTCTTACCCAACTTCAGCTTCTTGAACAACTCATTCATCAAGGAAACCGAGCTTCCTGAACGATTCACTTTCTTCTTCTTCATCGTTAGGCCTTCCTCGTCTTCTTCGTTGTTCAGTTGATTGTATGTACATTTGGAGGTATTGACATCGTTCCACGGCGCCACGGCTGTTGGGTATGTTGGAGAAGATGGAGATCGGTGAAGAATTGTAGAGTTTGGCATAGTTGAAGATTTAGAAGTTTTAAATTCAGAGATTGAGCCGTTTGAAACACTAAAACAGCTTTGTAAATTACAGTAACTACAAAATGTTTTCAAAAATCTGATAAAAACTTAAAATGAATTATTTTATTAATATAATCTTTTTAAAATCTAATAATTCATTAAAACCTACCCCAATATCTTAGCTTCATCAAGAGAATCCGCTTTCTTGTGGCCTCTTCTGAATGCTCTTTGCAGTGTAGCCGATGGAGAATGTAGAGATGGCGAAACACTGTATTTCTTCGTTTTGTTACCAAAAAATGGTACAAAAGAAGTTTTCGAAGAAGTTTTGATCAACTTCTGAGACGGCAAGGAAGATCTGCGTTCATCTTTCACTTCAGGCTCTAATCTAACCGACTGGTCAAATAAATCCTTTTGTTCGGCACGATTCAGATCAGACAACTTGGTGTAGAAGGTGTTTAGAGATAATCCTAGCTGGGGATTTAAGTTGAAATCTAAAAAGAATACTAATTTAATACTAAACCACATATAAAGTTACTGAAGTAATCGAGAAAGACCAAAATCGAAATTGAACACCAATTGTATAAAGCTACCCTTCATTTTACGCAAAGATTCCAAAACTCACCATAGTTCGAGTCCTGAAAACTAAAAAGCTTCCTCAACATGTTGTTTATGTTCTCCTGAACATTCTCCTCATCTTGACCTGTTATTCTTTTCAGTTTGTCCGTGTAGAATGTGAGATCAGTAAGATACAGACCAATATAAGGCACACAAGGATTTTGAGTAATTTCCATTTGTTTTCGAATATTGTAGAAGTTGTTTTTAGCCGAGAAGAACTCATTCAGTTTGTCCAGGGTCGAGCGATCAGTTTTGAGTAATTTCTAAAAAAATTAAAGTTATATCAATCAGTGAAACAATAGTGTTATATACCGTAATACGACTACTTCTTTTTTTTCAGTTGAAGCTTATTATAAGAAAAAAAACTCCGTTTCCCATCAAACCTTACCTCCCAGCTCTTGTCCAACCTGAAGATCGGCTGCATACCCATAGCACTAACCACCGAATATGAAGAGTGATAATTACTCAAATTGTACAGCTTCTTAGCTAAACGAATAAAGTAACTGATGGCTTGAACCCGCTTCTCTGCACTTTCTCCAGCTAATATCGTTCTGCATGTTAAAGAAGACAATGTATTGAAACGTCTTGTTAATTCATTTACATTCGGTGCTTCTTCTGCCTTTCTTTTCGTGTTCCAACCAAATGAAGTCAGCTCCTGAAACAAAAAAGGTTATTTTAGGTAAAATTTAAAGTGTGGAATACATTTTTACTAATTTTATTGCAAAATTAAAACCTAAAAGTTCGAAAGATAATAAAAACTAAAAAAACCAAATTTTAGGTAAAAAATTTTTTAATGTATCAAAATCCAAGCCCTTATTAACACCAATAAGCATTAACATACCTCAACTTCAATCTTCTTGAACACTTCCAGATCTTTTAATGTAATTTGAGCTGCCACATCTGCTGCATCCCATGCTTTCACATTAAATATTGGTAATACGCCCTCCTCATGCTCGCTGGACGTTCCCTGAGCTTCAGGCGTCATTAACACCTAAAATTTAAAACAATTAACTCTAAAAAGTTTCAAAGCAGTTTATGGGTAATAAATCAACGATAGTTCGATGAAACTTAATGTATTCTAGACAAATAGATCGTAATAAGACAATTTTAAATAAAGAGGAAAGAGCGCGTCAAACACTGAAATAACCTTATTTTTCATAATTTTTCGATAAAATTATTTTCAAAGAGAAAACAAACAAATGCGATCTGCGTCCAGCTTCCCGCAGGTTGCAGCGTAACTTTTCTTCAGCGGAGGAAACTTTCTTGACAAAATTGTGAAAAACAAGAATCCGTTCGTCAAATTGGCCCAATCTACTGTCCAAAGTAAACTCAAAAACAGAAAACACGTAAGTATTTTAAAGAAATAAGACTAAAGACGTGAAAGTGAAAACAAAATTGGACAATTTGAATGCGTTGGTTTGAGAAAATTATCCGAATCCGGCTTCTTTTCGTGTAAATAAACTCCAGATTCAGTTTCTTTCTTCTCCTTGAAATAAATTTGGCTTTTTAAGTCCAACGCTCGGCTTTTTTCGAATTTCCCTCGCTTTTCTTGGCTCATTTGGGGAGACAAAGCGGCAAATATGCATTTGATAGTATCTTGATTTATTCAGATTTACTCCGTCCCCTTGAGGGTTGAACGTGAGCCGAAACTTGAGCCAAGAGTTTCGAAATTTATTACTGCTAGTTGTGACGAAAATTTGGGGACTATGCAAAAACTTTGTTTACAGATTTAACCGTAAACGGCAGGTGAACTAAAGTTGACCTTCAAGCTTTAGACTGGAACGCTCAACGTAACGTGAGAAAAGTAAACGTTAACAACAAATTGTAACACAAAAAGCCGAAAAATTGCCAGAACTTGTTTTCGACTTTCAAAACGGCGCCGATTCCCTTCGCTCGCCCATAAAGCACGGTTATTACAGAGACAAATGTGCGGTAGAGTAATATGTGGGTTATGATCGGAGGTGAAGACTGAGAATCCCAAATTCGATAGTATTTTTGGGGAAGAGAAATTGAAGTAGGCATTCTTGTGGGGAGCCGAAATTGCGTAATGAAATCCCCTGAGGGCGGAAAAGGATGCGTTTTGAGGCGAGTTTAATGCAAATTCCCTCTAATTTCTGATCTAAATTAATTAAAAATTCCCGGAAATGCATAACGAATGGGGTTGGGGGTGGATTGGGGTGATGGCAACTACTTTCTTTAACTTTTCGTATTAGAAGTGTAACCACCAAGTCGAAAGCGGTACCATGTTGCACTTGTTTCAAAATTGTTTTTGGCATGGTTTAACTGCCCCTACATCACCCATTTCCGTAATAATATCCTTGAGGGCAATAGACAATATAAAAGTGTTAAAACTTTATAATATTTTAAAAAATGATAAGAAACAATACATTAACATAATAGTATGTAAGACTATAAATAATTGAACGTAATAATATTGAACATCAGAAATGACTCAACGGAATAATACAAGTCATTTCAAGCTGTTTTAAAAAGAAGAAAACATCTTGGAAAAGTCGGAAATTTCACAGCCCCAGGCCAATTTTTAAAACAAATGAGATTGTCGCGTAAATTCACAGTAAATTGGCTACATTTGAGTGTAACGACGGGAAGCGGGTTCGAATTCGAGAGAATATTGTTTGGGAATTTTTGTGATACAATTATTTGGGTAATACTGCAAAAACTTCTTTTACACTAGATTTATGGTGAAAAGTAAGTTTCAAAGGCATTATATAACCCGGTTTATTTAGGCTGACCTATAATTTTTAGTCTACAAACTAAGGTCACAATTCTTTTCTATTACTTTTTGGCTAAAGTTGATCACGATGTTACTGTTTATTGTATACTGAATACAAATCCGAATGAACTACAGTCTCACACGAAAGAAAATAACAAAAAAAAAACAAAAATAATGCTTATTTACGTGGTTCTGCTCTTTCAAAGGGAGTGCCACTCCCATTGTTAGCGTTTGCTATTATTTCAGCTAAGAATGCCAGCAACCGGAAAAAAGTTTATAGTCGTTTTGTTAGGGGCTGGAACGCGAAATGTTAAAATATGGGACGGTAAAATTTAAAAAATTAATAAAAATTTAAAAAATTTATAAAATCTTTAAAAATAATTTTTAAATTTTTAAAATTAGAATAAACAACTGATATAGTTACTACTGAATTATTTAGGTAATGTCAACATATTTTCTTCAAAAAATCAATTACTGTAATTTGACCAAGTTTGTAAACAAAGTTTCTGCAAAAAAAAAACTGAAGGGGGATTTCATTAACGGCAGACTAAAGCGAATCAAAAGTAGCGAATATCTGAATTAAAATGAGGATGTGAAGCGATATAATTCTATTCCTTCAAGAGTCTGGAACGGGCTTCTGGAAGTTCGAACAGAATTCATAAAAAAATGAATTTTTAAATTTAAAAATCAAAATTTAAATTCACAGTGTCTGTCGCCATTTAAATTTTGATTTTTCTAAACTTGGATAATATCCTGGAATACGATGTGTAATAGTCTTAAAACCAACTTTATTTTTGGCCCAACCCAATTAGAAATCTAAAAACAGCTCTTTTATTTATGAACAACATAAAATCCGCGAAAAAACAAGGCGGAATGGAAAGTAATCTGGACGTAAAAACGTGCCTCAGGCTGTGCAAATCAAGCCCTTAATGACACGGGTAAATGTCAAGCATTTTTTGTCTCTTTGATTTGTTCCGAAACTTTTTTGAGACGTTCCATAGATAAAAAACCGAAATTTATGAGATGTGTCTTGGTTTTTGGTTAACGTGTAGCGAATATTGAGGAAAGATTTTGTAGTTTTGTTGTACGACAAGGGGCTTGAGCCTGTTTTGAAGCATTTGAGGTTAATATGCTTCTGAAAGTCATATATGAACAAATAGGGTAAATTTGAGTGCTCACATGAATGCAATGACATAAAACAACATCATTCCAACGATTAAAAAATAACACAAAAATTCAAAACATAATGCTATAATATACGCCAAGCCCAAAAATATAAAAATGACTTTCCAAAAATAAAAAATCAAATAATTTATGGTAAATATCGTTAAAAGTCATAAAAATGTCATATTTCAATGTTTCTTTGGTGCAGCATAACAAGTGTCTAGGTAAGCATAAGTAACATCATCTACCAAACTTTTGTCTGGTACTGACCCTGCCACACCATAAATGGCAGCTGTGTCGGATTTGCCACCTTTGTCCGGCCGTGATGACACTTCCGCACAAATAGTCTTCAGATCTTGCAGGAATTTGTCGATGACTTCTTTCCTGGCCTGGTTGTAGGTCAGACAGAAGTGGATACTGTAACAAAATGGGAATGTAATGTAATAGTACTTTGATTACTGTAGCGTAATAAGAAATGATAAAATGATATCGCTTTGGGTAGAACAATATAATGCTATAACAAACTGTAAGTTAAATACCAAAAGAACGTAAGAACAACATAAACAATATATCAAAACGTACGCGTCCGGCATCTGAAGAGCATTCAGATTCCATCCCTTCGCATTCAAAGCATCACCAACAGCGTAGATATTGTACTCGTCGGATCTGAAGGCAACTACTGATACATCAGGGCTTCCGACCAGTTTTAGTCCAGGAATCAGGGGAACCCTGTAACTAAAATACCGTGCAAACTCCAGAATCTCCTTGGCTCTTCTTGAATATTGGTCACGTCCAAAGTAGATCAAGGTAGCCCATGTTAAGGCAATATTTAGACCAGCACGACTACCTGCTAATGTTGGAGTAGCGTAGATGCCTCCAGGCCAGTCGGTGATGCTAAAGTATTGATGGTGAAGGTATTCGGTGGAACGGTAGATGATAGTTGAGGAGCCTTTGGGGCAGTAGCCATACTGTAATATAATAAGCACTATTATCCGACAAAACTAAATAAAGTAATCATATTATACAGAAAATCCATAAATACGTACCTTGTGGGTATCACAAGAGATACTGCTAACTCCCTTAAGCCTGAAGTCAAACACAGTGATCATGAAATCATTCTCCTCCATAAATGGAATCAAGAATCCTCCCAAACAAGCATCAACGTGGACTGGAATGTCATATTTCTCTCCCAATTGGGCAATCTCATCAATCGGGTCAACTGTACCAGTTGGGAAGTTTGGTGCACTTCCCACCAACATACAAGCTTCTGAAGTTACAGCGCTTCTGAAGGCCTTCATGCACACTCTTCCATCGTCATTTACCTTCACTTTTCGGATTCTGATTCCCAAAATGTGAGCAGCCTTCTCGAAGGCAGCGTGAGCTGTTACTGGTACTACAATAATAGGATCTTCGATTCCTTTGGCATTCGCACGGTTACGGTGGGCGAAGCAAGCCAGGAAGATGGATTCTGTGCCTCCGGAAGTCATCTGAAATTTTGAAAATAAATAAATTGCTCAAAATATTATACTTGACATTACGCAACATCAACATTTTGTTCGAACTACTTGACATTATTTTTAAAATGTAACTTACAGTACCACAGGTCTTTTCATCACCGTGGAATAAGCTGGCGACCATTCGTACCACTTCAGCTTCCATTTTACGAGCTCCTGGGAAGATGTCAGGGTGGAGAGGGTTACTGAAGGCGTATGTTTGGAAAATCTGAAAAACTTTAAAATGAAAAAAAGAATATTTAAAACTTTTTTTGAAATTAAAAGCTAATAAAAACCAAAGAAAATTAAAAACATGACTATTTACCTTGGTCAACACCTCGATGTGTTGTTCATCTCCAATATCAGTATAAATCGCTCCACTGATTTTGCCAGTCTTGTAGTCAAACTTCTTGTTCATACTACTATATTCGGCCGCTTTTTGAACAATTTGTTCCACACTCTTGGCTCCAGCTGGAATCACGGCCATGAACTCTTTGGACTCGTCGCAATCGTGGATTGAATGTTCGATCGACTTCAATGTCGGTGCCATTTCAGCTTCGATCTTCTTCTTGACCGCTGGCAGTCTTCGAAGTTGTGAGAAGAATGCACTTTTAAATCGTTGCCATAATGACTTTTCGGATTTGGTCATAAAGCGGTGAGCCTTCAGAATGATGTAAGTTGAGGTCACGCTGACGACCACCAACACTAAAGGTTCGTGTCGGCCTAAACGATTGTTTAGGAGAGATAGCTGTTGACGGACTACATCTGTCATGGCTAGCTGAAAAAGTATTTGTTTATATTTTGTTTTTTACCATAATAATGTTTAAAAACGCATTATATTACAGTAAAATCAGTAAAAATTTAATACAACTAAAAAAGGTGAATAATCATATTTAAAAAGTTATACCTATAACATATAACGATAAAACCCCCTGGAATATTAACAAAAAACAATAAACAGTTCAAGAAGATCTCTCCAAAACACAAAAATCAACAAAAAGGCATGGGGCGGTAATGAAAGGGAAGCGATTCCTTTTCGAGTGTTATCAATGTCGAAAACAAAGTACAGCTTATATTAATATTATTGTATGTTAACATAGATCATAAGCTTTTTAAAATTAGACTAAAATGCCTTGTTTTACATAATAGTGTCAGTTAATGAACTTGATTTTGGGATATTCTATTTTACATAACTTTATATGTAAAAAACGATTGTTTAACTTATGTTAACACAATCACGCCATTAAGTTCAATGAAATATGCTTTATATTTCCAAAAGGACCTGCACAGTTCGATTCACTTAATTCCAATAATTGCACAGTACAAAACTGATTATTTCAGCACGGTGCAATCAATACCAAACCCTTCCAAAACTACGTAACAAAAAAACGTAAAACTGTTATTTTTATCAGAACATCAGTCAATATAATCTTGTAAACAACACATAACAAACACTTTTGTTCTCGATAAACATTTATATTTATTCGCAAAACTTTGAAAAACACCGAGATAACATACAATATTAACTTATTATAAGACAGACTACTACAAGTACAATACCCAAGTAGTGTAACCGGACACTATGAAGAAACGAAAACAAGCTTTTCATTTTTCACCGGAGTATAGTACAACCTTCTAAAATTTTCTCTCATTCTTCACTAATAGCATCAAGATGAGCCGGCTTCTCTTCAGCTACAGGATCATTTGGTACCAGATCGTCTGCCATCTTCTCGCTGTCCTTCTCTTTAATACTGAACAAGTTTCCAAACAAGAAGTGTTGTACTACTGGGAACTTCTTGAGCACCTCTCCTTCGTACATCTTGAACAATCCAGAATTCACCTTCTCCCAGTTCGGAACGGCACTAATATTGTACAGCTGGTTCGAATGTTCGTAGAACAGTCCGGTTTTGGTCTAAAATGTGATAAAGTTGTTAAATTAAAAATTATATTGTAGTATTACTTTTATTAGCTTGATATTAACTTAAAGAAGGCATTGAAAATACAAATAAAAAACAAAAATTTAATGAACTTACGTTGTTTATGTATTGCACAGCTTCAAAAAACAAATTGTCATGTTGATAAATCAAAACTTGATCTTCTTTGAGGTAATCATCAGGTGTTAATCTTGCCCTGTTACCTAAAAAATACAAAAAGTTGAACTTAAATTCGTGAAGCACTATGTTATTCAAAAAACTTCAATAAAATAAGCCACAAATAAGAAACAATTCATAATAAATTTTAAAATACCGTTATAATATTTATTAACATCTATTACAACTGTGAGAACATACCTATGAGTTGGGAGCTTCCAAGCAAAAATGGAGCAAACTGAAAGTCATCAATAGCATGAACTCCTCGACTGCCAGCTGGTTCCATACGATAAGTCGTCTGAAGCTTTCGGCACAACTTCAAATATCTTGCAAATACACGTAAAACAACAGCTTTGTCATCTTCTGGGTGATGTAGACATCCAATTTGATACAAACAATATAATAACACCAAGAAAGCAGCTTCATGACCAGACCCGTAGTCGATCCGAGTAGCGTTGCCAAACGAATCCAATAAATATGGCGTTAGCTCAACAATGGCAGCTTGTAGGTCTTCTGGCAGTAAATTACCCAAAACTTCGGAAGCTTTCTAAAAAATAAAGCCTTATATGTAATCTTATTTTTATTTAATACCTAAAACAAGACCTCTCGACTCAGAAAAATAAATCTTCATTAGAAATTATTCCAAAAGTAAATTTTAGCATCACATATACTAATATACAACTTTGTTTTAATAAAACAACATTAAAATTAAGCCTAAACCTTACCTCAACCAATCTCTCGTGCCATTTGGCATAAGCCTTGTTTCCAAATCGTTGTTCTCCCATATCGACTGGTGGGAAATCTTCAATCCATCCCTAAAATTGCAAATAATAAAACAATAAAGCAACTTACATCAAGAACATCCAACGTCTCAATGATCTTTTGTGGAAACGATGGAATTTCGATGCTTGACGTAGTTGGCAATCCTCTGATCTCGAAACTCAGTCGTTTCAAGAAGTTCAAATAGTTTGTGTATGCCTAAACAACATAAATTAAAAAACCTAAACATTAATCTAACAAATAAATCTAAAAACCAAAAAATACGTAAACTTTTGCAAAAGTTACAATAAAAACTTGGTGCTAACAATTGGACCAAAATATAACCTTACCTCGCTTTTGTACCACTTATTGATGTCGAATATGTTGAAAATCTCTCTTTTAGGTACAACATACTCAACTTGAGACATTGCTGCTGATATAAATAACAAACGAAGAGGAGATCAATGCCCTTCTTCTTCCAAAATATTGTTGTTTTTATAAAAATTCGCCGAAAAATAAAAATTCAAGAAAATGCGTCAAGTTTTCATCTTTTTGGGCCAAGTTTTGCGCTTGCTTTTACCGTTTTCTTTTTGTTACCATTTCTCCCAAGTTACTGTGGTTTTTTGACCGGTTTTCTATTGTACCGAGGGAATATGAGTTGGAAAGTTGATACATTGCCTTAGTGAGTGATTTTTATGACATTTTGATTATAATTTTTGAGAAAATTACTGTAAATTTCGTGAAATTTGATGTTACAGTAGTTTTTTGAAAGAAAATTAATTTTTTTATACTGTAGAGTGAATGTAGGTACGATATATAGTTGAACTATGGTTGTATGATTAATTAAAGTATTTATGTAATGTTCTTTGAGCAAATGGTTACGTTTGAGTACTGTAATTACCATAGTAAAAATATCAGTTTTTCTTTAAAATTTTTGCCAGGTTTTGAGTGTTTTGATTGTAAATAACTTTGAAAATGAAATTTGAACTTTAGTAACTGTAATATTACATATCTACGTAACGATGACAAAAAGGGGTACTGTATCTACAAAAGTTTGATATATTATAGTAGGCGGCAATGTTACCTAATATTAAAAAGTGTAATTTTAAAAGTCAAATTTAAATTTAAGTTGGGAATTGTATTCTACAGTATATTAAAGGAGAAATGGTGGTACTGTTAGGTCATCATACCTTGAATTACAGTATATTGTAGTAGATGGCACAAATGGCCCTAAAGGTAAAATTCCTGTGGAAAAGCTACAAATAGACTTTTAAGTGAATAGTGAATATAATGTTTTAAAAGTGTTACTGTAGCTTCTACAAAAATAGTATAAATTGCACTTTGGGAACTGGGCTGGGGTAGTTTAGCTGTGTATCCGAGGGTGTTTGATATCTCTGGGCATCTTCTCTCTAAAACATGGGAAAGCGCTGCCCCCAGTGCCCCCTTGGTTTAGCGTTTACTGTGGATGCTTATATTAGATCGCCGTTACCGTATGTACGCACCACATAGTGCATCGCGAGAGAAGCCGGGTGAGAGATCATGGGAAAGGAAGAGAGTGCAGACAGTTGCGTTAAGCGAAATCGATTCTCTTTCCAGCCACAAATTTAAACTCCTTACCATAGGAATACCGTACTCGGCATACTGTTACAGTATGAGTACGGTAGGGTTACTGTAGATTATTGTAATCGACCGTATGGGCGTTTTCGAGGTTTTTGCGAGAGTTTGAGATTTTTCGTTGGTTTTGGGGAGGAAATACTGTAGTTTTTACGTAGTTACGGTATAAATTTTTTACTGAAATTTCTTTGTTTGAAATATGGTTAATTGTTGAAATACGAGAGTTTTTGGTTTTGTTTTTTATAATTTAAGTTACAGTAGGTTTTGAAGAACTACTGTAAAGTAAATTATTATTCAAGTAAAATTTTCGAATTTTAAAAAAGGTTTTTGTTTCAATGTTATAGTATGTCTTGTTGAAGAATGATAGTTTTATTTATATTGAAGTTACTTTTTGAAACTTTTAAAAAAGTTGAAGTAGAATTGAGCGAAAAAGTTTAAAATTGTTTTGCTTTTTGTTTATTAATTATAATGTTATTTTAAGATGTGCGCAGTGCACTTTTTAAAATCTTTTGCAAATTGCGAATTTAAAAACCACCTTACAAATATTCAATTTTATCTAATAATGTACATCAATATGTATCAACTTATATTTTTACTATTTTAAGTTACAGTAACAGTTTGATTTCCATATTAATCTTTTTCTTTTCAGTATGGACATAAGTTCCTTACCAAAGTTCGAACCGGAACAATATCCGGACGAACTGTCTGGCTACGATGCAGAATCAGAATCGTTTGACCAGAGTCTTAACATAACACAGAAGCTTAACTTTAACGGATTCGAACTCGATCAGACGACAGATGCTAATGGCTTAAGGTCGGGCAGGTCGGTGCATCAATGTGGAGTATGTAACAAGGTGTTCGTATCATTGAAAGGTAAGGGCTTATTGTTGCTTTTTGATGTTTAGGTGCTTGGTGATGTTTTAGAGTCTTGGAAAAGAAAATACGTTAGCTGTTGGTGTATTTGCTTTAGGTATCATGAGTATATAGGGTGATAATTATAGGTTTTTTGGGGTTTTTATTGAAATATTGTAGTTTTCGAACGGTGTTAACGGTTAGAAATGTCTATTTTCATTTGTCGATGTAAAGATAAAGTTGTATTTTATTTCTGAATCAGCAGCCTTGTAGATTTTAGCCTTTTTATACATTAGTTGATCCAAAAATGTTTGATTTAAGTTGATGTAGCACCTATTAGGCTTTTAAACTACTACTTTTTAAATTACAAGCGTTGTTTACTTTTTTCTTATTCAATTTTCAATGTATATTGGCGATACACAACAATATACTTGCATTCTTACATAAGGTACTCTAATACTCTTTAATTTTGTGAATATTATCTTATTTTAGGTCTACAACAACACGCGATAATCCACACAGATCAGAAGCCGTTTAGTTGTGACATTTGTAACAAATCGTTTCGTTTCAAGTCAAATCTCTTTGAACATCGATCAGTTCATTCTGGTTTTACTCCACATTCATGTCCATTTTGTGGAAAGACTTGTCGCTTAAAAGGGAATCTGAAGAAACATTTGAAGACTCACGTCAGCTCAAAAGAAGAACTCGACCAGGCTTGGAGGCCGTTTGCAAGGTAAGAAATGTTCTTGTGTATTATGTTCGATAGGGGTCTTTTTCAGGGCAGTTGGTATTATAATATTTTATCATAAGCTACATTAAATTAAACTAAAACCAGTTAAATTTTAAACTAAACTCGATATTAAAAGGCGAAACTTAGCATAAAATAGAGATTACAGTAATCGCCGGCCACCAGCTGACATTCCACCTGATGCGATCATAGTAAGGAGTGGTAATGAAGCCTTGTTCACCCCGCCCTCGAGAGCCAGAAGGAGGAAACTTGGACTGGGAAGTGAAAGCAGAGTATGGATAGAGAAGATCAAGCGAGGAGAGATCTTGCCTCAGGCATCGTTGAATGAAAAGGTATGGAATTGTTATATTATATTGGAGTTTAGATGTGTTTTGGTACTGCGGTATATATAGTACGTACTGAAGATGATACTTTAGGCTATTTTTGAATTTTCAAAAGTTTAAATATCTAAAAATCTTGGGATATTAACATTGTTTTGAGCTTGTCATCAATAAATTGCCTTTCAGATGCGACGACTATCAGTGCTAATAGAAGCCGTGAACAAACAGTCCTACAATCGAGAAGACTTCTTCAGTCAGGCCAAGGCTATGGCGTTTGAAAAGTTTGAATGTCCATTATGTAAAAGTGTATTTATGTCGCGGCTGGAATGTAAAGAACATCTGGACATTGAACATCCACATTACCTACAAGAACGACCTTTCTTCTGCGAGGTGAGGTTTTAGATTGATTTTTTGCTTAAATTTAGGGGTATTGATGTCGGGATGGTCAAAAAGTTTTGTTGCTCAAATAATTCTATGCTCGTTAAGCTCGAAAATTTGCTTTAAGAGGGGGCACATAATTATTTGAACAACCTAATAGAAGAAGGGAGGATGGTGTGGAAGTTCGGTTTTTAAAAGTATTCTGGGGACTTTTTGACTAAACTTTATCTTCTTTGGGCCAATTTTGGAATTATGTTGTAGTAAGGTATCAGAATGGCTTTCAAAAAGTTTGAGGCCGAGAAGTTTTAAAACTTTTAAAAAATTTTTTTGTTTTATCGCTGTCATTTCTAGCCATGATATTGTTTTAGACGTGCATCAAATCCTTCGCGGACGAGAAATCCCTCCAACAGCACCAAAGCTATCACACTCGAGTCCGCGACCTCATTGATCAGAAGCAGATCACACTCACGGTACCCGAGATGCTACTGCCTCAGGCCTGCGACGACGACCAAGAGGTCCAGAATCAGCCTGACATGTAAAATACGGATGTAAAAATTTAATAACTTCTCAGGATTTCGGATACATTTTTGGTATACTGTAATTTATTGTTAGGGATTACTGTAACTTTTTGACGTTTTAGTTACTGTAAGCTCATTTTGAAGGATTACTGTAACTTTTTTCATGAATTATTGTGAAAGGGTACTGTAAGCTCTGGTTTAGTGTTCCTAGGTTACTGTAACATTTTCTGAAGATTACTGTATCATTTTGGAATATAATCATCTACTGTAATAGAAAATAGTCAAGAAGATTTACAGTAAAATAAGTTTTAACAGTAAAGAATTTTAAGCATTGTAACATTTGGATTACTGTAATATTGAGTTACGGTAGCTTTTCTACGCAAAACTTTTAAGATTCATCGGGTATTTATATTGTAAACGCGACTTTTTTAATATTGTTGTTATTGTACTGTTATTTCAATAAAAATTGTGACTCTTTGGTATGTGGTATATTACTTTAGTGATAACGTTATGCGAAGATTAAAAACCAAAAAGCAGTTTATCTAGGTTAAAGATTACTATGTGTATTTACACTGCAATATGCATGAGATATAAGATGTTATACTTAAATAATGCCATCAGTCTTCTCTTTGGCCTCTCGTTTCTTTGAACTCATACGTAAACCCATATACGATCTCCGTAGGTATAAAAACGACTTGAATACCACTCCATAATAGTAAAATTGGAACGCTGAGTAGGCTAACGTACCGAGAAACGCCGTTATGTAGACAATGTGCATTTCAAAGTCTTGCGATTGGGGTCGATTGCCATTGTAAACGTAGTATATTGTAGTAGCAATGATATGAGTAATCTTGGCTGTTATTGCCGTGAACTGTAAGGTATAGTTACAATATATTACGGTATAGTGTAAGCCACTTAACTTTGTAAATAAAAAATATGTTGTTTTTTATACATTATTCGTTTAAAACCTATAGTACTGCAGTAAATTATAAAAAAAACTGTAGGGTAACTTACGTATACAACCAAAAACGGAAAGTAAAGTGCAGATTTTCTCAGGCGATTCCCAATTATTAGTGGTATAACTGTTATCACGGCACAGAACGAAGCAGCTCCATAAAGTAAATAGTCATTGTTGATTTCGTACACTAGTACAGCTACATTGAGTACGATAGCAGCTAAGGATAGGTATAGTGTTGCCCTCTGAATTTAAAAAATATTTTCAATGTCAAAAACATTATATTAAATGCCAAAATTAGTGTCAAATTTCTTTAAGTACCATTATAACCAGGATGTCACACTATTATGGTAATTTTTGATAAGAGTTATATTACAAAGAACAGTTGGAAAGTTGTTATCATAAAAAAGGTTTCGTACTATATGTATAAAGGTTCAAAAAAAGGTTTTACTGTAAAATTTAAGGTTTATTTTTAAGATTTTTAAAAATATATTTAACACTTCATCCTTTTATGAAATAAGCCCTTACATGAACATGTACATTACACAACGCCAGTGTTGATATGTCATGATGTGTCATTTTACTCTCTAAAACATATTTTTTAAAATTGGCAAGAAAAAGTAAAAAATAATGTTTGTAACACATTATAATTTTAGAAATTATACATAGTAAGTAATATTTAAAATTTGTTCTTATACTCGTCCAAACACTAGGAATGAAAATTCGCAGGGCAAGCTAAACTTTCAGTACCATTTCGAACATAGGACCGGGCTGTGCCAGACCTTCATGAATGATTTAAAACATTTAAAAAACCATTTTCAATACTATATACCACAATAACGTTCGAAAGTAAAGCAACATTACCCCAAGCTCTACTTTAACGTAACTTTTTAACCTAGTTAGTAAAAGACCGCACGTGTCGCTACTTTGTAACCAAAAAGCCGCTAAAAATACAAAGTGTCACATATTATTAATCTTAAATTAGTTACTTAAAGTAAAAAGAAAAACGACTTCTTCATTTCACTTTTTGATAACGCCAGCTTTGATAACGTAAAGTAAGGTTCTGCTTATGAATATCAGTTTCTGAGTTATGTCAAATGAAGCTTGAGTTTTGGCAAGTTGAGATTGTGAGTTAAAAATAGGGGTTCAGGGTTTGGTTAGGGTAAAAATGAGTCTCATAATTTTAAAAAAATTTTGGAATTTTTTAAAATGTATAAATTTCTAACTAAATTATCTGCTGTGTGTAGTAATTTAATAAGATTTTTCTTAAAAAAAAATTATTTTTTTTTAATTTTGGTAATGCTTTTTACTACAATATTTTCAGTATAACATTGTTATTACAGCATAACACCGGTATTTTTCTTCGGAAGAAAGCCATTAACAAAATTTGAATAAAATGGTTTCTCCTGAAGAAAACATACGGTATTACACATTGTGTTGAGCATGGTAGGTAGATGAAATAGTAAAAATAACTGTAGAAGTAATACACAGTAGAATATGTGCCTGTAATGTCAAAAGATATAGCTTTTTAGGTATACGAAATTAGTTTAATGTCTACTATGTATTTATTCTTATCTGTAGTAGATAAGAATAAATACATAGTAGAATACATTTAGGTATGAAAACTCATACGTAGTGTAATATACACCTCATAACTGTAAAAAACTAACAACTTTTGGTCCTAATGCCAGTTTTCATATATTTCTAACAAAAACCTCAAACTTTCTAATCCTAGCGTAGTCTAGGTCGACCGACCACTCCATAGACCACCAAAAATTGAGACTAACTCTTTTGGCCCAAAACTTTTGAGGCGGATCTCACAAAAAAGTTTGCCTGACCACGATCCGCCCTGATAAAATACGAAAACAAAAATCCACCGAAGCGGAGATTGGGACACGAATCGATTTGCATAAAACGCCGCTTCCGTTTCGTTTGGCCACAGTGTGGCCATTGTTTTGTAGCGATCGATTCTATCTCCGCTCTGCCATTCTTTTTTCGCCTGCCGACTTTGTTGTAACTATTCTAGTTGCGACAAGATAAGTCCAAATTACAATAGAATAGAAGTGACAAAAGAGGGTATGAAGTGGAATGACATTGAAAAGCACTAAAATACGACACAATTAAAGGGTTAATCACAATAAATTACAAATTTGTAGTAGTACTATTCATTGCAGCAAATTTAGAATAGTACTATTCATATAAAAAACTTGTAACAGTACTACTCATATAGCAAAACTGTACTGGTACTTAGCATTTTAGCAAATTTGTACTATCACTACTCATATAACAACTTTATGCTACTACTATTCATTCTTGTAAATGTTATAGTACTACATATTATATCAATCTTGTACTAGTACTAATCGTTCTAGCACATCTGCGCTTTTACTATTCATTCAAATATGCCTTTAGTTGCTCTAAATACCTACTAAAAAGTAAAAGCTATAAGAGTAAAGTATAGAATGATAGAACTCATTGTGCAAATGACATCTTGTTTGCTATCTAAGATGATCAATATTATTAATATTTTCATGTAAAAATTTACTTATATATATGCCAGGTGCGTTACAAAAAAAATTGGACGTTCAGTCAAAAACAGCGAATTCTTGTCTGAAAGCGCGCAGAGAAAAAAAGACGTTGTTCTCTTCGTGGCGAGAGAGCATGGTCTCTTCTATCTTTTCAGACAAGAAATTTGGAATTCTTGTCTAAATGCCTTTTAGACAAGAATTCGCGGTTTTTGACTGAACGTCTAATTTTTTTTGTAACGCACGTGGCATATATGACAAAACCCAAGCGAACAAATAATCTGTAATTGTACCAATTCGATTTTATGCAATCCGTATTTTACACATAAATTAAGCTAAACAAATTCAAAGTTGCTGTAGTTGCTGTGAATAATACCTACTAAAAATAAAAAATTTTTTTTTTAATATAGCTAAGAAGACAAGGCAATTGATTGAAAATGGTATTATAAAACAGATTTAGAGGAGAGAGCCTTTGTATTGTAATATGACTACTGATCTCTATCTCCATTCTCATTCCATTTGGCCGATCTTTTTGATTTTGCGATAAGAGAAGGCCAAACAGTCGCTTTTAATTAGATTTTCAAATCCTAATAGTAAGGTTCTTTACATCCTTAAGTAACAATTTAAAAATTAAATTTTTTAAAATATTAAAGCACTAAAAGTCTTGATCAGTTAATAAATCCCACAAACAAAAATATATTAAAATTTATTGACATTTAGAATGTTACGTAACATGTTACCAACTATAAAAATGTAATCCTCGTATGTCACAAAGTGAGATCTTTTGTTATTATTACTCAATTGTAAGTTACAATGCGTCCATATGGCATTATGGTATGTCATGTATGTTGTGGTAAATGGCTATGCTCCTTGCCAAGCATATTCCTTCAAAGCATTCGAATTCTGGCGGCGTTGAAGCTCCAGGATCCTGAGGTAGCTCATTGGTGAACGCTGAAAATAGAAGATACATATAGAAATAGACCCACTATGCTACAGTAAAACCATAAGATCAAGATTTAAAAATATTTTGTAACGTATAAAAGTAAAATATCTAACTTACCATTCCGACTTTGGCAAGACTGCCCATATCCGAAGTCTTTCTGGGATTCTTGTTGAATTCGTTTTCGACCAAACTTCCAGCTGAAGATTCGAAATACCGTAGATACTTCTGAGATTCTGTAGTTGTATTTGAAGAGCTGCTGGCTGAGGTATTTAAATGGTGTTCTTGATATAGAGACGGCATGGTTATAACTATAACTTTTTCAATTATTGGCTGTTAATTTATACAAGTACAAAACTCGCGATATACAACATTACAAAATAAAAAGAAACTCGCATTGAAAAGTTTATGATATGACATTTAGTCGATAAAATGTCACGAACATGTAATGATAATAAGTACAAAACGGTCTTCATCTGTACTACACAACCAAGTTGAAAATAGCACACTATTAAGTTGTTTAAATAATTTTGTGCCCCTTTTAAAACAAATTATCGGGATCAGAGAACACAGAATTATTTGAACGACCTAACAATATATTATAGTCAAATAAAAGATCATTATATAACAAAATTGACCATATTCTCCTTGTACCTTGTGTTTTGACAGAAGCTACTGCTAAAACCAAAACCGGTAGTCTAGTTTTAAAAAGGTCAGCTGTGTAGCTAAAAATAGCCATAATCTAAACGTGCTTTTGATTTAAAATGAAAGGTTAAAAATTGGCTTATATGAATTATAAAACAAGCCTTATATGTTAAAATGACAATAAGAAATACAAAATTTAAATTTAAAAACATATATGAGACAAAATTTAAGGTTTTTACAACACTTCTTGTCGTCAAAACTCAAAATAATGGAGACTTTTTTCAAAATATTTTTAAAATATATTTTTTTTAATTTCAACACTAAAAAATAAAAAAATCGTTTTCAAAATCCAGAAACTTCAGTTAGTTTAACTTAAAAACCCAGAAGATTGAGCTTGTTTTCGCTCCCCACGCCTCCTAAATTGCCGCTTCTGAACAACTATTTATAAAGTTTTAACGAAAGACAAACAAAGTAATATTTATAAATTACAATTGATCGATTAGTAGACTTTTCACAATAAAAAAGGAGCGACGAAAATAACAAATTTATCCATGACATCGTATCCAGACGTCTGGGTAAGACGTTCTGAGGGCAGAAAATGTAGTCTCGGTTGTGACATTACATTTTATATTATAAATGGTTGTTAAGAAAAGTTATGTCGTTTTTGAAAGTAAAATTATGTACAGATTGACGACAAGACTTCTTTGACATTTTAATATAGAGCTATTAAAAATTTTGTTATAGTAAGTTGTTCAATTAATTCTGCGCCTTCTCTCAAAGCAATTTTTCAGGGTTAGGGAGCACAGAATTATTTGAACAACCTTATAAACAAAAAGGCATTTTCAAGTCAAAAAAGAGTTGTAACATAAAATAACTATGTTACTGTACCACTACTATAGATATTACAGTCAAGCCATAAGAAACTTCATTTCCATTTTTGGCTTATCTACCGTACCACCTTGATATACAACTTAATAGACGGTACAGTAATTTATTGTCTAATAATAAAGCAATAAACCATCTCAATATTTATATTAATGTCCTTTCCACTAGTAAACTCCGCCCAGAATTAGCAAACTGTCAAAAAGTTTAACATAAATACGGTAGCTGCGGTAACGTTAATGTGCTTTTAAAGTTCCATCGAACAGCTTGAATAAAAAACGTATTTCACTACACAAAGCACACCAAGTTCAACGTTTTAATGCTTCAATTGTACTTTGACACATTTATTAGTACATGAACCCGTTTTTAAATTTTTAAAATGACAAAAAGGGCATTATATTAAAAAGTCAAAGTTATTTTAACAACTTTTCTTAATTTTTTTTGTAACCTATACCTGTACCTATACCAGAAGCTTTCCCCTAAAAGAAACTACAGACAAAACAACGTATACCTTGTACACTGTAAACAAATAAAATAAAAACGAGTTACTAATTCAAACGACCGTTTTTGGTATCTTGCAGTCGATTTTGTCGTAGCTATCTTTATCATTAGATCGGCTCAGACTATCCAATCTGAATCGACAAAATTCATTGTCTTCTACTGGTTTTGTCGTGGAAAAGCAACCATCTTCACATGTTGCGGTTTTTTTTAGATGTTTTCATCGTGAAGCGCGCGAGTTTAAAGAACTATCAATTCGAACATTAATAAGTTTTGTCATAGACAAATAATGGCATAACAGAGAAGCGCTATACTGTAGTAATATGCTGTATTTTAGACCATGGTTTTAGCTGTTTACTGCTAATATTTTAAACTTAATGCTACGGGGTTTTCTGTCCCTAGAAGTTAAAAAATTTATGACAGATACAGCAGTCTTACAGTAATTCTTAAAAACACGGAGAATAAGCTAAAATAAATTTTAAATAATTTAACCGCAACATAGAGAAAACAACCGGTAAAGTTTTGTAACAGGACTCTTTGCGCACCCTGTACATTTTCCAAAATTTTTTTTAAAAATTTTTTTGTAGTTTTAAACTTTTTAACTATATTCTGTTTTTCAACTTTTGCTAAAAAAGAATTTATAAACATTTACTCTACAGTAAAATACCATCAAAGAAAATATTATCTTCCAAAGACAGTGTAGAGTAATAAAAAACATTAAGATACACTGTATATGGTTTAAACTAATCACACTTTTGGCTCTAATTCTAAGCAATATTGACAAAAATATTTCGCAGAAATGAAGCGTCAAAAATTTAAAAAAATTTCCAAGAACTCTTCGAAGGTTACACCTACGTTTTGCCTTCTATCGCGAACTAGCTTCAACATTACTTTCTACGAACCAACAATGACATAATGCTTTTTATTGCATAAAGTTTTAACAAGGTACTGTAGACTTTTCTTAGTAGGTGTTGCAATACTTAGAATTGTTGATCTTACAGATGGTTGTTCAAATAATTCTGTCTTTTTTCAAAGTAAATTTTTAAAATTAGAAAGCACAGAATTATCTGAACAGCCTAATAGACAAGTTTATGGTTGGTTTTTGATTTTAAACTTAAAGGTTTAAGATACAATTAGACCAACAGTCGTTTGCAATAGTGATGTACGGTAAATTCTTAACTACATAAAAGGTCATAACGTAAAACATTTTTTAAACTGAGACCCGTCTCCTCTCACCTCTCTTTTTCTTCACTGCCATAGCCAAAGTCACCCTCCCCCCCCCCATCCCCATATTAAATATCACCTTGTACTCTAGGTTCCCTAAAAAATGCCCAAGTAAACTCAACCTGCACCCTTTTTTCGTATCAAATGATGTCAAACCTTTAAAGGTAAGCACTTTGAGATCATTTTCTCTTCTAAAGTTTAACAAATTCAAAAAAAAGTTTTAAGAATCAAAAAACACAGTTCAGCAGAATCAAAATTTACAAAACTAGCTAATCGAAAGTTCAAATATATTAGCCTTAATGTTGTTTTAAGCCCTTCCCAATTCTCTGACCATTTTATAATATTTTAGAGAATTGATAAAGGAAAAATGATTTTATGTTATCTTAGAATTATATTACATACTATTATGAAAAAGTTGTGATTGCAACGTAGAGATAGTGACAAAGCCACATGAAGCAAGAAAAAATTTTATAATATATACTTCTACAATGTCATCGAAATTAAAATTTAATTTTTTTGAAAACTAAAAAATTTTAAACTTGCCAGAAGTTCTACAAGAAAAGTATGATTTCATATGCCATTGCTCATTCAAATAGCCCTTTTGATGTCAATATTAAAAGATCGTACAGGTAAGATGCCATAGAATGTCATAAAACATAAAAATCTTGTTTTTGCTTAAAATAATATTAAAAAACAACCTTATCAGTAAAGTAAACATTTGTTACTGTAATATACGTACCTTAAGTTTTATAGGTTCAAAATACAAAGTAAAATAAAAGTTTTGTGTTAGCAAGTATACACGAACATACAAAATTTTATGTAGGTTTAGATAAGATAAAGCTTATTTATATATAATTAACCTAAAAAATCTTAAAAATTTTTAGACACAAAGGGTAAATACCTCCCTACAACTAATATTGTAAAAAATAAGGCGGTTATATAGTAAAATGTTTTGAAATAACAATGAATCACATAAATTAACATAAGCCAATCCTATGAATAATAGCTTAACAACTGTCGCGAAATGTTGAAATCTAAAGTACAAGCTACTAGGTCGTTAAAATAATTCTAAAAAAACCATCCTCTAATTAAAAAATCTTATTTTTATTACCCCACCCGCTTGTGCCCACCCCTGCCCTTTTATACACCTTTATATGATTATTTACAAAAAATTTTCGACGAAAAAACCGGCTGTCTCTTGGCTGAAAGTTCGAAAGCACCTGAATCACAAAACCCTTGCACTTAAACATATCAAATGCCCTGAGGTTCGAAATGATAACTCGAAAAAACATTGACATAGCAAAAACAATCTTTGTCAATGTCTTCTTGTAGCTTGTGTCTTTAATCTGAGCAAGTTCAACAATCAGAAGTTTGCTATTTCTGCTTCGAATTCTTATAAAATAGTGATAAGAAGGTTGGAACGGTTGTACCGTGATTATATTCTATTACAGATATTAACATTGAAAATACAACAATATAAACTCTTCAAATAAGCTTTTAAAACTTTATTCAGCCATAAATACCACTAAATATTGACCATTGATCAAAGATTATCAACTTCGTTGACCTTTTGAACGTCCTTCGAACAGCACGGTTCATCCCCCAAGCACTCTTCATCAAAGAACGGACAGGAATACATCAGACGCATCATCTCCTTGGTCTTCACGAGTTCACGCTGAATTGCATTCTTCACGTACATCTCGATTTCGATCAAAAAATAAATGTCATCGTTTCGAAATTTCGAATTTGAAGCGCCTTGAGTCATGAGGAAGTTGGGCTTGTCAAAGTCCATGCCCTTCTTGGCAAACTCTTCTTCAAACTTCAGGAAATACTCCAGGAGCTGCATCTGCAATAACTTTCTTTCCCAAAAAATTTGCCTTTTGAAGGTACCATTAACACCACAGAAAGATACCATGCGTACCATTTTATCACTGCTATTGTTAAAAACCAATAAATTTTCAGTATAATATTAAAAAATTATCTATTAAAGACAATAACAAGGTAACTTACATCGTACTTGTAGTCTTCTTCAGCTTGTCTTCGTATCTTGTCAGCCATAGTAATGTAATTTTTGTGAGCATCGTTTATGCGACGAACATCTTCAGTATAAGCCGTGAATTCAACATCTGAGTCTTTCTGAAAACAAATGTTATGATAAGTTTATAAAAAGTAATGGTTTAAAAATAATAACGCCTATACCACGTAAAAGTAAATAAAAATGTCAAAAGTAAAAAAAATATTTTTTAAAAATCAAAACCTACGGTTTCAGTGTGAGGAAAGACAAAGACAGAATCTGAAACAGCATTGCTCCTCAACGTATGTCTCATTTGTCGCGTGTACGATTGCATTACCTTCTTGTTCATCATCGACAGATCTTGCCCTTTCTTGTGTAGATCGTAGGCCATATGAAGTCCGGCCACGAAAATGTCAAAATCCACTTTATTAGTGGGTTTTTCGACCGGACTCGCCATTTTTTAAATTAAAAGTGAGGTTTTTAAAGTTAAACTGAAAAATTTAAAAAACATATCTAAAACGTTGGGTTACAAGGCTACAAGCAAAAATCTTTTAAAAGATCACCTAATAGATCCAAAAATGAAAAAAAATCTCCAAATTTAAATAACAAATCTTTATTAACATTAACAAAAATTGAAAAATTGGATAAAAAATTATTATTTTTGACACTCGATAACAAAATTATGTTTCTTCAGCTGAAAATAACAATAATTTAATATTCAAAACATTAAACTTTACAAAAAGTTAACGTTCATACACATCTAACACTGCTTTAGTCAAAAAATGTTTAATAAACTTACAAGGAAAGTACCCAATCGGCCCCACTCAGAATCAGCTCTAATTTTATATGAATTTTTTTTACCATCAATAGTACCCATAAAAGTTTTAGCTGGCGCTTTTGAGTTTTAAAATTTAAATATTTGAAATTCCCGCTAATTTGGGAAATTTGGCATTATGTTTCAAGTACGTTTTCGACTACATAGAAGCTACGCTTACAAATTTAAAAAATTACGTCTATTTAAAGGTCTTCTCCTGGTAAATCAAATTAAAATGCTTAAAAGTCAAAAAATAACAACCTTATAAGCATGAAACATAACGCCAATTGGTGGGAAATTTAAAAAGTAAATTTTTGATCTCGATTTTGTCGAGATTTACTAGAAAGCACGATTTAGTACTTTGGTGAAGATCTTATATTTGCATAATCGTTTTATATAAACAGTTTGAATTCAGCAGGGCAGGTCGCGCACTTTCCTTGAATATAACTTTTATTACTTAACTTAAAATAAAACTTACGTTTGTAATCCGAAAAAGACTTCAATCCGAAGATAACGATACAAATAGTAGCTGCTACAGTTCCAATAAGAAGTACAATGAACATTAATGTAAGACAACACACCCGCTTCCACCCATCGCTCTCTTCGCCGTCTTCTGAATCCAATTTATATGAAAACTTGCGAATTGTATTCTTTTCTAGCATCTGCAAATAGAGTACGTTATGGGAAGGTACTATGGCACAAAAAATGTATTTGAATTTCCAAAAAAAAATAATTTAAAATCCAAGTTTACTAGTGATTTTATGACATGACTAACCACGCAAAAGGCAAAAAGACAAACATCCTCACTCGTTCTTATCAGCCCCAAAACTTTTTCATGCATATTTAGCTCCTAATTCTCCAAAAGGCGTCAATTTCAACATTTTTAACCTCAAAAACAACAATTTTTGTTTAAAGCTATTATAATATCTTAATAAAATTAGTCTTTATATCTTCCTGACCCACATTCACCAATAAATCAATTTCTCTCACTGCAATCTACCTCCAACTGAAGAGCTGCAACTTGCATTGTCAGTTCCGTCAGACCCATTTGAAGCTACAGAGCTCTTCTTATGAAACATCGATCCTCCTGTCCTTAAGATGTGCTGCAAGTCCGTGATCGTCTTGAATGAATTATAAGTTTTGTGCTGGATTGGCATTAACTCTGGAGGAGAACTCTCTTGCTTTTTTTCGAAAAATTCTTCAAAAACTTTGGTCGATTCAGGTGAAGGCGAGCTTTTCATAGGTATAGATGGTTTTGCGTAGGGGTTATTGGGTTACCAGCGGATCTAAAATATTAAAATTACTTTGAATGAATTTAAATTCTAGAAGTAAAACATTAATTTACAATTTTTATAACATCAAACATCGTAAAAAACAAAATTATTCACTAATTGTTACCTAAAAAGAAAATAAAAGCATTAAAGCCTAGGCCTACGATGCCTGATCGAAGTCGAAGGACTTTCCACCATCTTCTTCACCTTCGCCCTTTGCTTTTCCCTTTTTTCTTCCTCTTCATCTCTGTCTTTTTCTTTTTTTTCTCTCTCTCTTTCCTTTTCTTCTTCCTTCTTCAATTTGTAGACCTTCAGAAGTCTTTGACACTAAAAACCAACAAAAAATTCAAAAAGTATATTATCATACCTGAAACAAGCTATCGATGGGTTCCCAAGTGTTGTCCTTACTGTCGAAGCCTTTCCACTTAACGAAATACTCTTTTTCTCCTTTCACAACTCTGTCTTTCAATATAGCTTCAACTTCGTAGACCTTTGGAACGTCCGACATGGTAGTAGATTTCTTATGGACCTAAAAATTCGAAAAAGTTTAAAAAATCAACAAAAACAAAGACAAATGAAATTAAAACAATCTAAAATAAAATAGCATGAACAGGCTTTTAAAACGTTATTCAAGCTATAAACACCAAAAAAATTTAATATGTAATATGCAGTTAAAACAACAGAAAAATAAAAATTTTTCGTTGAAAATTAATTCTTCCAGAAATAACGTCAGTACTTCATGTTTTTGGGCGAATATTTCAAAAACAAAATTATTTCGTTGTTAATTCTCCTTTACCATCTACAAAGTTTGTGTTATAATAGTTTATTTCTACTCACTATAATAGTTTACATCACATATTATATTACAGTCATGTATTTCGAGGTAGGATCTACAATAAATACAGAAAAAATGTAACTTATATTATAATTTACAAACTCTTTCAAAGTGTTAATATCAAATCCAAGGATACAATTGAGGGCATCTATTACAAGTGTAAAAGATGTGTTCTGATTGTCCAAGATAAGGTGTGTTGTACATGCATTTGTTTGGTGTTGTACATGTTCGTGGGACGATTGGCGGAGTGTAGCTATAGAGACCGCATTGTCGTTTTGTCAAAAGTTGTTGATGAGTTAATGGAGCTCGCATCCAGTCAATGAGCTCACGGAGTGTCATAAAATGGACGTCAGGGAGCTGATGAAGTTGAAGAAGGAAGCTGAAAGTGAGTTTGCTCATTTATTTGGTTTTGATTGATTAGATTACATATAATAGGTGGTAGAGTAAGCAAAATAAGGCTGTTTTAATTTTTCAAGGTACTGTTCAACCAGAATGATAGTTTTTACAACAATTTATATTGTTTTCTTACCGTTTAAGAGCCCTCATACCAATTCCGCCATCACGTTGCAAGAAGTCATTGCTCAAGTTTATCACAAACGGAGCTTTGTTCCTACTGTAATATCGTTGGAAGTTCCAGTCAAGCAATTGCAATATCTGATCTTCAGTCTCACCTCCAGCTAGAATGCCCTGGAGCATTGGAGACTTAAGATGATGACTGTAATATACGTTCATCGGAACTACCCAAAGGCCGGGTATTGACGACGGTGGACAATGGTCGGATTCACAAACAAATGGTAGGGAATAATCTAAAGTCTGGGGCCAAAAAGGTTCGTAGTTTACTCCAGAATCCACACTAATAGAGTTGTCGTAGACGAACCCAGATTGTTGCGCCATCTATAACAAGGTGTGATGGTAAGTGGCAATGTAAAACCATTAGTTAGAAATGCAGTGTGTTACTTGAGGAATAACAGAAATGTAGTCTGTTACTAGTGTGTTTTACTTCTTTCAATATCTTACCTTATACTGCAAATCACCTCCTAGGCCAAGTTGTGGCGCTCTCATTCCAATAATTTGACTTTCATCTACATTTGCATATCTAGCTAACATTTTTCGTTGTCCGTCCATCTCTATCAACCAGCCTGTATAGTTTGAAAAGGTCAGCAATCGATGTCTAAATATTTCATGATCTTTTTTAGCTACGGTAACTTTACTCACTAAGTGATTTTAGGTCTGTAAAAGACAACACAGTAATTTTAGGTATTGCTTACGATTTTTTTTGCTTATTGGTTAAGATAGTTTAAGAAGATCTCTTACGTTATAGAATTCGAAGCCAGTTCATGACCATTATCTGCTAGCTGCTCGACTTGGTTATAGTTCGTCCATTCATGAGATATGAAGAAGGTACCTTTTACTGAACATCCGCTCGGAGATGTGAAGTTTATGAACTCGAATATCTCTCTGTAGTCTCTCATTGATTTATCTGTAAATATTTTTATTATCTTATCTCAAACTTAGCTATCGTGTATATGAAATTAATTGCAACACATTTTTGTCAGTTTAAGATTTTTTTAAGCAATATGTTACTATCTGAACATACCATTCACTGGATCGTCGAAAGTTAGTACCACAATTTGAGGTAGATCTTGCTTTGGCACGTTTATCGGCGGTGTCCGACCAGTGGGGGAACAGAAGCAGTCTGGCAGTTGACATAACTCTGGATGACACCTTCTGGCTGCCAATGTTGGTTCAAAGTATCGGTAGGACTTGAATCGCTTTCTTTGGACTGTAAATGGTAAACTAACACGTTTGATCTTGGTAAAATAACTTGTCCTACGTTTGCATGCTCTATGACATTAGCTGTTGGCTTATGACATTATTTGTCACTTTTAACTCTAAAAATATCAAAACTAACCAAACTTGGTGCAAAATCCTTCTTCCTCGATGTATCCATCGGGGCATTTGCATATATTATCAACGCAAACGGCCCCAGATTGGCACGTTTTGGTGTCATCGCAATGTTCGCCAAGGACAGCTGACATTGTGTTGTTGGTACATGTGCCATTCATGATTATGTGGCGTTTAGCACACCAACAAACCTTTGATGAACTGTCACAAATTGAGCCTCCTGTGCATATCTGGTCATGGTTGCACATTCGACCAGGCAGGGCGTATTTATGAGCTAAACTCTTTTTTAAAACATCATATGTTACCTCCATCCAATTTGTATTAATATGCTTACTGTTAATTATTAGCAAATCTTTACTATATAAAAATGTTTATTTCGTCTGTACAGATATATCCATGTGTAATATAAGTTAAACAAAGTTGATTTCAAGCGCAACAACGTATAAGTTACAAATAGTAGATGGCTGAGATTCTGGAGAATGTGAGTAATATAGGAAAGTAAGTTATTGTTAGACGCGGCAACAGTTATAGTCAGCCGAAGCCATTCCAGTCACGTAGCAATACGACTTGGGTGGGCAGTGTGGCTCCATCCCATTACAGATACGAAGCCGACCACTGTCGTCGTCGTATAGCGGGGCTACGCCAGGCGGACAGTTGGCTACAGCGTTTTCCGAGCCTAGCTCCTTCTTAGTTTTGGCTTCGGGCTTTGGCCGTTGCAGCCGAGGTCCGGATATTCGAGGTACGGCTCGGGGTTGCAGCCTTACAACATTAGATGGAGAAGACTGTTGTTCCATCGCGTATTGTTGTAGGCGCGCTTGTTGGATTTTTAGGACTTCAGAAGGCGTCAGGACGTTAGAAACTGGCGGACTAGCTGCTACTGTTTGGGTTGGTTGAGTTTTGGCTAAATTTGTTTGTCAAGCTGTGTTATTAAAGCAGATTTGACAAAGCAGTTCGTTAACCCTTGCTTTTAGTCACATATAAATACCATGGTATGTTTTGAAAAGTGTTTTTATATAAGCAGTATTTCTAACCTTGCTTCTTGAACAAGCAGTATGCCGTATATTAAAAAGGCGGATTTAAACATTATACTTGATGATAATTTATGTTAAACACCTTGTTATCTTTACACTTACCAGGAGGTAAGCCAACATGGGCACCATTTTTGTCTCTGGGCATCATGACACATTTATCTCCACTTTTTACGTAGCCATCGTTACATTTACAGTCTTTACCATCACAGCTAAATTTTAAAATTTTCATATTATACTATGTTAAAGTAGATCATCTGAGATTATATTATACTATGATAAAGAAGATTATCTACTTGATAGTGAGGAAGAAACACCGTAGAACTCCGCCAATTAGTTATATAGGAGTTCTACTGAACTTTACTTAGGTATCTTTGTGTTAAACTACTTTTTGATTACTAGGTTGTTCAAATAATTCTGTGCCTGCTAACCCCAAAAATTTGCCTTGAGAGCACAGAATTATTTTAACAAAGTATATTACCTTGAGTTCTCTGGACACTTCTTGCTGTCATTACAGGCCCAATTAGGGACTTCTGGAGGTGAATTCGGGTGACGAATACAGATAAAGTTACGGATTATAGGCTTGTCAGGCGGACACATGCATCTCTGAAATATTTTTAATGTAAGGATTTGACTAAAACGTTACGTTCAATTCTTCTGACATTTTGTACAAAACAGTTTTGAAAATGACTATACAGCCCAAAACACTTATCCGTAAAGAGATAGGGATACCTTCAAAGAAGAAGCGGTGCAACTTTTATTTTTCCCATTTTCTTCAATATATCTTATGTAATCCATACCTTTTTGTCCTGACAAACCGCGCCTCCCGTGCAAACCTGTCCACCCTCGCAGCTCTCGGTTGGCCGTGCATAGACCAGTTCTGAAATCATGTCATAAGTACTTTTGTATATCTTGTTCGCCTTCCTCGGCCATCTCGAATATGCCAGCTTTCGGCAGAAAGGCGAGTTTAGTAAAGCGTGAGAAGCCGGCGTTGATTTGCCGGAGCGAAGCGAATGAAAGTAGCGACATTCGTCGAGCGATGCCTTGGGTGGTAATGGTACACATTCGTCGTTCATGAGTACCTTGTCCATGGGACATTGACATGATCGGTTGATGCAGATGGTACCGCCTTTGCAGTGCAAACCAATTTGAGTGCATTCGTCGTGCTGAGAATAAGCTAGCGGGATCGGCCTGAGGGGATAGGCAGGGGCGGAGGGGTAAAAGCTATTACCTAAAGCAGGGAATGAACTAAAGCAAAGTGGGTTAGAGCATGGCTTGGTTAAGGCTTGTTAAGGCATGGCTTGTTAATTTAAGTGATAGTGGACGATTTAGAGGGCATCAGCGTGACGGTTACGGTTAGTTGTTAGGTATAACACAATAATGCGTTCAATTATAACATAAAATTGTTAGAAAAAGTAGTGATTTTGTGAATAACTAAAGAAATCTTGACTAGTAGTATAACACTAAAATAGTCAGCGTTAAACCTTGTGCATATTGTGCCGCTTTTTGATTAACAAGTGACATATTATTATATTATAATAGTCAAAACTCAAAGATTTTCCCTTCACCGACTTCACGCCCTAAAATCGGTTTGTTGTCAATGTTAATATACTCACTTTGGTGTTGTACTTCTGCCAAAATTGGTTTTTGGTTCAATTCTGATCTGGGTTTGCAGATCCCTTTGTTGTCTGGAGCCATTCCAGATGGACACAGACAGTAGCCACTGATACACACTGATCCTCCAGTACATTTGTCTAGTGGACCTGAATTGTTGCCATGTTATTTTAAAATTCAAATTTTTAAATTTCTAACTATTTTTCATATCTTCTGTAGGTTTAAAAAGGTATAGCAATACAGTGCTACGCAAGTTTACTATAATTGTAAAACATACCACACTGCTTCCCGGGCAATATTGTCCTAGGCTGTAGTAGATTGCCACTGCTTTGAGGAATCAAGTTAGCATTGTTCACTTGTGGTACTGGTTTTGCAGCCAAGCTACCGTAAACTTGTTGTTGAACGGGTTGTGTTACAGTAGGCGGAGGGGTAGATTGGGTGGGTACAGTAGTAGGTACTGTAGCTGAGCTGCTTGGAGGTTTATTATACGCAGAGACTTGTTGATAGGTGGGCTTTCTACACTCTCCTCCGTAGATCACCATCAATGGGTCGGGACATACACACCAGCCACGATGACAGACTGACCCTCCAACACACTTCTCACCAGCGGCACAACTACCGCCTGGGGGGATTTCTGTCATTTTTTCTGGAATTTTGAGTTGAGGTTAGGATTTTGATGGAGGTTAGTGGTATGGTTATTAAGTTTAGTAGTGTTACAGTACTTAGTATGTGAGAAGAGAGTAAAAAGCGTTGTTAAGGTTGTTAACAGCAACTTCAAATAAAAATATCAAGCTTTACCATGCCCTTAATCTTTGGTACTCAACCCTTTTTCCAGTGCAAAACAAGTCCACAACCTCCATTTACAGCCCTACTTTACCTCGTTTCGGTCTTTTCAAATACTTTTTTTCCACTCCAGATTGTACCGTTGGTACAGCGGCAGTGGTACCCCCGATTCGTCCCTTGAAGTCGTGCCCACAAGGGTTATCGACCGCCGAAACACAAGTGCAGACTCCTTGCACACAAGTCAGTCTTCGATTGCACTGTGCACTGAACTCACACTTCCATCCTATTTCTCCGGGCATGGGTGGGCGGGTCACGACTTCTTCGATCGGGTCGGGGGTGGTGGTGGGGAATTTCTCTCTCAGATATTCACAGACCGGCTTCTTTTCGCGAATCGTCAGTCGCTTCATAGGATCTATGCATACACATCTGCCTCGACGACATTCCGCATCTAGTGCACATAGTACCGTCTGATTGCACTTTACATAAGCTGGTGGTAATATGGGCGTGGTAGTCTTGGCGTGTCTTTTCGGAGATTCTGTGACCCGTTCCTCCTCACTGAAGTCTTCGTACTCTTCCATTTCTTCCTCAATTTCCTCGTCGACTGTTAGTGGTGCTTCTGGTACACTTGTGGTTTGTAATTTCTTGGCGATTCGACCAGTTGTGGGTCGTTTTGGCTCCAAACTGTAGTCGGTCTTCTTTGGCTTTGTCACTTTTATGTCGTTTTTGGCTGTAGTAGTAGCATTCGCGGACGAAGCTGTAGCAGCTGGTACACAAATGCACATACCACCAACACAGTTCAAAGGTTCGATACAATCTTGAGATGTCCTACAAGTACCAGCTGTCACTCGTGTGGTGTTCCGTAGTGGTAGATTATCGCAGAAACATCTTGAGTATTGACAGTACGACCCAATCGGACAGTCGGTACTAGTGGAGCACTTGTGTCGCAGTTTGAACACTTTGATATGGTCGTTTCCGGGGAATGGCAGTGGCATTTTGGTCGGTTTGGAGTTTAAATTTGAATGAAATGGATATACCTTCGGGTTCAGTGGTATTGGTCTTGGCATTCCAAATGGTTGGTTTTGGTTCAGTGGTAGTCCCATATTGAATGGCTCCACACTAGGTATTGAATCTAGCGGTACAGGTTGAGGTAATGATACAAATGGATTCAGAATCCCGTTACCATAATTAAACGGGCTGATTAATGGTGCTAATGGTACTTTTTGGCCAACATCATGATCCATTGGTGCCTTTTGATCCAAACTTTGTTTCAATGGTACTCTTCGGTTCATAGCTCTTGGTCTTATTGTAGTAGGTACGAAATGAGGTATTAATACTGGGTTATGAGGGTCGAAGTTGTTAACCGAATTCAAGGGGGATATAGGATCAGCAGAGTCTAAAATTGGTTCAAAAATCGAAAAATTGTCGCTTTGAGACAGTTCTTCCTCATTCATTTGAAATTCTTCGTTTTTTGACACTTCTGAAGTCAGATTCTGGCCTCTACTTTGATCTTTTGTTTCTACAGCTTCTGTGTTATAATTATGATCCATCTTCTGATTTCTGGGTAGCTTATTGATAAGGTTTTGTTGTTGATTTGGCCAATAAAACCCGTTTTCTTTGTTCTCTGGATGATTTTGAGGAGATAACTGGCTGTAATGTTGTGGTATGTTATTGTTTCGACCGTTCACCTTGTTGTTCTTCCCATTTTTCATATTAAAATCTTGGTTTACTCTGTAAAACGCATCAATTGTGGCACTTTCATTCATATTTCCTTTCATATTCGAATTGATATTGTCATTTTTATTCACATTCACCTCCTCTTTCCCTGGTTCATCTCCAAAAGGACCATTACTAACTACATTAATAACTACTGGAACCGGATTCTTATTCGGAGTGTATTCATCACCATTTTCATGTTTAGGTAGATGACTCAGGTAATTCCCTGTCAATGGAGGATGGTATAGACTGGGCTTGGCTACATTAACATCCAGATAGGTGAAGCCACACTTTCCATCGTGTGGATGTTGTTTATTCAGACATCTGCACCATCCGTCTTTGCACCATGAATTCTCGGTGCAGATTGTAGATTCCGCGCTACACTGTTCTCCGGGTTTTCGTACCTTCTCGGCTTCTATGCACATACTATGAACTAGTGCATAGTTCTGAGGACATTCGCAGAATCCAAAACCGGTGCATCTGGAGCCGTTGGTACACTTGAGGTTGGTGTCGCATAACTGACCCGGTTGAGCATTCTTGATCTCCTTCGTATTTGGGTACGGTGTCTTTGAGTTGCGAGTACAGCCGGCGTCTGTAGCCGACGATCCCACAGGACATACACAAGCCCCGACTTCAGTACGACAAACTGAGTTCGGAGCACAGAACTCGTCGTGCTGACAACTTTCGCCAGGCTTGGCTTCACGAAGACAGAATCCTGCTTTCTCGCGACGATCTGGTGGACATTTGCATATTCCACGAACACATTCGGAGCCGTTCTCACAAATGTGCTGGATGTTACAGCGTTCTCCGATCTGAGCTACTAGAATATCGTCGCGTTTCTTGATGCAGATTCCCATGAAGAAGATGCGGTTTTTGTCGCAAATACAGACTTTGCCGATCGATGTTATGGATACGCAGGTCGCACCTTCAACACACTGCTTCTTGAGGTCGCAGCGGGAAAATGGCTGGACTAGCTCAGCTTCATGTTTTTGAAATTTCTTGGGTGGGGAATGCATTATTTGAGGCTGTCCTAATCCAGTGTTATTGTGATGTAAATTTTTTTGGTATTCAGAAGCTTGTCGTTCATGTTGCAAACCTTCAAAATCCTGTTTTGCATGGTTGTTGGCTTCATAATCTTGTTTTAGATTCTTCATGACTTCAGAAGCCTCTTTTTCATAATTTTTCATGTTTTCAAAAGCGTGATTCCCATTGTGAAAATCTTCAAAATTCAATTTTTCATCGTTCTTATGGCTGTCTACTCCTTGCTGCTTGTTATTGATCTCCTTGATAACATCACTATCATTCAATGCCAATCTCAATGCTATCTCCATGGGATTCATTTTGTACGGACTTCTTCTCAGGTCCCTCCTCATCACCTTAGCCACGCATCTTCTTCCTTTCACTTTCATTCCCTCAGGGCATTTACAATAGCCATGAACACAAACAGCATTACCTGAACATAGCTTGGTGGTGGCACAGAACTCGCCTGGAGCCGATGTCATCACGAGATGAAGTCGTTTCTCTGAAGACATTTCTGGAGGCGCTACAAGCTTTTTCCTTGAATACATGGCTTCTATTGTCTTCGGATGGAAGTTGATAGCTGGAGCAGATGGAGGGTATTCTGGACTCATGTAGTTGTTCACATCTTCAACTACAGCCTTAGGTTGAGGTAGACAAATGCCATCTGGGCCAACTACAAAGCCGGCTTTACACATACAGAAGCCGTTATCGCAATAACTGTTCTTGTGACATTGAGATGAAGCCATGCAGATTGTGCCACGAGGACGAGCTGTTGTCACACATTCTCCAGAACCTTGGACTACTGACGTCTCTAGGCCTACTGGACATTCACATACTCCACTTGTAGTGCTACAGACAGAGTTGAAGGAGCAGACTTGGTTGTTGTTACATTCTTCACCTGGTCGAGCTGTTACTCGTTCTGGACAGCGATGTCTGTGATGGAAGTGGACTCCACGACCACAAGAACATATCTAAAACAATATAATAGTTATTCGGATTATTGCCTTACACCTTTAATATTTTAACTATGAATATTACTTTAAAGTAATCATGTTATAAAAAAATGTTTCCTTAAACAAAAATCTTAAATATAAACCTACTCCATCTTGACATATGCCATTAGTAACACATTGTTCATTTACAGCACACTGATCTCCCAAAGCCACTCTCTGAACTTGACAAGCTCCATTAATCGGTCGATAACCTGGCCTGCACATGCAAATACCATTATTACAACTCGACCCTCCATAACAATAAGTGTTTGGGCTGCAGTAGGCTCCTGGAAGTGCTGGAAACATACCACTACCGTAGCCATTACCAGGTATATACATTGGAGCTTGGCCATACAATTGTTGTTGGTACAACATGTTCTGAAGTTGTTGTTGTTGCTGGTACTGTTGGTACAGGGCTTCTTGAGTGTAGGGTTGCTGTTGATCTACCGTATTACTTTGTATCTCTTGTTGATTACTGTATTCTTCATTAGGTTGACCAATATTAGAGCCAGTTCCTTGGTTACCAGAGTTTTGATCAGCCGGCTGGCAGTAACCGTTCTCATCTTGATATCCATCTGGACATTGACACAGTCCTCTAACACATCTGGCGCCACTAGTACAATAAGTATCGTCACATTTCTCGCCGGCTCCGGCCAACTTGGTGAACTGACCTCCAATCAAGGCCTTCAATGTCTCTAGATCAACCACATTGATGCTCATCTGTTTGGCTGACAAGATCTGATTGAATCTGCTCTGTGGAATGTCATCTGGGTTACCGTAGATCAAGTTGTCTGGCTTCTCTCCATCTGATTTCGAGTCTGGGTAAGAAAAGAATCCCTTCAAAGGTTTGGACAGACATTGTGACTTCTCCTGATCCAATACCTTATCCTTAGGACATTCGCATATTCCACTTATGCACTCCGACCCTCCACCACATTGTTGACTCAGCTCGCAAGATTCTCCAGGATCCGCGACCTTCAGAACTTCAGAAGACGCGCATTCGTGAGCCGTGGTAACCAGTCCATATAAACACACACAGATACCGTAGAAACAGTGCGATTCCCCCACACAATCCAGTCCTTTCTGAGCGTCGCAGCGGCCTCCAGGTGGTACTTCATGAATCGCCTTCCGACACATCCCGTTCACGATGGTCTCTCCTCGTTGACAGCGACAAACTCCTCGGATACATTCAGTACGATACGGACATTCGAGTGACAGCTTGCACATTGCACCGGGTACCACAGTTTTCACTGCACTATCGATTGCATCAAGCGCATTCACGTTGAACAAGGTTGATTGGGACTTCAATGTGCTGAGGTCGGAGTTTCGACCACGTTTCAGACATTCTTTTTGGAATAATGTCGCGCCTTCAGGACAAACACAAACATTAGCTATGCAGATGGAATTGCCCGTACAAATCGTGTCATCAGTGCAGAGTTGACCTGGCGCTGACTTTGTTATTCGTTCAATTGCCTAAAATTAAATCACATAAAACACAAATATATTAAAATTTAAACAACTAATAACAAGATCTTGTGTAAAAGTTACCTTTAATTTAATAAAACTTAATTCTAATAAATAAATCCAAGACCTTCCTCAACACTCACCTGTAAAGCCTCTCCATCACTGCTCACACACTTGTCGTCGATGATAATCTCTTCATCCGAGCAGCTACAAATCCCATCCTTGCAAATAGAACCCCCAATACAAGCCTCTCCATCAGCACACATTTGGCCAGGTTTTGCAGTAGCTAACATTGGAGGAGGTATCGGCAAGCTGCTCATCTTCTTTCCCTTATTTTTGGTCGGTTTCTCTATCTTCTTCGAAATTGTTTTAGGTTTATTCTTCACTTTTGCCTTTTGCGTCGTTGTCATTGGGATCTTTGTAGTTTTAGGCGGACTATGATGTATTGTATTCTCCATATTAGTCGAAACCAACCGCACTCTCACACATTTCCCATCCATAATTTCGTAATCTTCTGATGCACATTCGCATTTTCCGTTTTTGCACAAACTTCCAGTGCAAAGTTCTCCATCTTCACAGCTCTCTCCAACACTAGCTAACTGTCTGATACACTTTCGTTTCTCTTCTGTGAATCCTCGAGGACATTCACACTTCTTCTTGGTGCTATCACATTCAGCACCCGCCGTACATTGTTCTCCATGAACACACGATCCTCCAACTCTTTGACGACATTGTTGGTTTTGTTCCAGAGCTCCGTCTACACAAGCACAGATTCCACGGCGACAAGCTGCTCCATTACGACATTCATCAACGGCGGGATCACAACGTTGATTTAGGTCCACAATCTTCGCGATTCTGCGACATTTTCCGCTCTGGAAAAAAATTGAAATTAATAATTTTAATATTTAATCTTAATAATATCATTAATATAACTTTTTTAATTTGTCTAAACTTTATATTGCCTTATACAAGTCGTAAACAATAAATTTTGACTAATTTCGTTGTGAAGACAGAAAAATGTTCGGAAACCAAAAAGTTAATATTGACACTTCGATATCTTTAAAAGATGACAGGTTTTCTGGACGAACTTTTACAATTATTCGTTGATACCTTTTTCATAAAAAATATAGTTTTTAATTTAATGTTATTAATAAAGACTTTAACCTTACTTTCATTTCATATTCAGCTGGACAAGAACAAGTACCGTTGATGCAAGAGGTTCCATTAAGACAGATGTCTCCTTCCAAACATGGTTCTCCAACAATCTTGGCGCCCGTACTTGATCTTTTCTTTCTTGAAAAGTCAATCTTCCTTGGATTCAGTGAGAATTCTTTGTATTTTTCGTTGGAATCGTCTTGAAGCCAAAGCTTTGACAAATCTGGTGAGTTATTCATGTTATCCTTGATGTTTTTGGTTGTTACATTTTGATTCGATGAAGAATTTGCCAAACTTTTTGTTTTTATTGATGGTTGTGAGTTTTTATGAACTTCTAATTTTGTTATTTTGTCTTTGCTAAAACTTTCCTTAAAGATATTGTTGTTCAAAGGTGGTGTATATTGAGCTTTTATTGGTGTGTTGAAGTTCTCTGGGTGGTAGTTGCTCGGATCATTGGTTGAACCCGTAGAATTGTCAGTGTTGAAGTCTGTTGAATCTAGTTTCATCTTTATTAGTACATTGAAGATCTTTTCCAAGCTTTCGGCAGCTTGTTTTGATAACAATAACGAGTCCATGGAGTTTGTTAGATCACTTGTCTCTTCTCCATCGATACCATTGTCTGTTGGGTCACTGATGTTGTTGTTCATATGTAATTCAGTTGTCAAGATATTATTTTTTATAGTTGGAATACCGTTTTCATTATTTATGTCGTTTTTGTCCATATTCACTTTGTGATTTCCTTGGCTGTTAACCACAACCGTGGTGACTTCAGGTTCATATTGCATAGCGATCAACGAGTCTTTCAAACATCTTCCGTTTTGAAACTTGGATCCAATCGAGCATTCACAAGCACCGTGAACACAAATGAAGCCAGTAGGACAGTCTAATTGTTCTATACAAGCCATGGATTCGTGAGGATGAAGTCTGATGTCGTCACGATGGACACATTTCTTCTTCCAATGCAAAAGAGGGGAAATGCATTCGCATTGGGAGTCGATGCACTCTGCACCTTTGATACAATCGTTTTGTTTTGAGGTTGAATCACATGGCTGGCCTGGAAGGGTTTTCACTGCAAGGGGAAGTTGTTAGTGGGTATGTTAATATTGTTATTGATATTAAATCGGAGGTAGGAGGAGGGGTTTTAATAGGGTTTGTCACACTGTTCACGTCACACTCACTGATTATGTTAAAACTGCATGAAGCTTTATATATGTTTTCGATTTACAGAAAACATGATATAAGTCATGCAGCTTATCACAATGTATAAGGTATCACACAATGTGTTATATAGGTTCTCACTATACCTACCTACGACACAAGTCTGTTCTTTAGCGATTAGACCCTGTGGGCACACACATTGCTGATTTTGGCAGCGTGTTCCGGGGAAGGCTGCTTGACATTGTTTGTCAACAGTGCAGCCGGTTTGGCCTGGGTACAGTACTATACTCAAGATCATACTACAGTATCTCAAACTTACTTTTCTCACATTTGTTGTTGACTTCAACATGAGTGGATAGACATTGACATGTTGGAGGGGTGGTATTGCCGTTACAGTAGGCATCAGTAGTACAGTCAGCATTCAAAGTACATGGCTGACCGACTGCTACCTTGTTGTTGGATGTAATCTTGAAAGGATTTGTGGGTCGAGTTGAAACGGGCGCAGCTCGAGGTGGAGTGGGCTGTGTGGGTAGGGTGTTGGGCATGGTTTGTGGCATCATTGTAGCTGGCTGTGGGTATATGACTTGTGATGGAGTGTTGATGTATTGTTGATTAGGGTAGGCTGGCGTTTGTGGACCGTACTTTCCGTAAGATTTTTGGGATTCAATACCTAAAACAAGGAAAGATAACTTTATAATGTTAAAACAATGCTAACGTTTGTTATATGATTTTGAAAAGAAGATAAGCAAGAAAATGTTGGATTGATTTTAAGATTGAAACACTTTGTTAACAAGCAGAAGCAATACTTATGCCAAAAACTTACTCTTTGTTGGCTTACTGTAGAAAGTGTTCAAAGCAGCTAATGTCGTTCTAACCTGAACACACTCTCCGTTCTCCAAGTCTGTTCCTGGAGGACAAACACAAACAGGTATTTTGGAATCACAGACTGATCCACGTTGACAGGCTTCACCGTGATTACACAGTTCTCCAGGACCTGCGGTTTTTGGCGTCTTCTGCATTTCAACACATGCTCCACCAGCTTCAACGTATGGTGCTACACAGAGACATTGACTGTTCACACAGGAACTGCCATCTGGGCATTGAGCTGATACAGTGCAGGCACCGTGAAGCGCTACTGAAATGGGGCGATAGCTAGGGTTAAATTGCTGATAGTTGGGGTTTAAGCTGGTTATAGGAAATTTTTTTTTAAATTAGGTAATGATTTTAGGATTCTTTGGAATTGAAGAGTAAGTATTGGCTAATAATAATTAAAGAATAAGTATTGGGCTTGATAATAGGTATAGGTAACGGAAAGTAAAAAACGAGACAATAATGTATTGTTTCTAAATTGTTCTTCTTACCTTTGAGACTGTTGTAAGCCGGCTGCACACATTGTCCGTTAATGTTTTCCAATTCCTGAGGACATAGACATTTCCAAAGTGAGGTGACGCAAATTGACCCTCCAGAACATTGCTCGCCATTGGCACAAGATTCACCTGAACATAAAACGATTTGTAAAGAAAAATATTTTTAACAAAAATCGAAATATACTACAGAAAATATAAAATATATTTTTAAAAGATCTTGTTAACGAAATAATACTGTTTTATGATACCTATCGGCAGCCTAGAAATTGGCTAAATGATACCTGGTGGCGACGTTTTTGGCGCAGGTCCAAGGGCAGGTGTAGCTGTACATGATAATGTCTCAAGGTTGGCTACAGTTCCATAAGGACATAGACAACGTCCTTGAATAGGATCACATACTGTACCGCCAATACATTGTTCACCATGGGTACAAGAACCGTTAAGAATTGCTGAAAAATTAATTTTTTGCAAGTTATGCGCATAATACTATAATTACTTTTAAAAATTTTGCAAAATTATGTAATAGTAAGAGTGTTTTAAAAATTGTAAAAAGATGTGTTAGGTATGGTAAAATACGAAACCTAAGTTTAATTTCTTTATCATAGTATTTTACATCAAAAACTCATTTCATTAGGTTAAAACATACCAATATTCATTAACTGTAGCCCTTTTTGAATACTGTTACTCTGGAGTTCATTAACTGGCGTCGGATACTTGCATTGTTGACTTAAGAACTCGAATACCATTCCAGCTGGACAAAAGTTTTGGGTCCAGTAGCCCATTCCGCTACAAAAAAAATTAATTTTGTTAGATCCAAGTTTCAAAAAAAGGTATAAAATTTAAATTTTTAAATAAAAAGACAATATTTTTTAAAAATTACAGCAACCTACCCAATACCAATAGCCACACATCGCAAATAGGCAGCTGGACTGAGCGTCCGCTGATCCATTAGAAGTGTGTCTGTTTCTGGATTACATGGCTGATTTGGCTGGACTGTTTGACTAACTTGGCACAAAATTAAAGGAAAAATTGCCGAAACGGCTACTGATTTTAAAATTGTCATTTTGGGTATTTTAAAGAAGTACGAACATTAGAAATCTCTAGGAAAATCTGAAAAAATACGTTAAATTTAGGTATAATACATAATACGTTATTTTACTGTAAAACGGAAATTAATGAAGCCCGCGTATTTAAAAAAAATTTTAAACTTAAAATAATTAAAATTAGAATGCGAACTCGTATTTTACATCGTAATTAAGTTATTTTTGGCTACAATCTTGGAGAAAAGTAAAATCCGAAAACAGAGTTACAACCGAACCTCTTGAACAGCGCAAATCGGTTTCATGACTGCAGGTCAAAAAGACTTGGACATTCTTGATCGCCACTTGAGACCCGAAAGTGGTCGCAAATCCCTTTCGGTCCAGATATATGTTCGTATTTGTGATCAAATGGTATGAATGTTTTCTAATTAGTAGAATAAGGCTATAGGACCATAATAGCTATTCTAATTGACCTAGTAGCAATATAGGTTACGTACGTGCTATCAATTGTAAGGGATCTAATAGGACAATAGGCTTATGGTACCGGTTGTATTTGAGCTGGGGCTATAGAACTATAGCGACTCTAATTACCCTAGTAGGACTTTAGAACTATACTAGCGATTGCTTATCAGTGTTAATGTAATGAAAGGGGCCTAACTTTAACTATGTTATTGTAAAACTGCATTCTAGTTAAAGTTAGGTTTTGTATGTTGAAGGTTTTTAAAAAATATTTCTTGAATACTGACACAAAAAGCTCGTGGTATATATCGATCTACAGTAACGTTTCAATTTATTTTTTAATCTTAAACTGTTGAAATAAGAGAAAAGAGCATCAATGTCATCCTCTACGAGTACCAAGCTTTCAAAATACATAAGCCTTGAGTTTGATCTGAGACTCAGTTACTTTGTATACTTACTGCCGTAATCTACTGTATCATTAAAATATAGTACTAACTTATTGGCTAGTTTAAACTAGTGATTATTTATCATTTCTTACTGCACAAATTTTTGCAATAGTAATTTCTGCAGTGTTACATAACATCAAACCCTATAAACAGTAATCATTAACAAAGACTACATTATCATTAAAATTTCTATGACTATATTAACTATTACCAACTCTGTAAACTACAGTAATCACCAAACAACTCTTCCATCACAAGAATCAAAAACACAAAACAAGAATCAGAAGCAGAACCACGATACTCTAATCAATCCGTATCAACAACAATTTACAAACGCGGAAATGAAATTTAAAAAAATGATTTGCGCGGCGATTAAAATAAGCTTGGTCATGATGACTAAAAATAAGTATCCGATTTCCAATCAAAAATTATTCGAAATGAGTGGTAAGACTAAGCTCGAGAACACGCGTTCTGAGGTTTAAGAGACAACGTTGAGGTAATGTTAAGGACAAACATTACGTCGTTGCGACAACATAACCGAGGACATGTTTTTGATGACATAGGTGGGTTGGGAAGTTTAATTTGGGGTAAAATACGGCACACTTCGGCTTTATTTATTATTGGATGTTTAGTATCGTCTTGTTTTGTAAAAATGTTAGGTAGTACTTGACAGTTTTAGGTAATAATTAGGATGTACAGGTCAATTTAGGTCTGGTAAGGATAGTGCAAGCCATTTGAGAAGCGAGGGATGATAATACTGATTTATATGAATAAATTTTCGAAAAATAAAAAAATTTGACGTCAAATTTCACAACGAATGGTCTACCGAGTGGAGCGTTGAGTAATATGGACTTAACGCCGAGTTGTAACCGAGCAAACAAACGGCTTAACTGTTTCGAATACCGTCTTCTGATCAATTGAAGGGACTGGTCACTCGCTAGTTTAAAACTACCAAAGATCTTAAGTAAACAAGCCTGAAGGCAGAGTAATCGCCGCAAAAGTTCGAATTGTCAGCGGTGCAAACAGTAGCGGTTGGTGTTGGAGGTATCGGTATTGGGTTGGAGGCATGGGTATTGTGCTGGAGGGATAGGTATAACTACTGTGTGGAAAAGTAAAAATATTTAAAAATTTAGTTTTTTTTGACATTTTTTAAATACATCTTGTAAATAGACAAAAATAACCAAAAATTTTAAAAAATCAAAAAAATATTGTTATTGCCCAATAACCGCCTTCCGATACTGAGGAATGACAAAGATAACAGACAGAGAGTTCAAAATTGGTATGATATTAATCAATCCAATCCCAACCATGCCAAGCCAATAGAAGTCGGCCGCTCCTCCATTTAAAAATGGAACGGCAGCCAGAGCAAACAAAGGTATACCCATGGCTATTACTGGGTAAATGGCTTGTAATATCATGATTCTACTGATCTCTCGTTGCATTTCTTCTCGTTCTGGGGTCAAATCAAGGTGATTCTCTGCCATCGCTTTCCAGGTCTTGAAGCCGAAGATGATGGTGACTATGTAACATACGATAAGGACTACTTGGCAGTGGAGCGCGTGGAAGAAGTAGGGTATTGAGGTGGTCTGTAAGGGGTTTAATAACGACTGGAAAGATTAAAGGTCATGTGTTTTACGTTTGTTCAGATAATTCTGTGCCCTCTCCAAAATTTGCTTTGAGAAGAGGTACAGAATTATTTGAACAACCTAATAAAATTATTATACATACCGTATCCCCAACTAAATAAGCATTAGGAAGCCTATCCTTGAATATCGGATTCACCGTCAACATATCATCGTACTGTTTACTCATTGTATTCATAGTAACTGGACACAATCCAGCATGTAAAGCAATATACACAAAGAATACTGCTATTATAGATGTTATTTCTCGTTTACTGTATGGTGTATATCTTGCAATGATACCGTATCTGTATATGAATTGCAAAGGTATAGCGATTACTGTAAGATATAAAGAGAATGTCCAAAATGAAGCTGTAAAAGCACCTAGGGTAGCGTTTACTGGATGATATGGGTTGTCTACTACAATATACAGTAAGCCCGATTGAACGTCTAGGGTCTGAAATATAATAGGTTACGGTAGAAGTAGTACAGTATGTTTACTTATAAAAGGCTACAAAATTATGTAGTAAAACGATACAAAGTATGCAATATATATTGTTATAGTAACTCACCCCCATCAAAATTACTGATACTAGAGTAAAGAACAAGTCTACTGTAGTGTTTAACATGATCATCTTACTGTAACTCCGTAAATATTTTGGCGTTTTTGTTTTTACAAGCTTTAGTACAGTAATACCAAGTATCCATGATAGTATAAATACAATTATTTCGTAGTAGAAATGGAAATCTCTTGTTATGAACATTAAAATATCTTACTGTAGTTAACAAAATTTATACAATAAATTTACTTTTAGTTACAGTAGAGTTCAGTAATTAAAGTATCCTTGTATTTAGTTTGAATAGTTAACAATATAATAATACCGTAACTTTAATCAAAATAAGCACACTGTAACATACTATAAGCAAAGGCAAGTTTAAAGCCGACAGCTATGATAAAAACCAGTTACGTATATAAAAACGGGACAACAAACGGCTGTTCAATGTGTTATGTTGCATTTATATGCAGACATGTCAAGGTCAAGTTGATGACATCCAGACATACCACTGCCATGTTATGTCTAGATAACATTGTACTTTATTTACCGATTTAATCGGTCGAATTGTAATATAAAAGAATCCACTTTATATTCAACTCAGACAATGCAACAATCCACAGTTGTTTTTGAGTTACAAGTGTCTTGTTTATGACTATTTGGGTACCTTTATATTGTTATATTGAAACACTTCCGCTTTCAACTTTTTTTTTATTTTGAGGTTTTTATATGGTATAAAATATAAAAAACGTCAAAATAAAATGATAGAAGAGATGTCTATGTTATTATAGTCTATGTTAATATTGATAACACCAAAAACGTGCTTGAGAAGGGACACAGAATTATTTGAAAAACCGTAAAACCTAGATTTAATAAACTTATAAAAAACTGGGCCAAACCCAATTTGTTTGGCACAGATTTTTTCAAATTTGCTTCAGCCTGGCGCAACGCCTATTAAGTTTGCTAGGAGCGGCCCGGGCCGAATGGAAGTCTTTCCAGTGCTTATAATATGGATTTAGAAAGGTAGACCTAACATTATTTTTGCTATTAAACAACCTATAGGTTAAAGTGTACCTAAAATTGCCAAGAAGAAATACATTTATCTTTTTTCCAGTTGTTTCTATGATAATAACTCTTATGTATGTAAAATTCTAAGTTGCGGTTTGCGGCCACTCTTGAGAAAATCGAGATCAAAAAATTGCGTTTTGAATTTCCCGCCAACTTGGCATAGTGTTGCAAGCTTTTAACTTTGTCATTTTTTGACTTTTAATTATTTTTCTTTAATATAATGATAGAAAAGCTTCAAATAAACCTACATTTTTAAATTTATAAGCCTATCTTACCTGGAACATCAAAAAAGTGCTTGCAACAGAACGCCAAATCGGCCAAATTGGCGGGAAACTTAAATATATTAATTTTTTATGTGTGCTAATGGTACTACAAAGAAACCGTATAAAAATTTTGAGCTAATTCTAAGAGTTGCAGGTTGGGTACTTTCCTTGTTAATATTTTAAATTTTAATGATAAGTTTATTTCAAAATCGAGTCATAAAAGTTATTGAGTTTTAGTTACAGAAAACAGCTTTTCTATACTGTGGAATCACAAAGATAACTGATATACAGTTCAAGATGGGGATGAGATTGACCAAGCCAATGCCGACCATTCCCAACCAATAAAAGTTGAATTTGTCGCCACTTTCATCATGCATAAAGGGAACGGCGGCTAAGAAAAATAGAGGAATAGCCATCGCCACGACTGGGTATATGGCCTGTAAATGGTACAATTTGAATTTTTTTTAATTTTAAAAAACTGCTTAACGATTTTAAACTTTTTGAATTTTAAAATTAATTTTTAAAAAACTATTATAAATTTATTTTGAGCGGTTCAAATAATTTTGTGCCCTTTCTCAAGGTTTATTACAAACCTTTTAACAATTACCTGCAAAACAATAATTCGACTGATTTCAGTTTGCATTTCGCGCCGTTCTGGAGTCAGTTCATGCTGATGTGACTTCATGATCTTCCAGGTTTTATATCCAAACACTATGGTAAAGGCATAACATACGATAAGTACGATTTGACAGTGAAGAACGTGTAGCCTGTTCATGTTAAACGTACGCTGAAATAGACCAGTTTCACAGCAGTTATCGTATTTTACCCTTTTTTGATCAAAAAAATATTTTTTTTTAAATCAGGCTATTCCTTATTTTTATATCCTGTATTACTCTGTTTACTATATTACCATATAACCCATCAGTAAACGTACAAAACAGTACAGTACAGAACACTTCCAACTTCACTTACCGAATCCCCGACCAAATAAGCATTAGGCAGGTTGTTTTTGAATATCGGATTCAGCTCCAACATGTCATCGTACACCTTACTCTTCTCGTGCATAGTAACTGGACACAAAAAGGAATGTACAGTAATGTAAGCAACAAATCCCAATATCATTAACATCAATTGACCTCGGGAATAAGGTGAGTGTCTGGCAATGATACCGTAACGGTAAATGAACTGTAATGGAATTGCGACTACAGTAAGATACAAAGAGAAGGTCCAAAAGGAAGCAGTAAAGGCGCCAAGAGAAGAGTTTACTGGATGGTAAGGGTTGTCGATGATTATGTAGAGGAGACCGGATCGAACGTCTAGAGTCTGAAACGTGATGTTAACATTATCTTTTGAACTTTTATTATAACTTTCATAGCATAGATTGGAATGCAATATATAATGAAAATTAGTACAATAATACAGTACTAGGTACTTGTAATGCAAATTAGAACAATAAAATGATACTATGTGACCTTGCTTCCAAGTAAAAACTTACCCCCATCAAGATAACAGAAACCAAAGAGAAGAACATGTCGACAATGGTATTCAACATGATCATCTTACTGTAAGCTCTTAAATATTTTGGCGTTTTTGTCTTGACCAAGTATATTACCAAGAAACTGAGAAGCCATGTTACTATGAATACTATAATTTCATAGTAATAATGTGCGTTTCGAGTAATATTAGCCGACATTTCACCGTAACTTAGTACTGTAAGATAGTTTAATTCAAAATTATAAGTTGTTCAATATTTTTATAATAGTATTCAAATAAGCCAAGCTTTCTAGTTTAAGATGCTTTGATAGTACCTTAAATGGTTTTAATTAGTATATACTAAAGAGTACAGTACCAGTCTGGATTAGCTACTAATTTTTAACCTTTTTACAATAACAAGGCTTTCAGTAGAATAGGTATAAAAAAAGAGAATAATAGAACTATGTTGCAATTTTAAATCCTCATATTATTCAATCACCTTTTCAAGGTTAATATTGTGACAAAAACGATTTTCCGGATCAACTAACGGATGCTTTTAATTGCGGGAAACACGTGAACTTGATTGAACCTTCAATAAATGTAGAAAAAAGTAGAATGCAACAAGTTTATCTCCAAAAATTTTTTTAATTTCATAAATAAAATTTTTTAAAAATACACTTTTAGAAACAATAGAAGATGTAAACACAAAAAAAAATTTGCTTCAAATTGACTCAAACTCACACCAACGTGTACTGAGTTACTCATAAGCAGCTTCGACAAAAAAAACTTTTCCAAAGTAACAATATCCAAGAATACTGTAATTGGCTAAATGAAATACACCTACAATTTAATAAAAACCTTTAAACTTTTCAAACACCTTAAAAAATTCAAAATTTCATAAAGTATTATATTACCCTTTATTTTATAAGAAATTTTATGATCAGCATGCACAGAACGTTGATGATAATTAGGTACAACGATGACTTGAGAAAGAGATCAAACTTCGGACGGCCTTCATTGTCCTTCTTCTTCGTCAACAAGCTCTTGGTACTTGTCGTGGGTCCATGGGTTTCTGGTACGGTCGTCTTCTCGACGAGATTCTCGTCTGTTGAAGCCGTTATGGTTAGTCTTAAAGAAATGACAATTATAAAATGTCAGAACAACAAAAAAACTTTCAAAATTAAGTTAAAACACAAATTCTTAACTACAACATATTCCCTTATACATAAAAGAAATTTTTAATCATTTTTTTAAATTTTAAAAGTAATTTTTATTTTGAAAATTTAAAACAAAAAACTTGTTTTAAAGCTGTACGAATGTCATTTATATCTCCACCGCCCTAATAACTATTATAATGCGATTGTTTAGCATAATTTGTGTCTGGAAATCAATTCTATCAGCCTTCATTGTAATATCAATATAAAACGACCTACAAACAATAAACAATAAATTTTTCAATATTGCTCAAAAAAGTTTTAAACGTCTCGTGACATAATATTTAGAAAAAATATCTTTTCTTTTTTAATACAAAAGTTTGATTTATAAAATTCAGTTTAAAGTTGTGATTTAATTCTATTATATTCTTCAAATAAGAATAAGCACAGATACTTGAAAAAAGTAAAAAAACCATGCAATATAAGATATCGACTATTTAACATTACAAATTTAAACCTCTTTTTGAGATAGCAATTTTGTTTAAAAAAAAAGCTTGCTTCAAAGAATATTGCACTTCAAATTCGCCGTAATTAAAGAACGGATTAAGCCGTAAGAAACTCTTCTGAAAATAATCCTTTGATCACAGAAAGAGGCTACATTATCCGAAAATCGGAAAGAGAGAGGAAAGCGGAGAGTAGAGGAATATTTCCGTCTCCTCTTTGCATACCAACTAACAGCAATTCGAGACATAGTTATTAGATGTCTTTGGAGCTGTTAGAAAAAGATTGGTTTCCTTTATAGACTTTGTAAAATCATATAAATTCAAAACTGTGCTTTCAACAACAGCTAGTTAAATTTGGACAGAAAACATTGATAAATATTCAGGAACGCAGTACGTCGTATTTTACACTAATCGACATTACTTTGGCTATACAACCGTAAATACCTTCCTAATACACCCAAAAATACAAAAAATGTCTAGTAAAAGTGCTAAAACCCCAAAAAGTATTCAAAAAGATGGCTAAACAACGTCACGTTAAGTCGTTTCGTAAGACTTCCTTTGTCTGAATCATAAAAACTTACAAAACCGTCCCGCCTCGAATCAAATCTTTTGTCAAAACGCTTCCTCGGTACGTAATCTATCCGGTTGTCATGCTAAAAACATAATAAATAAACATGTTTTTAAATAAATTACTTTATTACAATAGCTAGTAAAGTATTCAACTAATACTGCTTTCCAAAAATAATTTTTAAACATCAAAAACTTACTAAAAAGTATCGTGGAGCTTTGGGCACCAAATCCGGGTTGTCTAGCTTAATCAAAGATTTGTCGTCCTCTTTTTTCTTCCATCTATCATCTCTTCTTCGATCGTTTACACGTTTATCATCTAAAACAAGATACAACTAAACAACTGAACTCACCTCTCTCACGATGTCCATGGAAATGCCTTCTTTCAGGTCTAGAAAACATTTTACACATATGGCAAGAAGACTTTTGTCGGTTTGAAACGACATAAACACAATCAAAGACATGAGAGATAAATCTTACCGCTGATGTCTCCGTTCACTCTCTAAAAAAATAAAAATTAGCCTTAAGTTAATAAAGTACGTAAATATTTTTAAACATTCCTAAAATACTCATTAATCATTTAATCAAAAATTCACTTACCTTTCCTCATAGTTCCACCAGATATTTGGTTCAAAACAACCTTATCAACCTGCCTACCATTATAATTTGGCCTTCTTTCATTAAATTTCTTGAAGTTATAATGTGGCCGACTAAAACTACCCTGTTGTCGACGTTCAAAATCGCGTCTATGGTCCCCATCTCTGTTTCTGTACATTATAAACAACTATTTTACAAAATAACCGATAAAATTGGTGGAAATTATTTTTCCATCGAATATTTTTGCGCAGCCTGCAAGAAACATCTTATACTCGGTTGCACTTCGCAAAGGAGAAAAAATGCGAAAATATTTTTGTTTTTGGCGCTTTATTTTCTCGTACACAACTTTAAGTATAATTTATTGAGTATTGAACACGAAGATGAGCGAGGAACCAGAAGCCAAGAAGTCTAAAGTTGAGGACGACGCCAATTCTAGTGAAGAAGGGCCCAAACCATTGCCAGCAGGCTGGGAGAAGCGCATGAGCCGCAGTAACAGTAAGTTTTTTGTTGTTTTATTTATTTAGATCGTAGAAGATAGCCCAAATTGTTTTTTGGTCAATTATTGTTTTTTTGACGTGATAGTCAATTTTAGATTTAATTTTCTTATTAATCTTAAGTTTCCATTTTTGTTATCTAAAATTTCGAATTTAGATAAAGAATATTACTTGAACGTTTATACTGGACGTTCTCAGTGGGATCGGCCAACTAAGCCAGCCGAAGAAGATACCAAATTGCCCAAGAAAGTTCAGTGTCTTCACATTTTGGTCAAACATGAAGGATCTCGCAGGCCAAGCTCGTGGAGGACAGAGAACATCACCAGGTCCAAGGAGGATGCCGAGAAGATTTTAAGAGGTAATTTTCTTATAAGATAGGAAAGTTTTTTATTTTTTAGTGTGTATATGGCTTGAAATTCAAGTGAAAATTTAAGTTTTAAACTGTCTGATTTTAAATTTTCATCTTTTAAAAAATCTTTCAGGGTACCAAAAGGAGCTGAACGCTCTGGACAAGGCTGAAAGGAAGCGTAAATTCAAGCAATTGGCCAGCGAGTTTAGCGATTGTTCCTCTGCCAAACGGAACGGTGACTTGGGTCCGTTTGGTCATGGACAAATGCAAAAAGCCTTTGAAGACGCATCTTTTAAACTCACCATCGATGAAATGAGCGACGTTGTGGATACTGACTCTGGTCTACATCTGATTTACCGTATTGCGTAGTGTAGTTATTTATTGTTCTTATGAGTCTCATGATTTTGTTTGTAGCACATTGTGTAAACTGTTATGAAATTTGAATCTTGTGCCATTTTTCGTAAGTATTATTATTTAGTTGGTTCTTTTGTTTTTAATAAACTTTTGGTTTCTTAAAAAGTTTAGATTTTGAATTAGTTTTGAACTTTATTATTAAAAGATAAAAATATCTGATCTTTGTTAAGCGGTGTATTTCCTTCTTTATATGTAGTTGATGGCCAATGGACTTGACTTATTGATAGGATAAAGGTCGGTGTATATTTCAAAGGGAACCCCCCAAGAACTTTGTTTCTATGTATTATAAACCAGGACTATCCCAATGTGAGTTGATCTTACTCTATTACGTTTGTTTACCGATTTTGTTTCATTCGAACGAGGAAATACGTTGATTCTTGGAAAAGTCGTGGTCGTTTGAATATTTTACTGAAGCGGGAACCCTTGTTTTTTTCGATGAAGTATGAATTGATTGATGACGGTGCTCTTACCTTCACATCGATTACAATTCAGTAAACGTTCGTTCAAAGAACTTGTCGATTTAGGGTGCCATGTGCTTGGATTGGTACACTAGTTCTTAATACTTAATCTAGTGTTTCTTCTAGCGTGTTGATGAAAAGCTTTATCTGTTTTATTATGCATGATATACATGAATATAAAATAATAAATGTATTTGTATATAAAACTATAGTAAGATTCTATAATTTTACCGGATTTTTTATTTAAATTTACACAAACTTTTTCAAAACGTTGTCATATACAACAATATAACTGTGGCTCTCGCCGCAAAATATGCGAACCTTCCATTCCAAAAGTACGAAACCCAGACATCACATATGACCAAAGTATGTCACATTATGATAGGAAACCTTCAGCGACGTGGGAATCCCTCGCAGCCATCAATCGATGTGAACGAATTCATCACTCTCTTTGCACGACAAAAGGTTATCAATCCAAATGACAGTCAAACTGCCATCCATTTTGTTTGTTCAGCAAATAGTTTGCAAACTACAGTAAATTCGAGATGTAAACATTTGAAAACCATGTAAATGTTCGTGGAGAAAATTCGCGTTTATATTATTGAACGTTCCGGGTTTACATTACATGTACGTATTGCCTTGGTTTTAAAATACGATGGCAGTTGGTGAGAGTTGGTTTGGGTAACAAAATGACAGCTAGATTCAAAAAAGTTTACAGAGAACGTAAAATGATGAATCGTATTGATTAAAAGTGTTGTAATAATTTGTTTTGAAGAAAGTCCACTTAACTTTCAAGTGTATTGATCTTTCACAATAATTTCTTCAGTTTTTTCTTCCTTATAAATATGTTGTAAGTGCATAGTCACAAAAGATTGTCATTGATTAGGAAATGTATTGGCCTTCCTCTAACATACTTTACCCCTTCCCAGGCCAAAGTTATCAATCCGAGTGGTGACAGTCAGTCTGAAGTTATCAGCCCAGATTGATGACAATCAACCCAAGTAACAAAAAACCAAAAGTAAAGTAAAAAAGATAACATAGTGGAAGTAAAGCAATAAATTATGGCAGAGTATTGTTTAGATGTCAGAACAAGAAATTTCTTCATTTTAGCTTAAAATAGCATGAAAAAACTATTTATGGTAAACATATTTCACTTGTATTTACTATCTTGTAAATCTGCAATCACGCGATAAAAAAAACAACTATTTCAAATTTGATAGGACGATTTGGAAATACCAAATCAGATGAAGTAAAAAACAACAACTATAAAATTTTTATCATAAAATAACTTAAAATACGTTTTGTTGTTTAAAATACGACAGTGACAACTCGTTGTACTGAACCTAGTAGCACAATTTTATTTGCTTTCCGCTCATTATGTTTGTTATTAAAAAAAACGTTTTTTAAAATTTAGTTGGTCATCCAAAAATCTTGAACTTCCAATGATGTTTTTAAGTTAAGGTGTAACAAATTTTTGAGTCATTATATTCTCATGAATCACTTACAATAACATAGACTTGAACTATCAAACAATTCTTGTAGCTGCAATGTTGTAAATGAAGATAATGTGACGATATCTGTGCAATGTCCGGTTTGGCCAAAGAAGCGACACGCCCTTTAATGCGACATTCGTCGCAACACCAAAGACTACAATTTTTTTATACTCATCAACTTCTATCACATAAATTTTATCATTATTGTTCTCTCCATTAGTTTACGTTTTATCTACATTCTCCTTCAAAATCTCACGTTTACTCTGTATTTCTGTATCTAATCATGTCTATAAATCCCTTCCTTGTTTTTGTTTATTATGATCTTTGTCATGCGCCAGTTAGTCATACAATCGTGTTGCGCGCACGTAACCTACACTTGTGGCGTATCGCTTCACAAAGTCCAATATATTACACTTTGGGAAGGACGGGGGTATCCCCGATGGAGAGAAATGTCTTTAAAACTCTCAGCCCCTTTATTATTTTCTCTCATTTCCATCATTCTACCAGCCATCGTCGACGACTACACGTAGACGCGCTCTGTTTAATATCGTTTGTTTGGGTGCTGTCACAACTGTAACAGAGTTGGCATTGCCTTGGGGTGTGTAATATCAGGCTTTTAGGTTGTAATGTAATGTTATTGTAATGCTTTTCCATTAGCAAATTTTATACTTTATGATTGGTTGAAGTTGTTATCGATAATATTGTAATAGCATTCGTTTGGTGTAATGTCGGCTCATATTGTGGCAGCATTTTTTGAAAAACATCCTTTAAAAACTCTTTTTCTATTACTACATGAAAACTAAAAGTCTACCTTATGGCGTGATTTTGAACTTCAATAACTTAAAAAACTATCTGCCATACCTCCTTTGTTAAAAAAGTGATTTACTTTCTCAAAATGTCATCCAGCTGTATATATCTTTCTTTTTATAGACAAAAAAGTTCAAAAAGTACCCAAAACTACAAGAACGTGTTGTGTAGCTGAACCACCGCTAAATAATTTTATTAGGGTTATCGTCTGTTTCCATCAATCTAAATGATCTTTTAAGTTATCAACGCTGAGGAAATCCCTTTTTACAGCGTCGTATGACAAACCGAGAATCAAACGTCTTTCTCGTTTTTGCCTTCTATAATATGAAAAAGATAGCAAAGTTACATTCAACGCACGTATCGTATAATTCTTTACATTAACATGAATTTTAGTAAACTTTTTTATCACTATGTTGTCTTATGCGATAGTAAACATCTATTTATGCAGTACAAGGTCATAAATTTTTTGTTCCTTTACATATATTTATAAAAAGATAGTTAAATAAAGTAACTTTAAGAAGAATGATGTAATTATACAATAAATGTCATTCACTAGTATATTTTACTTTGTTTGTTTATCGTCCTTTACCATTACTGCATTTCCGTGTAAATAACAGTTATGAAAACTATAAAGTCGCGGTTTACAATTTCACCTATCACATGACGCTACTTTTTGCAGATTCTACTCTCAGCAAATTAAACTACAATCAACTTTACAACTCGTTCATAAAGAACACGCTACGTTTGTTCACAAGAACAAACTATCACCCCTCCAACCAGCAAATCCATCAATTTTAGCCAAAACGGCTAAATTCCAATTCATCGGGATTCGCTTTATATGGACATACCGTTAACTTAATCCACCAACCCATCCACATTAATTGGTTCTACCGTCTGTTGAGAGCCAATTAGTCCCCTCAACCCATATTGTTATAGTATTGTGTACTAGCAAATGCGAATCGCGCCGCTGCCGCGCCAGTTAACTTCGGATTCGTGTGCTCAAGCCTCATCTTCTGACTACTCGATCGCTGACTTCTCAGCCGACGCCCCACCAGCTCCATTCCTCTACAACACCGCTGAGTTAAACGCACCGTGCAACGACTGGACCTCGTTGTCGGTGATCTGCTTCGGCGTTTGTGAATTGACCATCCGCCGTCTTCGTTCGGCCGCTCCGTCCCGCAGCTGTGGCACAGTCGTCGACTGAAGTGGGAACTGTTGAATCTAAAACTCAACGCTAAAGACGACCGTTGTTACGACGTTTTAGAACCGTCACAGTACCCATAAGAATCGTGGAATTGAAGAAAAGTAGCTAACATTCTGTTAGAGACAACCTGTTACCTTCAATCAACTACTACAACTTCACATCCACATCCTCCACTAGACCTTAGGCGTAGTTAAAGTGGCCATGGCCTCTATCCCAATGTTCGGCAACGCTCTCCACTCGCGTCACATTCGTTCAGCGTACCAACGTCGCCGTGATGACCAGAACAAAGAACCTCAGGGCGTTCTTCAACGTTCTCGTTCATCGCAAGCTCGTCTCGAAAACCTGGATCACAACAAAGAACATCGCGAACACAAACATCATCATCACCACAAACAACCGCACCATGAGCAACATGAACATCACGTTCAGCCAATCAGACATCAGCTCTTCACAAACCCGCATATTCCACTTCAACAGTACGAACATGCCAAGGTTCATGAGAAGCCCATCTTCGCTTTGTCATTGGAAGCCGAGCGTATGGCCTTGAGCCAGTTGGCCATGCCATCGGCTCCACGTCGCGACCGTCGAGCTTTGAGTGCTCCGGAATTGGGAGATGACAGTAGTCAGAAGCCAGTAGAAAGTCAGGCCCAGCCCAACGGCTGGAAATGGGATGTCGGAGGCACGTTCAGACCGTTTGACATCAGCTCTTCTTGTAAGTTGGCCTTTGATACGATCAGTAATGTTATCTTAAGTACAACCTGTTCTTTTAAATAACATTAAATTTGCAGTAGAAGACTTTAAAAACTTACTTTACTTCTTTTCAGGTATCCGCAAAGGCATTGTCGACGCAATTCAAACTTTTGCCAACGCTCCGACCGCTTGAGCCACAACATCCAATAACATCCGAAACTAACAGACGATAAACAACAAAAAAATCAGAAATAAAGTTTAACACTTACGTTAGATAAATATATTTTGTCATCAACTTATTTAAAAAATATTTTCTTGCAAAACGTCATATACAATGTACTTTTCGTTTCAAAGTTACAATATTTTGCTTTCTTTACAATAACTTGTTGATCATATATTTTTTCAATGTTGTTACTTTTGTTTTTTAAAAAAATAAACAAAAAAACCAAGAATTGACAACGTGTTTTACTGAATAATCAAAATATGACCTTGATGTATACGTATTCCTACTGACAATTAATGCAAATCTCGATGATACACAAAAATACGAAAAAATGATAATAAACAACTATAATAACATCATTATAACAAGTTTATTTTAAAAAAAGTTTTGTATTTTATACTCTAAGGTAATTTTTATTTATCTTGATTGCCTTACCAGAATTTTGTCATAACTATCACATTTTTATTTGAAATACGCATGTATTTTTGCTACTTTTATATAAAAATGAATAACATTGCTCATAATCTTGTATTTTTCAACTTTCAATCCCATATTTTTCTAAATTCTTGCTCAAACCTGTGTAAAATGCCGCCAAATTCATGCACCTTTTCACGAAAATTCGAATTTCGTGGCCAATTTGGCCTCATTTAGAGCGCCTTAATTATAGCTTTACTGCGCGTATGATGAAAACATAAGTAACTCCCCAGGTAAATGTAAAAAACAGAAAAAGGAAGGACTCCGCTTTCATGCCAACATATATAATACATATAACATAAGTAATATTCTTCGAGTAAATTTGTCTGCTTTTTTTGAAATTGTTTCTTGAAAGTTGTCATAGCATTAAAATAAATTTAAATTTAAAATTATGCTGCTTACTTAAAATTTTGGTTTGTCATAATAATCAAAATTTACTTATCTTCAACGTATTGTACATTATCAGAGGCTGTTTTCATTGTCTTTTGGCAGATCAGTCTGCCACTTCTAACCAAGTCTTGTTGATTATTCAAAAATTTTGATTCTAATGTTGTTTCTTATAACGAGAGACATCAGTATCATGTAAAAATGCCACTTTCCTCTTCTTGTTTTATTTACATCTGCAACATGCCTGAAATAGAGAAAGAGTTGACTCGTTGCTTTCAGCGAGTCAAATGTTTGTTTTCTATAGAAAATGTGTCATTGGGGCAAAAGGGCACTTTTTCAATCAAACTTTCAAAACTTTTGTTATTGTTTTGATTTGTATTTTGAAAGTTTTTTTATATATCTTCTGAAATTTACTGGCTTATAAAATTTGGAACATTGTATTTTCTCTATATCTACATTAATATGTAGTTTAATGTGAAAATTCAAATTGCCTGGCGCCTTATCGTGTCGTTTGTTACCTAATTATGAATTTCGAAAACTGATTAACTTCAATATTAACGGTTATGTGCGTTTTAGACAGCTGTTGTTATTATTTTTGTCAAGTGTAATATCAAGTGTAATATTGCTCGTTACCAAATTTACATTAGCCTTACATTCTCGTGTTTGTTTTTACAATTTACTGTGTGGTTTTGGAAGGGAATGCCGAAGAGATGGAGGTAATGCTGGCTTTGTATTGTAGTAATTTACCTTTTTTGGCCGTTCATGGCGGAGAACAGGTGTAATTACTAAAAAGGGAAAGGCAAATAGGGGGGTATTAAACCTAGAACTGAGACCTATATCATGTGAAAGAGCATGAAAAGTTATGTAGAAATTAAAATTTTTAGCGGCCCAAAGTCATATACTGAAAAGTTACTGTAATATAAAGTTTTTTGGTTTCTTATAAGGGAACACACTGGAAGAAAGCGTCGAAAAGAAAAGCGAAACGCTGTGTGTTTCTGTGGCCCAGTGGGTTGAAACCTAGCCTTATGTTCTAAAGGCTGAGGGTTCGAATCCTACTGTCGCACTTTTGCCATCGCTTTGTTTTGATGCCTGCAGGTTTGCAAAAAAGTTGCAATTTTTTTCTATTGCAAAGAAAAAGGTCAATAAGCGTTTTTAATGATATTTATTAACTTTTAGTCAATTTGGATGGCAAATCAGGCAGTCCAAATATATTCGTTTTACTATACAATTTTAAACTTTAAAAATTTCTTAACGCTTCAATTTTAATAAAATAAAAGTTTTTTCAATTAAAGAGCACATTAAAGACCCTTAACAAGGTTATTTAAAAGTTTCAGAACAAAACACGAAAAAAATTTTTTAAAAGTTTTTTTCCAAAAAAATTCACAGGGGGGACCCTTTGAAATCTTGGAAAGTAGTAAACTTTGAATTACTGTAACTTTTTTGTATATGACTTTGGGCCGCTAAAAATTTTAATTTCTACATAACTTTTCATGCTCTTTCACATGATATAGGTCTCAGTTCTAGGTCCGATACCCCTATTTGCCTTTCCCTAAAACAATATTCTCAGAATGAGTGTATGTATAGAAAGGTTGAAGGTGGCGCAAAGAAATCTTGGAATGAGGGTTGTAAGCGGCGATTATTAAAAGTCGTTTGTAGTTTCATAAAGATTTTATTACCAAAATGTCGGTTTGTCTAAGTAACGCCACTTTTCTTTGCCTTGGGCAAGTTTTTAGTAAAAGTACACATTATAGTTAGTTAATGGATTTCAACTGTAAGCCGTATTTGTTAAGGATATATTTTGTCGCTTTAAACTTATTTATTGCGTTTGGAAAAGGAAGGGTCAAGGATTGGGGAAGATATTACACTTGAGCTCCCAAAAAATTGTTGCATTGTATCTTCTGAAGTAGAACCTCAAATGGTACAAAGTTTTGGGTTTTGAATCTTTGAGTTATACGTAGTAATCTTGTAGGGCAGTATTTTTAATAAACTTTGTATTTTTTAAATCCAGAACATTGTAAGTTATGAGTCGTTAAAGCTGTACAACATCAAACAAAGAGCTAATTTTTAAATTTTAAAGTGGCAGAAATTGTTTTTTGATGCCGAACCTCAAAATCTTCTTGAGACCCTACCCAAAATAAACTGTAGCACGTGAATCTTAAAACATATTGTTGTGGGATAGAGAAGGAGGTATGTTTGCACATGAATAACATGCATATCCGTTGATCTGTGATGTCCAAATCACTGTAAAGCTTTCAACGTAGAAGGATATACGCGGCTGAGATATAATGACGTCAACGACACAAGGTCGCTGGGTACAAGTCGAGTGCATTCCGTCAAGGGCGTTGGGGATGGGTGTAGGGGTTTCTAGAAATATTCATCAAGACCTTATAAATATGCGGATTTCTTTGATTGTGGTTATTTCTTAAGATTTTCTTTGGCATAGAGGGTAGATCAAAGACAAATTAATGTTATAAAAGGTAGAAGATTAGAAACGACTTTGCTGAGAGGGGTAGATTAAAAAAATATTTTAAAGAATGACTCAACATCTGAGGATATTAGTCATGCTGAACCCAAAACGTGTGTTATAGTTTGTTCTTTGTTTCTTAAACAGTCATGGGCAACATGTTTGAGCTTTGGAAGAGCTCATGTTTGTGGTTTCACTTAAGTATTCCATCTTGGGAGATGCGTCTCAAAGTGTACATATAGTTTATGAGCCTCGGGCATAACTTATGCCTTCAGGGCTCTTAAGAGGCTCGTACTCAAAATACGTTTGGGCTTGTCACAGGTGTTTTTAACGAGTTGTATAGCCATGATTTTTCTTTTTCTTACAGAGTAGTATGAGTTTACTTTGTTATTTTTACGATTTAAGTATCGTGGGTATACTGTAACTTTTTTTAAAACTAATTTTTGATTATCTTTTACTTATTGGAGATTACTGTAATCTTAATTGTCCTTTTAGTTTATTATATCTGGTATTAGGCCATATTTTTACATTTTACTATAGTTTTTTGTAGTGTTGTATGCATATCTACTATAATATGGTCTGAACGCTTAGTTTGGTATGATGTACTTAAGAAGAACATCAAACAATTGAAAAGTTTTTTATACGAAACAAAGGCTTTTATTCTAATGCAGAGGGCTTTAAGCTTTACAGAGATGTTGTCATTGGATGCGCCTATATTAACTTGTTTTGAATTTATATTTGTAGTTTGAAACCATGTTTTTCTAGTTGTACATGTTTTTAGTGTTTTAGGCTGTTTTGCTCGTTAAATTTTTGTTTTTTGGGTTACTACGGTAAAACAGTGGATATTTTTGGGTATGTTGACGTAGATATGACTATATTTTAAGTTTTGTATTTCATGAAATGTTGTTTCAGATAAAAAATATTATTTTACGTGATGTAATTTGCCTCTAACAACAACAATATGTCAGCGAAATAACAAAAAGCTGTATTTCAGGTTAACGCCGAGTGGTTGACACCCAAATGTCAGCGCCTTTACTCACGGACTCAGACTCGGCGTTATCGACCAAAAATGTGAGTTTAACACCGTCGACTGAACATCCGAACATATCACTCGACTTGAGCTCCACAACAATACAATCGGTCGATAAATCGACAGATATCTTTGATCCATTCAGAAGTTTTGGTCGGTTTGTGGGAAGATCACCGTATCTTGCTCTGCTACTTTGTATTCCACTTACATTGCCAGTTTTGGGATGCTTTTGGCTTCAAGTCAAGGACAATATCAGGGATGGGTACACACCAATGAATGCTCCGTCGAGATACGAAAGTCAAGTGGTTAGGGAGTTTTACAATACTACTTGTGAGTTGATTTTTATATTATGATAGGTGTAAAGTTAGAAATTAATAAGTTATGGATGATTTTAAGGGGAAATATCTTATGAAATGTTTTTTAATTTTTTTTGTTTGGAAATTTTACTTTAAAGCTACAATATTAAATTTTTAAATTTTTCTTTTTTGCAGCCCAACCAATCCTAACAGTACTACTAATGAAAGCGAAGGACGGTGGAAACTTGTTGCGCTTACCGCATTTAGGTGAAGTTGTGAATATTCAAAAACATTTCTTTTATGACTTTAAAGTCCAAACTGAAGAGCAATTGGAAACGAACGAAAGCTTTACCTACTCGGAGATCTGCGAACCTTATTGTTTTGTCAACAAACCTCTGGAGATGTTCTATGTAAGTTTTGAGGGATGTAGGTGGTTTTGGCAGAAGAGTGGTTTATGCTAGTTCAGTTTTTCGCTTTAAGAAATGGACTAAAATGAGATTAAAAAAATATTATTGACGATATTGTTTCAGAACGGTGTTCATTACCAAGTATTAGCATTGAACAAAAGTCAAGAACTGAACCCCGAAACACAACTCACTTTTCCACAAGCTAGAGTCAACGGAATCCAGATTCCTCTTCAGATGTTGTTCTTTGACGTAACTTTGAAAGATGAATCCAAAAACTACACAGAGCCAGCTGTTCAAGTTTCGAACATGGAGAATGTTGGGGTAGGTCATAGAAAATATGATGTTTGTAAAGTTTGTGGAAATTTTATTTTTCTTGTTTTTAAAAACCTTTTACGGAATTACCGCTCTTCCTAAATAAGTTTGTAGTACCTAAATTTCTTTAAACGGTAAACAACATTCGTTACAAGCTCATAAGTTAAAATTTTCAGCTGATAATGCTCATTTTCCGAGGCGATCCGTCTACACAGTACCGTGAAGATCAACTCAGTGCTTGGGAACAGTCTGCTTTCAGTTATATTTATGAAAGCGGCGAATTCCACAATGATTTGATTCAGCTAGAAATCATCGGAGTAAAGATTTTGGACAAGGAGATGATCAAGGATGGCAAGAGGTTGTCGCCCTACTTTGCTGTTGGCTTCGTATTTGTGGGATTATTCGTGAGTACAGCAATCTTGGCTCCATCGTACGGTGAATGCAAATGGGAATTGTCTAGGATTCCAATCTTCTTCGCTGCATTAGCTTGTCCATCACTTTCGATTTTGGGTAAATTTTGATTTTTGTGTTTTTGGAAACGTTTTTGTTGTTTTTTTTGCATTTTATTGTTTGTTTGTTTGTTTCTTTACATCTTATGCTTTAAACATGATTTATACATTTTTAATTGACTCTTATTTTAGGTGGCTATGGACTGATGACCTTCCTAGGTCTACGAGTAAACTCATTTCTACTAGTAATGCCTACTTTGGTATTTGGAATTGGAGTTGACGATGGTTTTCTAGTAATTCATTCGTGGTATCGACATGCTGAAATTCATCCAGCCAAAAGAATGGGAGTCGTTTTAGCAGATGTGGGCCCATCAATGACAATCACAACCGTCACAAACGTATTGTCATTTGGAATTGGATGTTTGACACCTACACAAGGTATGAACAAGTATAAAAATGAATTTTTATTGACAAATTGTATGAAGTGTTGTTTTGACGACTATATAACACTTTAAGTTAATACTTTTTTTAGAAATCCAACTGTTTTGCTTTGGTACCGCTGCAGCTCTATTGATCGTCTACCTGTACCACTTTGTACTATTCTGCCCAATTTTGGTACTAATCGGAAGCCGAAAATGGAGGCTAGAAAACGAACAACCTCTTCAATTGAACGAGAAAACACCAAGAATTCCACCGTCAGAATCCGCTGTGATTCGAAGATTCACTGGACTGTTGGCCAAGCCAGCTTTCTTTGTTGCGGTTATCGTCCTATGCTTGTTTTACTGGTCGATTTGTACTTATGGAGTAACACAAATGAAACCAAAGTTGGATGCTGCCAAGATTCTGCCAAAAACTTCGAAGATTCAGACTCCTAACAAGTGGCTACATGACATTGGTAGGTATTGAAGAACTGTTGAAAACTTGTTGCTTAATATGGTACGATAGATAATATAGGTGTATTAGCAAAATATATTATCGATAAAGCTTTTTAATATTTAAAATTTGTTATACTCATCTATTTTTAGTATGGCGCGACTACCAAGGCGTCCAAGTCACTGTGAACACGCCCTTCAACCTCAGCGATCATCTGCAACGTCATCGTATCGAAAAGCTGGTCATGGAATACGAAAACATTCCACAAAACCTAGGCCCAGCCACTACGATGATGTGGCTACGTGAATATATCGAATATTTTAAACGAGACTTTGACATTTGGGATGTTGTCTTTGGTGGAGTCTCTGATTCTGATATAGACGAAGGGAGTGCAAGTGGAGAAGATGAACAACAAGATACGAATGTCACAGTTACTGCCGCTAAACTAAAGTACTTTTTGAGTTCACCGTTCTATCAACATTGGAAGGGATTCGTGAAGGTTAACAAGGATTCTGAGTCCATTGTCGACAAGTTTTGGTTCAGTGTAGCATTTAAAGGAATTGTGGAGTGGTCGGATCGGATCAAATTGATTCAGAGATGCAGAGCATTGGCTCGAAACTACTCGGACTTGAATGTTAGCACTTGGGAACAGAGTGGCAACGGTAGGTTTATATTATTGTAGTCCCTTATGTTGTTTTAAAGCTTTTTGAAAATGTTTTTGTTAATATATTATAAAAACTGATTTTAAATTGTTACATTTGGCAATAGTAAACTGACGCACTTTAGCCATGTTTGTTGACCAAATGCTTGGACTAAACACCGTAGCTTGGCAAACGACCCTCCTTACCTGGGCTACCATGGCCGTTGTATGCGGAGTATTCATGAAAGACTTTGGCGTAGTCATGATTGCTTCGTTCTCCATCCTCTCCATTTGTGTTGGTGTTATGGGCTCATTATCATTGCTAGGCTTTGACTTGGATCCCGTGACAGTAGCAGCACTTCTGATGTCAATCGGATTGTCTGTCGATTACACAGCTCACATGACAAGCCATTTCCAACGTCATCGACGAAGAACGACCAACACGGTGGAGTGTATTCAGAAGACGTTGGATTCCGTGGCTTGGCCTATGTTACAGGTAAATATAAGACCCAAATGTAATTTATAAGCTTCAAGATCAAATACTTTCTTACTGTGCTGCGTTACAGTAAATTCCAATTTTTTGGAATTTTATGTCATATTTACTCTAGAATAATATGCTTTCAGAGTGCCTGTTCCACGATCCTGTGTGTAGCTCCGTTGTACTTCTCCTTTGCCTATACAACCAATGTCTTTTTCTCTACCATCTCTTTGGTTACCGTAATTGGGCTTCTTCATGGACTCGTCATCGTACCATCTCTTCTATTGGCACTCAGCTACGTCGTTGGCGAAGCCAGATTCAATTCGGTCCGAAAAAAGAAAGGCCAATTAAAGATTGGAACAAAAGACCTGGATGGATTACAGTAAACTAATTTACAGTAAGCCAATGCATCGGGATGGTTACTGTAAGTTTTCAAGTTTCGAGCGGTCTTTACTGCATCATACCGTACTGTGACGCTCAGACGAAAAACTTGTACATATTAATTAAATTGTTGTCTAAAAGGAGGTATTACAGTACGGCGCAGCAGTAGAAACGTAGTAAACTATTTAGTCGTGATGTATCGGATTGTACATATCATTTTCATTTTTCTCTCACATTTTTGGTCACCTTAACTTTTTTTGTATATATTGCAGATCACTTTACAGTTTTATTGTATAGTATTCTCTGATCATGAACTTATATTATTGTTGTTTAACTTAATTTATTCACTTTTAATGTTACTTTTTTATTTCAAAGTTATTGATATAAAATGCTCATGACGAATCATTTTTGTGTATACAGTAAGGTTTTAATACTACCTTACATTACTTAAAATCACTTTTTTTCTCATTCTAAATATGTCTGTATATTAATATGCATTTTAACCTTGTTGGTGATAGCTATAAGCCATCCGACATGCAATTCCATATCGATCTCGTATTTTGATTATTTTTACTTTCCAATAAACAAGGAAATATTAACTGTATGAATGGTTTGAGAGGGATGTTTAATCTTAAAAATTGCTTTGATGTAATTCGCAGTATGGGACTTTCTGCACGATGCAATGGGATTTTAAAAATTAAGTGCTAGGAACAGAGGTGGCAGCGAAGCCCTTAGGAGCTTTGGTTACTGGTGGAAATCAAGTAATAAAGAATTTTCAAAATAAATTTATTAATAAATATGATCTATTATAACATAATATCACATTACTATGTGTTATAAACAAATTTGAAACATAAAAAATGGAAATGTGAAAATTAACAACATACAAAGAATGAATAAGTTGAGATCGCTGAATGCCAAAAATTAGTCATATGGAAAAGCGTTGTGCAACTGCCTAAAAAGGATTTTAAAGCTCCGATTGCTAATTAACTTGTGCTACTAATCTACCGCAGTGTGTACTATCATTTTCTTTAAAAACTAAAATTTTCATCAATTTTTAAAATAATTTAAAAACTTACATCTTCAAAACATCAAACAGCCGATTGTGAGACTGAATCCACATAATCACACCATCACAATCAAGCCGACAATGTGCCAAATGATCGTATGGTACCGTTTTCAGATGCCGAAACACTGCGTATTCTCCTGGTTTGAACATTTCTAATACATCCTTATGGCTTTTGTCCACATAAATGTCAATATAATAATTGGGAGCTTTTGTGTTCAGTTTTTTGTCAAAAGTGTCAATGTTCATAGAGAATGGGTAACTGATGTCAGATCGAGGCCTAAAATTCAAAGAAAATAAAAATTTTTTCAAAAATTAAAAAATAAAAAAAATAAGAAGAATCGACTTTGTATTTTAGTAATAGTGCTTACAAAATAGGCCTTGATCCATCCCAAACTCGTAGAACAGCATCTCCATTTACAAGAAACTCATATCCAATAATCTAAAACACTTTTAGCAAACATTCCATTTTTCGATACTATATATATATATTATATACGGATCTCCAATTTTATACCTTAACAATTCTGAAACACGTTATTTTTCAAAACAAGTACAGTAATTAAAAATTCAGAAAAGTTATCGCAATTTTTAATATATTCTTACCTGAGCGTTTATACAACATTCTCCACCCGGCTCACATATGTCCAATTTTTTTACTTCGATCCCTTTTTTAATTGTTGGTTTCAACAGTTCAAATGGATCACGATCTACTGCTGCAGGCACCCGACCTCCCAGTTTACTTCGAATTTTACGTAAACTGACACACAAACTTTGAAGGTTCAACTTTGATGGATCTGACTTTTCCTGCTCCCAGTCTAAAAATATTTTCATTCCTGGCTCATCATGATTCTGAGAGGTGCTTGGGCTGGGTTCTGTGAAAGATGTGTCTTCTCCAAAAGGGGAATTGCCAAATTCTAAACCTTCATCTTGAAATATTGAATCAAACTCTTCGGATGTGACTTTTCTTGGTGTTTCTATGTCAGGGTGAATCCTCATCATCTCTCCAAAAACTGCTGACACCAATTTACGCATTTTGCTCAACTGAAAATATGAAACATATAAATCAATATAAAGACTGAAGCAACATCGTAAAACGAAAAGATAGCCTAATAACAAACAAACTTTTGAATTCAGCAATCCATCAACGCCTTAACGTAAAATGTTTCCAGTTGTATGCACTTCTTTTAAAAACATGACCACAAGCATATTATACTCAATTTCAATCCCTAAACTATAAAAATCAAAGAAAGATCTTACTTTATCCATAAAATGAACAGTATATACATCTTTATCATTGTCCGGTTTACATGCCCAGAAAGTGTAATCGATATCTTTGCCGTAGTTGTTAAACCCATAGACCGAAACATTCTGTAAACCACAATATCCTTTTAACTCAAGGTGATCATTCATTCGTTCTACTTCGAAATGACGAAGATGAACAACAGTTCCACAATCCAATTCTCCAGAAATTGATCTCCATGGTGTCCAAATACTACATTTTATAGGTTGGAAGGGATTTGTGTCGTCAATAACATGAATTACAACTAAAACGAGAGAATATATCAATGAAGTATCATATTACTCTATTTTGAATTTATTTTTTAATGCATGTTTAACAAAACCATGTTAAATTATTATGTGCTTGATTTGTAAAGCTAAAGGCAAACCATTAATAACAAAACTTACTTTTGATCAAGGTTTTACTCTTGTCAATGTAAACTTTATCCACTTTCTGTACAACACAAACCAAATTCTGAACAAGTCCTGATCTGATCTCAGAACATGTAACAAATTCATCAATTACAGAATTTTGGAGACACAATAACACCATTTTTGAAATGGCATTCGTCTTAAGAAAAAAAAGACGTCTTTTGGTAAAAATTTTATTTTCCAAACAAACAAAAATAATTTGGACGCAGCCGAAAAACTTTTGCTTTTGCAGACTGCAGAGTGCACGTTATACGAATAAATTTGCTTGATTTTATTTTATTGCTACGTATTTTAGGTATTGTTGTAAAACTAGTTTATACTTAGATCTGTTTCATTTAGTCGAAAGAGTAAAGTAAAGTTTGGTAAATAAGTAAAAAACTTTGTATCATTCACAATTTTTAATACTGACATTTTCATAATGATGTCTTATATGACAATTGTCATGTAGTTGGTTTATCTATAATTATATTTAAAAAATAATTTTGTTTTGTCATCGTTATTAAAATTTTAAATTTTCAAAAGTTTTGATTTCGCCGTTTGTGTATGCACTTTATGCACTTCTCCAGCTTTCAAAAAAATTGTATTGTAAATAATTTTAAGATATCCATATATATTAAAACAAGCATCTATGTAAAACCTAATGCGTAGAACTAACGCGGTAAAAAATAAAGCGCTAGCTATTAAAAAGGGTACTGGGCGTTGGTTTAAAGACTTGTAAAAAGGCAACCCTTGTCGCTGCAAACTAAAACAACGTCAACCGAAATTAATGGTCTATGGAGAATGTATCCTGAGGTATGCCTTTAAATCTTACTATTCTTATTTTAGAAAACTTATTTTAACTACTCTCTTCTCAATTTAATAATAATATTTTCTTTTGTTTTTTAATGTTTAAATAAAATTGCGATTTAAATTTCAGTTTTGGTATCGAATGCTAAAATACATGGATAATTTAGCCGACCAGATCAGCTTTGCACAGATCAATAAGTACTCTTATAGATTAGCACAAAAATTTATGAACAAAGATTTTCGAAACGTGTGTTACCACATCTCCATTTACCGTTTTGAAGGCGAAACTTAAATTAAAGCTTATTCAGAGTAAGTATTCCATACAATCGTATTTAGCAGTAAATTCCGTATTTTTAGTACGATCAGTACAATTAACGATACAATTGAAAAAACTCACTAAACAAGTTTTGATAAAATCAAATATTTTTATTATGCTTTTTAGCGTAAGAAATCGTGTAGACCAGCTTAAACAATTATACATGCAAAAGTACGGAGATGACTTTATAAAACAGTCACTAAGATGTCCTCACACCGGAACAGTGGCCGTGATATTAAAAAACGAAAAAGTCGCCGTAACCAACATGGATTTTGGAAAAGAAGTTTTTGTGTTGGACTGCAGTATGTTTGAAGGCAAATTAACAGACGTCAAGATCATAAACAGAGCAACACAACTGATCATAGATATGGAAACGAAGTATGTTGTGTTCGACGTTATCAAAAGAACCGTAGTGAAAATATATTCTGCGCTTCCTGAAGAACGCTACAGTCTTTTCACTTTGTACAACTCGGAGGGCACGTTTGTCGATGTGTGCAATCAGAAAGAGTACAAAGTAGATGCTATCAGAACGCGCCATCCTAGGTCATACAACATAGAATCGTTTAACTACCGAGAGTACGTGGGTTATGTGAAAACTCGAAAAGACTTTGTCCTAATACACAATAGGACTGGAAATATAAAATTTATTAATCCTTGGCCTCGAGATATGTATGAGTTATATATATCAAGATTTCTATAATAGCAAATAAATTGAAATTCCAAAAGATACGGGTACTGCAACAAAACATCGTAAGCCTTTTTTAACCATATTTACACTAAATATTATGGCACATTTTTTCATGTTTAAAATTAAAACCAATTAACTGATGCCAATGATTACCATTAGTGAAGTTGTTTGATTTTTAAATCAGTTTTAAAAAACTATGTTTATCATCATGTATTTGTTTATATGTTTATTATATTATTATGTATTTCCGATAAAATGTAAATTAAATTATGGTCCAAATAGGTCCCTAAGATCCTCGTTGATGCCACAATTTACTTTTAATTCGAGGCTTGTTTACTCGACCGAGTTTCTCATTTTTCCAGAAAACGAGGTCTTTTGGCCAGGAAGTGTTCACATGTTCGGCTTGGCTTCTTTGGCCAAGAAGCGGAATGGACCAAAGCTATTTTTTTGCCAGTGTTCGAATGGGGAATAGAGTGCAAAGTGAAATAAAGGAGCAAATATAAAAAATGAGGAGGGGAACGGGGTGATTATTAGGTTTGGGCATCAAGTATGGCCATGTTGAAAGGTCGAAAGTCGTCTTTTGGTATAATAAAAGTAGGGAAAGAATAATTTGTGCAATTTTTAGTTTTATAAATGTACTACTAATTAGATACAGTAAAATGATTTGTAGATGCATAAATTACAATAATCTTATAATAATGGTGCTAAACAGCTAAATTTAAGCATATTTTTTGTTACAGCGGTTTGTGTTCCAAAGGTTTCTTATTTAAGCTCCATTTATTGCATGTAAATCCATCTTCGCAAAATAAAATCAGTTTTGAAAATATAAAATTTTATATTTGGCTCTATACTGTAACGCATTGCTTAGTTACAAAAAGTCCGTTATCAATCCTTCTAATTTTTAAAATTCAAAGCTAGTTAATGCTGTTTTAGCCTTAACGAATTATGTATACGGTCAAGTGTAGTTAAAGGATTATTGGAGGTAGAAAGGCCGCGCGAATTCATTAAATATGAAGCTGAATTTGTAATTTGAATACCGAAAAGATGGCTTGAAGTGTTGTTAACTTACTAAGCATAATTTACAAGGGAAGCTAATTTTTTACATTTTAATTTTGTGGCTAAAAAGCTTTGCCAAAATAAAAAAAAATATTTTAGCCTGAAGGTTTTTATTTTAAGAATATAAAACTTTTTTTAACACTAAAGCACTTCATTACCAAATACATTTCATTTATGCTTTGTATACCTTTCACCTCCACCCCCAAATGCAGAATCAATTTTTAAATTAACTACTTTCAGACCTCAAAACACACACCACAGATTAACTGCTTCAGCCTACTTATAACATCAAAAAGTTTGTGACTTTCGATTATGACGTATGTAAAGTGTTTCGGAAATTGACTTAAGGCAATTCGTTCTCCTATATTTATCTAAACATTGTTCAAAAGGCAATTGCGTCCACATTTTGTTTTCCACATTCTGCAGTTTATGGGAATTGTCTTCCAGCATGGTGTTCTGTAAACATGACGCTGTTATTTGTAGTACGGTTCGAAAAAGTTAACATACAATAAAGTCTTCAATATCATTTTTTTGTGTATTTAAATTTTTAAAGATTTTCTTGACTGCACAGTGAAGTTTTGCACGTTTTATTTACTGCACCGTGCATTTTATAATTTTGCTATAATAGACATAACTCAGGCCAAGCTAAGCTTATTTCCAAGCCTAGTCATGGAGCTATGTCACACATGCACTATGCATTTTTTCACATTCGATTGACTAAATTGTGCATTTTTCATACTTAACTAAACGCATCGTGCAACCAATCAGACCAACTTCTTAGGGAGTATTTATACATTTGTTATCATTTGTATTTTCACAACAATGTTTTTCTGTTTCTTATTACCCTTCTGTTGCCTACAATACCCTACATACAATCTGTCCCCCACAATACCCTTCTTTTATCCACAATACTCTACAATGCTGTGCCTCATCCGTATGTTGTTATCAACAAGCGCTTCTCCTTTTACCCCGCCCTTCTTGGCTGACGTCTTTTCGTGGCACTGTCGGATTAACGAATATAATTAAAAGGGCCCGCTGCCTAATTTGTAAGACTTCTCTGCTGACCAATTTTTAAAACACTCTTCAGTTGGTTTTTTTTTCAATTTTTGCTCTTGGGGGTTAGTCTTTAAAGGGCAGGGGCGCGTTTGGCCCCCCGAAACTGCTATTTCGCGTTATCTTTGGCGGTCTGTCGCCCACCGGTCGGAGTGATCCGTCCGCGTACCTGCCCATCTCTTGTTGTTGGTATCTTTCGACTTTTCGCAGAAACTCTTAATATCTTGTACCTTTAGGGGATTTCCGAATGTAAACAGTTTGGTCAGCTTATTTTTGTTTCAAGTTTTGGTTTTGACGTTGCCTACTTTTGGTTATGGTATGATAAATTGCGATAGTTATTATTTTTTGTAATTGGTTTTTTAAATTTCTTCCTATTTTGGTAGTTTTTGAAAGTTAATTATTAGTTCACCACCAATAACAATATCTTTTTCTAATTGTTCTTTCTTTACAGCTATTAGTACGGATATTTATGGCAGAGAAAGTAGGTATTCTTAACCACAATAGGTACAAGAGGGTACTTTCTTCACAGACCGTATATGTCTTTTCTATGTGTTTCAGTACTTTTTTACTACTACTTTTTGGTTTATGTGTGTTGAAGTAGGTTATTAAAGGATTTACCGCGGTGGATGATGCATATTAACTAGACTTTTGAGCAAACGGTTAAACTAAACATAACTTTTGTCAAATGCTTCTTCGTGGATCTTAACTTTTAGAATAATGGCCGGAAATTATATAGCCTGATAACTGTATTTTGAATATTTTAGCTTTTTTGTAAGTTTGTTACATTACAGTAGTTTTAAGTTAAAAATAAGTTTATTTTGGTTATTTTTCTTTAGCTATATAGAATATATTTGTGAAGCTATATTATTAACACTTTTATTCATTACTCCATAAAAACAAACTTTTTCTAAATTAAAAATTTTTAGAATACCATTTTTTACATTTTTGATAGCTAAAACCTTGTGAGCCTAGTCATTTTCAATATTGTCCTTTATGTTTTTCACTTTAAAAGCCTACATTTACAACCCATTATGTCGCCACTATCTACTTTTAAAATTTACATATTGTGTATGGGGCGAGGTGAGTGGGGGAACGCGCGACTAGACTGAACGCACCCGTCGCGTTAGGTGCGGCACACATCCCCCTCTCAGCGCTCCCCCTGCCTCCCCTCCCTCTCTTGCTCCCACTCTTTTTCTTGGGCTTTTTGGAACAGCCACAAGAGGTCGAGGCCCCTCACTCCTCATCATCAGTGTAATTTCACACTTGAGTCAGTACTGTAAACTATATTTTATCAAAAATGTCATTAATTTTCAATTTTTAAGTACTCCCCCCCCATAACTTTTTTACTGGTGACAAAGTTTCTAACGCGTTTATGGGTCAAGTAGTTATTGTTTGATTGCCGTGCTTTCCGCTTCTCGTTGTTTATGACCTTGTGTGTTTCATTTACAAAAAGCAACTACCCGCTAACAAAAAACAGCATAAACTCGGCTTAAAGTACAAACCATATTGTTGTAGGCAAAGGTGTGAAGCAATAATAACCCGCCAAATCCCCCGAGATTATCGATTAGCCGTGTGGCTTTGTTTTTATGCCATGTTTTTGTTGCTTTTTGCTCTTGTTACTTTTGCATTGTTTTAATTTGGAGGGTATTTGAGGTTATAGATGGTGATGGGGAATTTTATCAAAATATTAGTGTTGGGGTATATAAGTTGTTACTTATATTCGGTCAAAAAGTCTTTAGAATAGCTACTCACGTTCAAGTTTTGCATTTTTTAAAATCTATATGTATTTTTCAACCTTTTTTGCCATTTGTATATATAGTTTTTACAATTTTTGAAACCTAAAATATTAATTTCAAGTCAAAAAGTCCCTTTAATTTCCATTTTTCATAAAAAATCAACTCAAACCAAAAACCACTTTATATTAATATTGTGTTAGCTGTACGGTTTCAAGCCCCGTTTTTCACTTACTAATTTATTCACAAACATCATTTCTTTTATTGAAATGCCCCATAAATAAATACAGACGTCTTATCACAGTCCCAAATCGTTCTTCCACAAATTTTCAATTTCCGATTTTCCTCCAAAATGGCCAAGAATATTGGTTCAGATTCTGGATGTCCAGAAAATACGTCATTGTGATTCGATTTTTAATGTGTGTTGATATTCATGAAAAGTACATATTTTTAAATAATTATTATTTTATTATTTTCATTTTACATTTTTTAAGGCTTTTTTACTGTTTGAAAGTTGTTTTTGTGACGATATTTCTGGAAGTTTTTGTTGTCTAGAAAAGGTGTCACGTTAATGAACATTAAAATGCGTTATGATGTAGTAAAATAAAAACAGTTATATTTTCTTGAGTTATACACTACATTTTTAAATTTAGTATTGTTGAAAAAATTGTGCAAATTATAAAACACGTTGTCATAATGACAGGTTTTTTGGTAAGCTTTATATATTATTTATTTTTTGTACTTTTATTCTTAAGGATATCTGGTCATGAAACTTGTTTGTTTGTTATCCACTCCTTTACACTCTCCTACATGGTATGTCACATTTCCGGCTTATTTTAAAATTTAAAACATATTAAGCTTTCCGTGATGTTAATTTAGACCCTGTTTTCTACCCGCTTCTGATGTATAACACGGAAAAGTGGCATTGCTTTTTTGTTTTCGTACTCGCTTGATGTGCACACGTTCCCTTCACAGTTTTTTCTTTGTTAATTTACTCGTTTGATGCTGTTTTTCTTGTTAATTCACGCGTTTTGTGCACTTGGAGGCGCTCGGGTTGAGTATAAATTTGGGTATGAAATTGTAATGTTTACCAACAAACATTGACAATTTCTCCAAAAATCTCGGTTTTTATGGCGACTTTATGATGTTTTCATGTTATTCCAGGTGCGTAATCTTTATCCTCGCTCCGTTTTTGAGGACGTGTCCCCAGAAAAGGCGAGAGTAACTCACTCCGCGGGCTGTTTTTCATCCACAATTTCGGCATTCTTCGTGCGCCCGTGGCTTAATTTTTTGTCCCTCACAAGGTTTCTTGAACTCTAATCAACGGTCTAATAGTGTATTGATCTTCAGAACAGCTGAATGTAAGTTTTGGGGGAAATTTAGGTTGTGGTGAGTGTTACAATACTAGAGCTATGATAAGACCAGCTAGTACTCGTTTGAAAGCATAACGTGTAGTTAACGTTTAAAGCGTAATAACGAGTAGTTAAATAATATGAGATGATGCTATCAGTTTTGCATATTATAGTGGATATCAGATGATTTTTTAATTTTACAAGCTTTCTGAGGTACTATATGAAAGAAATACGTTTAATTTGAGTATTTAATGTCTGTGGATGATAAAAGATGTAATAAAGTGTTTAGTGAGTCATTTTGGATTCAGATATAATACGTTATTTACGTCTTATTAGGTATATTCTTGAGTTATTTGCATGTTAGATATTAATTATAAAAATTATTATTTCAAATCTTGTTTTTTGATTTTGTAAGAAAAATATAGGAAGTAGAGTAAGATGTTGGATGTGGTATGACTTACAGTTTATATAAGGGATCTTTGTAAATTAAACCTAAAATTAATACTTTGACCATCTTATCCTCACTAATATTGCTCATTTGCAGACGTGTAACCCATATTTTTGTGTCTCATTTGCTGTGTTTTACCTCGACGTCAACAAAGAAGCTTGGACGAGTCAGAAAACAAATCCCATAATTAAACTCCGGAAAACGTGTACTATTTTTCTTATTTTTTGGTCTCAAACGGTCGATTGCAAAGCCAAGCGTCCAGCGCATCCTGGAGTCGATGATTTTTACCGAGGAAGCGAATTATTTTAACAAACAGACAGACAATTCCGTTTGGAAACCGCCACAAGATATGAGCAACGGCAGTGGACCTCCGAATGTAAGTGGCAACTTGCTGCCAGTTATTAGGTTGTTCAAATTTTTAAATTGAAAACTTAAAATTGAAGAATGATATCAATGTTACTGTTTTTAGGCTTCAAAACTAAACACATGGGCCGGGAAACAGCGGCACAAGGACAACAGCCTCGGTTCCGGCTCCTTTAATGGTACAGGTGGGCAAAACGGGTTAATGTGTGAGTTTTTGTGATGTGGTTCGTTTATATATTGTCACGTAGTTTTGAGTTAAAATACGATTTCAATCCTTGTTTGCAAGTTATCATTTATGATTTTCAATCAATTTCTAAAAGTTTGAGAAATATTATGAGGTTGTTCAACTAATTCTGGGCCTTTTTTCAATGTAAATTTTTTGGAGTTGGTGGGCACAGGACTATTTGAACAATTTATTACTTTGGTAATGATGTTTACATTAACACGCTGTGGCACTTGTTGTTGTTTGAGCTGTCAAATAGCACGCATGATGTTGTACTCTAACTATTTTACTGAATACTTTTAAAAACCTACTTTTTTCCGTCAAAATATTACCTAAATTATAATTTTCAGACGACGAAAAGGGCTGGAGCACCGGGAATGCGCGACAAACCCCACAAGATCAGTCGAAAGTCCCCTGGTCGGATGGCCTCAACTCTGAAAATGGCATCGAAAACGACTTTCTTCAAATGAATCTGGGGCCAAATCAAATGCTGAAGATGCCTCCGCCAGGTGGCCAATGGGGCCGCGAAGTGAATCAATCAACGCCGTGGGAAGTCGAGAGTCGAGGAGGTGGATTCCCGGCCAACGAAGGGCCTGCGGGCCGATTCATGGGCGGTGGTGGAGGTGGGTTAATTTTTAATAAAAAAAGGGCGGGGGAGGTGGGTATTCTGATTGGGGATAATGTGAGGGAAAGATTTGGTAGACGGATTTCTAGTCTTATTTTCTGATTTCTGGCTTGAAAATGGCAAAAAACTGTCGAATTTTTTAAAAATGCTTGATTTTCACAAATTTAGGTAACAGAAATTGAAAGTTTTTCAAAATATGTTGTTGTAGATAACCTTGAACTTGCGGTTTCAGGCTGAACTGAACAAATAAAGCTTTGCGAACGGTTTTTACTTTTTTAGAGAGAATTTTCAGTGGATTTGGCGGTTCGTTTTGAAGTTTAATACCTTCAACGTTTTGTTTTACACTACTTTTTCTAAACTTATACTGCGTTTTATGATGTTGACATTGCTTGACAGTTTTTGTGATAATTTTTGTATTTTTGGTTAGGCTTTTTGATTTAAAAAAACGGCTAATAGAATTATTTGCATCGTGCAGTCGTTTTTGATATTGGACTGTGCATATTTTCAGTGGGTCTTCTGAGAAATGATGAAATTTTTATAAGTTAATTTATATGGTATAATAAGCTTTTTATTAAACTTTTTTTACACGGTTTTGTTTGTTATTTTTCAAGTGAGAGGTGGAATAAGTAGTAGGTATATTAATAGTTTTCATGTATTGTTTTTGAATGTAGCACTTGGTTACGTGGGTTGTTTGAGTAAACCAAAGCTGTTAATGTGTGGGTACTTGGCCACTTGAAGTGTCTTTCAAACCCGTACAGAATTGTTGTTTTTTCTTTAAACTGGGTTATTTTTCTGCGCTTTGATTTAGGTATACCTTTTCATTGTTATAGGCATTTCTTAGTTAAGAGCATGAATATAGTTCACATTAGATTTTTGTTACTCTATATGTTTATACATTATATATGTATATAAAGCAACGAATATAGCTAACATTTTTTGCTTCTTTAGGTATTTATAGGTTGTTGTTAATCTTATGCAATGATATTGTCACCTTTACTATTATCTTTGTTTACGTTACCTTGCTTTGAAAATATTCGTGGATTAAAAAGGTATTAAAACACATTGAAATAAAAAGAATAAGATGACGTTTGATGTGTTTTTTAAGGTTTGAAGGGTTGCGTGAGAGGTTATATATTATAATGGCTAAAACTTGGCAAAACTGTCTATGAAAATGACGTTTTTAATATTGTTTTATTTTTAAACATTTTTATTTCTGGCATTAATTTTTTTTTTCTTTCGGGGGCAATTTTTGAAACTGTTGCGTTTTTATTTTTAACTGTATTACAAAGCTTTTCAGTCGTTTTACATAGCTATACATTAAAATTACAGTTCCACTATCAAACCAGAAAATTGTTAATTTAAGAATTACAAAACAACATAAAAACCGAGAGAGTACAATGAAAAGTTGTAATTGGCGGAGGCCGCAGGGTCGGAAAGACGAAAATCTTGGAATTTTTTTTTCGAAACGGAACAATTTTTGGTCGAGTTTCGCAAAAAGAGAGAGACCAAGGCGAAAAACGACCTTGCTTAAGGGTCGGGGCATAGGCGCACCATGTCGAGACGCTTTTTTCGCTCTTCATGGTCAGCAAGAGAACTGAAGACAGACACGAGCAATTTCAGTCGGTTCTGTTCATTTTCCACCAATTTTTGATGTTATTTTATGAATTTGGGAAAATTAAACGCTTTTTCGATGTGATATAGTTGGGGACGGGCCGCGAAACGTCTTGTTTTAGGTGTTTTGGGGGCGTTTTTGAGGTTTGTAATGTGAATTTTTTTAAATTTAAAAGTTTTTTCAAGTTGGCGAAGAAATATTGAGGATAGATCTTTGAATTCGGAGGGTGTTGTAGACTTTTTATGGCTTTGTAGACAGTCTTTTGATTGTTTTATTGGAGTTCTTGGCATGAAATTAATATAAATTTGTTGGATATTATTGTTTTACTACAAATTTTGTCAAACTTACTTCAAATTTTGTATCTAAACTGCAAATTTTGATTAAATTTAAAATTTTTGAAATTTGCAGTTTTTATTTTTCGGTTAAAATTTTTTACAAATGCCATCAAAAATGGATGTAAAACAAGATTTTGGTTAATATTCTTGTCAGTCGACCTTGACGATGCGATTAATTACGTGAAGGTCTTTGTCATTCATATATACTTTTTCTTTGTTTATTTCTAGCCAGAGGGCATGTTTTCTTTCCGGGAAAGTACTGATATCGATTTTGCTTTTTTAAAGATGATAACTGAAATTGTTGTTGCTGTTGTTTGAGAGATCTGGGTTTGGCCATAGGGACGTTATTTTAGACTTATGGTTAAATGCTTGTAGTTTGGCTTTTGATAACGTTATGATAAGAGTATACTTGGCATTTTTAAAAATACGTTTGGAATCACAAAATTCGAGATTTTTAATTTTTTTTGAGAATTGTTAAGTTTGTATTAGTAAAGTATGTGAGGTAAATTTATGTTAGAAATACTAATGTTTACGACATGAAAAACTAGAAATATGTATAAAAAGTATCCGTCGGATTAAGCGAACGAAAAGCGAGTTTTTTTATTAGTAACGATGACATTTTTGAACGTTTCCACTTGGCCACAGCGTTCCGTCTTTGTTTGCCAAACTTTACGACAACAAAATATGGAATTTGTTTAGGAACTGAAGGCTTTTTGAGGGGGAGAACGTTTAAAATTGGCTTTTTAGGTCTTTATTTATGGAAAATTTGGTTTCACATTGGAAACCAGGATCTTTAGGCTTGAGTTTGTTGAATTTTGGATAATTTTTTAATTGAAAAGTTTGATTATTTGTCATTTCTTTATTGAAAAGGGGGATTTTGCGTCGTATTTTTAAAAAAATTTAAAACGTTTACGTAAATTGTTTTTTAAAGAAATATTTATGTTGTTATGCTCCTCGGAACCATCCCATCCATATGTTCAAACAGAGTGACAATTAGAATGATTTTCATGAATTTGTTATCTTTTTCTGATTTCGTTTACTTTCGAATGAAAAAGTGAAAAATGCGCGTGCGGTCATAAAGTTTCTACACACCACGATAAGTTGCTCCATCTCTCTGCCCTCTTTTTCCTACACACTATTTCTTCGGTTACCACGTTTTCGGTTTTTGTCGCGTTAAAATTTGGAAAATTTGAGGGTTTTTATTGAAAATATTGCAGTTTATTTGTGTGTTTTGAATGTTTTAAAACCGAATTCGGATGGAAATTGATTTGAATTCGACTGTCGCTATTAATGGTGATGGTTTAAACTGTGTTTTGCTTAAATTTTGTCAATTTAAAAACAGAAGCAATAGGGTTTGAGGGGATTGTTGTGAAACGATTGATTGGTTATAATTATAAACTTTTCTCAAACATATGATTGATAAAGAGTGTGCGTTTATGTGCAGATGTGAGTGGTTAAGATAACTTTGACGTTTTAATGAAGGAGATTTAGGCTTGAAATGTAACTTTATTTATAGCGAAGAGACTGATTAAAATTTTATTGAAATTGATTTTAAAAATTTTAATTTTTTTTAATTTTTGGTTTCTATATTTTTGAAAAAGGATTGAAAGCGACATAAAGTCTTATTGTAATTTTATTAAATTTTGTCTAATTTATGCTTCTTTTTTAAAAGCGCCTTAAGGCTTTCGTTAAGAGCTTCTTAAAATTATGATTACAATTATTGCTAGCTCTAGATAAACATGGCTTACCAAGCTTTGTAAGATAATTGTACAAGATTCAAAGTGTAAATTAATCAAGCAGAGTGGGAGGGTTGAAAAGTAGATTAACACCATTGTAAAACACTTATAGCTTTGCAAGAATAATGGAATAATCATAATATTTGTTGGTTTTTGAGATTTTGACAGTAAAATGATTAGTTTCTTAGTGTGTTTGTTAAAAGTTTATATTTGTAAAATGTGTTGAAAAATAAAACTTTGAAAAGTATGTTATCAAATTTTTAATTTTGACTTTTTAGTGAGCATGGATAATGGTACGGGCCAATGGCGCTCGTGGGAACATGAAGGCTTCCAGCAGAAAGAGTTCCACCCGGGATTCCCGATCGGCGGAATGCCCAATCACAAAATGCCCAACAACTTCTACGGCGGCGGCCAAAACTTTATGATGCAGCAGGGCTTCGGCGACAACAGAATGGTAATTTTTAAAAAATATGGATTCGAAGTTTAGGCATAGAGTCATGTTTGGTAAACAATCTTACTTTTGGCAGAATATTTCTGAAACTTAATTTTAAATCAACACACAGTATAGTTAACAAACTAAAAACGCATTTTAGATGCGAAACGGTCCCCCACACATGAACCAGCAACAGCCAGGCCAACCCTGGGGCAATAAATACGCCGGTGGTCAGCGGAATGCTCCAGGTGGTGGTTTCCAACAGTTCGGCGGACCACCTCAAGGTGGCCACATGAATATGATGCCACCATCGATGATGGAGCGAGTTATGGGACCACCACCTCCACCCTTGGCTCAACAACACCATGGCCGAGGGCCTCATCATCCTCATGGCGGACCTCCACCACCCCCAATGCACCCAATCCCACCAATGCCCGCGCAAAACCCGCCCGGTGGATTCTCGGTGGGAACTTTCAATTCTCATGGCACTAGTATGGTTAATGACGATTCATTCTGGCACGACCCTAACGGCGATTTGCGCAAATGGCAACGCGACACGGGCACGGCACATTGGGGCGACCCGGCCAAACAACAAGGTATGAAAGGTGGGGTTTTGAATGGATTTTATGTGTAGTCTTGTGCCATAAATTATGAATTTTAAAAAATAAAAAAATTTTTTTTTGGATTTTTCGAAAATTTAACTTTTGATTATTTCTCATATTGTTTTAGGCCAGCCAATCCGCCGATGGACTCAAGTCGATCCAGACGATGATAACCTAGTTGGGTCTTCAGCGAACAACCAAGCCTCTCCAGACTCCTTGAAGAAGGACGATGAGAATCACATCACTGAGATGGGGTGGGGAGAGCTTCCTCCATTAAATGGCACTACAACAACCCCAACTACTGCTAACCCACCTCCTCAATCATCTGCCCCAACCACATTGAACTCGGGATGGATGGGAAGTGCACCTCAAGGTGGTCCATCTGGAATAATGCCTCAGGCACAGGCTCCTGGAGCTGGTAAGCTTATTTAAAGACGGGAAACTTTCAAAAAAACTTTTATGTTTTGAAATAATTTTGAGTGATAAAGTGAAAAATAGGTTTTTTGTATTAAACATGTCTCCTTTCAGGCTGGACCGACTCACCTCGGAATCCACTACCACCCAACAACTTCATGCCTCAAGGCCAATTCCCACCAAACAACTTCTACGGCTCCAACCTCCCACCATCCAATGAATGGTCTACTCGACCTCCAGGCAACAACATGTCGTACGGTCAACAGCAACAACAGCCTCACATGTTCGACCAACCATCGAACAACAAAGATATCGTTGAGAAGTTGCGAGTTGCCTCAGCCAAAGGTCTGATCGACATCAACATGTTCACTCAGAACGGACCATTGTCTTCGAACACGGTCAAGTTGTTGAACAACATGCTGGAAGTGTTCACTGAAGTCGAGGAGTTGGAGGAGATGTTAAAAGTGGACCGCAAAGGCTTGGTCAACCCCATGGACTTGAGAGACAAACGTCACAACCTCGACGAGCTTCGCGAGAAGATCATCAACTCAGTGGGTGTTCAACTGCCACCACCGCCAAGACAAGGGGGATGTAAGTGAAAGTTTTGGCAATATTATCTTTGTATTGAAAGGAAAAACACATTTTTTGGAATTAGCATGGTTAATAGAATTGTAATTTTAATTTATGTTGGTTTTAAGTTAAGAAAACTTAAAAATTGTTGTTTTTGAGTTGTTTTAGTTTTTAAAAGTATTAAAAGTTTATTTTTTGATGTTTTGTTTGAATATTTCTATGATTTTGGATATTAATCTTGATTTTTAGTGAGTTTGGCCGACGAACTGAGCAACATGAGCACGTTGCCAGCGATTGGCGGCGACGTGGCCCAACTGTGGTAACTCCACCCTCCAACCCTCGACACTAACGATGCCATTTCACATTAAAAGCATTCGATTCATTCATTGCCTTGTAAAGTCCTCAACATAACATACGAATAACTTGCTCTCATCTCCTAGAACCGGAAGAAATCTGAACGAGACCTTTAATCAATCGCGACACGTGTATCCACAATGTTCATCTCCCCAGTCCAACTGTTTTTACGTCAAACTCGTTTTTACATATTACGTTTGTGCTTTTCCTCTCGTACTCTCTCAACCTTTTAATGTGATTAATATTCCATTCATTTAATAACTGTAATATTTTCTCAGTAAAGTCTCGCTATATACGTTTTGGGTAGTTTTTTTATCGGTCGGTCGATTTTCCACATCTCCGCTTTTACACTTGTCGGACGCTTTTACTTTGCGGTTTTACATGCATATTGTTTATGTTTTTGGTGGTGAATAGTGTTAACAACTTTTTTTGAAGTTAGTAGAGTTACTTACCGGTTTACGGTAATATTTATGGGTTTTACAGTAAGATACCGTATTACTCTGGAAGAATTAAGGTTTCTTTGTCTATAACCTGGTTTGCTATGTCATGATACGTGATAACAGTTTATTTAATCATAGCATGAGCTTTGGCAATCAAAACTGCACTTTATAGCAAATAGTTAAGGTGGGTCAAAAAGTTTGAGTCATTTTAAAGGGCTATAATATTGTAATGCTGTTTTAAAACCCAAACGTTCTATAGCCTTCTTATCGTGAACTTTAATTTGAATTAGTGCTAAATGACGGTAAGCTACCGGTAAGGAGACAATTTGCCTGCAAAGTTATAGTAAGCCCGCGCCAATCCTACATTTTACTGCATCTTTTTACTCTGTAAACACAACTTTACGTGACTAACCTTATTCTCATCATACTATTGCGCGGTACTGTTCAGAAACAAGCAAACACAAACCAAATCCCATTTTTGCAAATTTTGAAATTTTTGTTTATAAAGTTTTACATTTTACTCATAGGCTTGTCTTATGCTCGGCTTGTGGTGATACGGAATGGCATACGATGGTGGGCTGGTTTTTTTTCGAGCGGGGAGGGTGCAAATGATGTTTTTGATATTATTATGGGGTTGTTTATATTGTTTTAGATTGTTTTTTCTTGTGATTCGAGGCCCGGTTTGTTAGATTGTAGAAGTAGGGTATAGATACTGTATTTTTGGGTTACTGTAGTATTGTTTTTTGGTTTTTGTCGGGGGTTTAAAGCAACTTTTAAAGGGTTTTGAGTAGCGGAAGGTATTTTACACTTTAATTTTCAATAGTTGTTTTGGTTTAACTTAACCTTATGTTTTTACCATAGCCAAAGTATACTTTTACAACAACCAGCCCTATCGTTACAAAATGCCTTCGAAGCCAACATATTTTCTCCAGTTTCACTCTGCTTCATTACTATTATACGCCTCGCTTCTCCCAACACTTCTCCAGGTTTCATTTCCGTGGTTATGCTCTTTCTCTCCATTACAATCACGTTCTCAAATTCATCGTCTCCTAGATTGTTTTATATTTATATTGTTCTTCTGCTTTTGGGTTGGGCAAACAAAAGCGGCAGGGTATTTTGGAGGTTATTTTGGTAATATATGGGATATTATTATAAAATTTAAACTTATTTTACTCTAATTTTAAGTCGGGGTAGAATTACGATACTTTTTTAGTATTTTTCTATATATCTCTTCAGTATGTACACGTACTGAAAAGGTATATAGACAGATACTCGGCAGCATGTATTGTGTATACTACTATAGCTATCTAAAGCCTGTCGCTTTGTTTGCCCTTTTAGAAAACGGTCAACTTTTGAAATGGGTCTAAGTTTGTTTAGGCATGGTAATAACATACGGCATGGTATCGTTTTGTATTTTTGAATAACTTGAGCATTTTCACTCTTCTGTAAACTTATTTTTTACTTGATATCTTGATATTAACCTCAGTTTTTAAGCTTAAAACTTTCAAAAATTGTTTTTAGTCACGATGATATATCATATTGTTACTATATGATATCACACGAAATTACCATGCGATACCATGCTTCAGCTTCTTACCATGCCTAGCAAATTTACATAAAACAAGAATTCCTCTATTCTCATTGCAAGTTTTAACTCTATATCCCAAACAAAACAGTGCCATCCTTACCTCCGCTATTTCCTTTAACTAACATACGACGATGAATTTTAAACACACAGACGGGACAACACAACCAATTTTCGAAACACTCTCAATGAAAGGTCGATTTTAGTCGTTTTTACACATTAGTGGTCTTACCTGATATTATCTTTCATATCCCCACGGGACGACGGTAGAACTCTTTCTTACATATAATTTGTTGATCGTAGTATTTTCAAGTTGTGATGTTTGGGTGGGTTCTGAAAGGTTTGGCATTGAGTTTTGGTTTTAAAAAATTTTTTCGGAGATTTTTTGAATTTAAAAAATTTTTTTAAATTTAAAATTTTTTTGAAATTTTATTTAAAAAAAACCAAAACTCAATGACCCGCCCAAACACGAATATCCAGTTATTTGAATGCCTTACGTGTTCATCTCCCCAATACCTGTTGAAACATTGTATAATCCAACTGCTTACAACAAAAGATAGTCAATATTGTATGCTAAACAAAAGAGACCACAACATTAACACACATCTCCCACGCTCATCCTTATTCATGTTTACTTCGATGTTCACGGATTTGTTTTCGCTTCCATATTATTATAAATAATATTTTAATCAACCACCTACATTTTATATACATCATATTGTATTTTTTACGGCAAAAGTTATTTCTTTTTATTCAGATAAAGCATGTACATTAATTGTGGTGAAGTTCGATGTTAATATTGGGAATGAGGGGGTAAGGGATTATGGGGAATACAAGGAATAATGTATATGCAAAGGATATAATATTTTATGGCACTGTATATTGTCATAGTACTGTATAGGATAAATTAAAATTGGTCGTGTAAAGGTGCATAGTAGAGTCGTTGATACGACAATAGGTAAGTGAGGGCAGGGTAAATGTAGGGTAGGGTAGGGTAAGGTAGAGTACGGTAGGGTAGGGTAGTTTAGAGTAGACTACTGTACTTCAGGTGTAAAGAACATACTAAAAACTCCAACTACAGTAACCATTATAGCTAGTTTTTACATTTTCAGTGCAAGCTATGGTTATTTACCAAGACCTCGCGTGTGAACGAAACGATCACTGGGATTGATCATTAAACCATCTCTGTCGAATTGCATTCAGTGTTCATTGAACTGCGGAAAAAGAAATTGTTTAAAGAAAGCCAGTCGGATATTAAAACACACTTTTTAGGTGTTTCGGTTGATAAGTGTTGAATGTTTTATAACTAAAAGGTTGTGAAATTGTAAACAAGAGGGTTTTGTGCTACAGACTTGTAGATACTGTATTTTTGTTGCTTTAGAATAGGATTGGTAGTACTGAAGTTTAATGGCAGTAGTAGTAAGACAGTTCCTGGCTTGTTTTTTACTTCTTGTAAACAATATTTCAACTACTAAAAAATTCATTTTTAGTTTGAATAATCACAATATTAATTAAAAATTTTAATTTTAGGTATAATATAAAATATTATAAAGTTTAATTTATTTTGAGCGATACTTAGGCAAAGATCTTTAGTGGATTTCACAACTTTTTTCGATAAAAATTTTGAAAATGACGTGATTTTTGTAGTTATTTTGTACATTTTGTAGATAACGATGCTGCGCCATCGGCTGGTTCATCTAAGATCAGTTCACGTCCGACTTTCACGGTGCTACAGTTCTTCACCCAGGTATGACTTGAAAGCTTGAAATTTTTTTAAAAATTTTTTAATATTTTTGTTAAAAATTAAGTTTTTCATAATCTTTTTACCTACAAAATAAATTTTCCATCAATTTTGGTATTAAAAAATAAAAATTCGCATCAAAAAAGGATTTCAAAATTGTTTAATTTATGTTAACTTTCAGTGTATCATCCTACCCTCAAGATGTATACAACTTGGACCCAATCGATCCATCTGAACCCAAATTTGAAAAGATTTTGATAGCGAATCGTGGAGAAATAGCTTGTCGAGTGATAAAGACGGCCAAAGCGATGGGAATCAAAACTGTAGCTATTCATTCTGATGTAGATTCTCATTCGTTGCACGTTAGACATGCTGATGAAGCAGTTTGTGTTGGAACGGCAAACACAGCCGATTCGTATTTGAGAATCGACCGGATTCTACAAGCGGTCAAGGATACTGGGGCTCAGGCTGTAAGTTTGTTATGGCTTTTGAAGTTTGAAGGGCTATGGGCAAATTTGGGAAGGTTAATTTAGCCTGCAGGTATAGGAGAGGAATGGTCAAATTTTCTATCCCAATTTTCAAGTTTTTAAAAATTTTTTAAAAATTCTGTTGATGTTTATTGTCTTTCAGGTGCACCCAGGCTATGGATTTCTGTCCGAAAACACGAATTTCGCGGCCGAACTGACAAAAGCTGGTGTAACATTCATCGGTCCAAACCCAAAGGCCATCGAGGAAATGGGCGACAAAATTCGATCGAAACAAATTGCTGGTCAAGCCAAAGTCAACTTGATTCCAGGATTCGATGGAGTGATTCAGGACGAAGAAGACTGTGTCCGCAAAGCAAAAGATATTGGTTTCCCCGTGATGATCAAGGCGTCCGCCGGCGGCGGAGGCAAAGGAATGAGAATAGCGTGGAACGAAAAAGAAGCTCGTGAAGGATTTAGACTGTCGAAACAAGAAGCCGCTTCATCGTTCGGAGACGATCGTATGCTTCTGGAGAAGTTCATCGACAATCCTAGACATATTGAGTTACAGGTACTGTGTGATAAGCACGGTAACGGAGTGTACTTGAATGAAAGAGAGTGCTCGGTTCAACGGAGGAATCAGAAAGTCATTGAAGAGGCTCCATCGTCATTTCTGGATGAGGAAACGAGGAGAAAAATGGGAGAACAAGGTACTGTAATATTTTTGGAAAAACCGTAAAGATATTAAAGTAAGGCTGAATTTAAGTAAGAATCCTTTAAAACCTTTAAACTATAGACTAAAATGACATTTTACTTACAAAATAAAGCTAAAACTTTCAGCCATTCAACTAGCCCACGCTGTCGGCTACGACTCAGCAGGCACGGTCGAATTCTTGGTCGATTCCCAGCGAAACTTTTACTTCCTGGAGATGAACACTCGTTTGCAAGTAGAACATCCCATCACCGAACAAATCACGAACGTCGATCTAGTACAACAGATGCTTCGCGTAGCCTATGGCCATAAACTCAACTTTACTCAAAAAGACATTGGCATCAATGGCTGGGCATTTGAGAGCCGAGTCTATGCTGAAGATCCTTACAAAGAGTTCGGATTGCCTTCGATTGGAAGACTGAACAAGTATATTGAGCCGAATCAGAAGATATCTGGCATACGATGCGATTCTGGAATTACTGAAGGGTCAGACATCTCGATTTATTATGATCCACTCATTTGTAAGGTAGGATAATATGATAATACAAGAGGTTTGGTAGGCTTTGATTAAATTTTTATTTTGATGACAAAAAAGAAAATTGAATAAATTTCAAATTTAAAAGTTTGAGAGCAGGTTAATCAATTGTTTACAGTTAGTATCACATGGAGCAAACCGCGACCAAGCATTGGATCGGATGGCTTCGGCTTTGGATAACTATGTAATTCGAGGAGTAAGTATAATTTAATCATTTAGTATTGACAAACGTTTAACTAACCTCACTTTAATACTTTTTTAAATTACAAGTTACCATCAATACCCTAATGCCCACTTTTAAGGTCCACAACAATATTTCCCTCCTCCGCGACATTGTTGATGAGAAAAACTTCCGGAGTGGTGACATAACGACCAAATATCTGTATGAAACATACCCTGAAGGCTTCCAAGGAATAAAACTGACAGAATACGAAAAGAAGGCGCTTGTAGCGATTGCCTCTGCCATATCAGCCAAGAAAACTGTCAGGGAACGACTGTTCTTGAACACTTCTGAACTCGGAACAACACTAATTGGTAAGACCGTAAGATTTTGTAAAATACGAACAAAATAAATTTTTTAAAAAAATTTGAACCTTTCAAATTGAGGGATTTCAAAAATATTTCATAGATTGAATTTTAAAGTTAACAAAATTTAAAATACGACTTTGATCAGTGTTGATGACTATATTTGACAGTAAGTTCAAATTTGCAGATCCATATGACACAACATACGACCTTACTGTTAGCTGGACTGACAAACATTCCGGAGACACTTTTAGTTTGAATTCATCAACAACTTTTGATGAGAATAAGGACTTGGATGTAAAATGGGACACTGGCAGAGTCACCAATGTTAGAGGACACTTCACTCCAGCTGATCTGGTTATTGAGGTATCTTAGAGCAAAATCATTCATAGTTTAAATAATACTTTTCTAAAAGTCATATTTTCTGAGTTAAAGTCTTTTTTAAATCCCTAGTGACATTCTAAAGGTACCCACTAATTAGTTTGCACTAACACCACAAAACCTAGAAAAAAATTCTCAATTTTAGGTAGAAGTCGACGGTCAGAAGCGCACCGTGCAAATTGCTGATGCCAAACCAGGCAAACTGACACTGATTTACAAAGGGACCACCTTCGACATCAAAGTGTACCCGAAAAGTGTCAGCGAACTCTTGAAATATATGAAAGAGAAGCCAACGCTTGACTTGAGTGCCGTGATTCTAGCTCCAATGCCTGGAGCAGTGAAGGCTGTGAATGTGGAAGTTGGTCAAGAGGTAGGTTCAGACAATATTTTTTAAAATTAAAGTTTTTGATGTTGGAAAAAAGCGAAATATAATATTGTTCTACCTTAAAACATTCTTTCCATTTTTGCAAGTCCCAGTATTATTTTAGGTAAATGAAGGCCAAGAACTGTGCGTAATCGAGGCCATGAAAATGCAAAACGGATTACATGCGGCCAAAAGTGGCAAAGTTAAGGCAGTCAATGTAAAGGAAGGTCAAACTGTGGATGAGGGAGAAATTCTGGTGGAATTGGAATAATGTACAAAGTCACAACTTTTCATAGTCATAATCTTGTAACGTGTCATAATACTTTTACAGTTATAGTAAATTATATACATTTTTGTTTGTGCCTTTAAAGTATATTTTTAAACTTAAATCAAATTAATTTATTGATAATTTTGAGATTTAAACTTTTCGAAAAATAAAATCTAAACTACAGTAATACAGATAAGTTACAAAAGTAACTAAAGAAGATCACCGTTGGTATCGAAACTGAACAAAGTGCAACTACAATAAATCAAAAAAAAAATAGCTGACCCGACTTAAATTCCCTCCATGTCCAAGCCGCCCAGGCCTCCAGGAGCACCTCGTTTCTGTTGACTTTCAAACATAGCTTTGTTGATCTGCCGTTTCATTTCATCATCTCCTTGATCATACATGGTCTTCATCATGGTCATTAGGCCAGCTTGAGGATCACCCGAGCCGCCCATACCCATATCTCCGGGTGCTGGCACGTCAGGTGTGCTTGACTTGTCTAACTTCAACAATTTGTCCCATTTCTGACCTTCCTTTTGCTTCTTCAACATCAACAACAGAGAGTCGGTCTTTTGCTAGAAATTGAAATATTTAGAAATAAAGATAAAAACGGTCAATAACAATATTATGATCTTAAAAAATGAAAAAATAATATTCTTACCTTCAAAACAGTCTTTTCAACGTCAATAGGGTAGCTGAGGCCTTGAGCAACAAACTCATAGTCAATTCCGTTCAAGTCATTAACGCGGACGTAGAAAGACCTAAAACAATATTTTGTTCTCCAAAATTTAAGTAATCCGTAGGAATGTAAAAATAACATCAATAAAACAAAAACTTACTCTTCTTCAAACTTCTTCTCAATTTTATCAGCTGGATGACTTTGAATGCCGTTCACAGTGTAGTAAAGTTTCACAAACTTGTCGCTTTCATCGTAGGCTGAAATACAACAAAATAGTCAATAGAATTTAGAGTCACTAACTTTAAAATACATTAATAGGTTTAAGATAAGTAAAATAAAAACAAACACGATATTACACCCACCAAAAGTAGTAATCTTCTTCAAAGGACGAGAGCTTGATACCACTCTGGTTGCTGGCTGTTTCTTTGATTCAGAAGTTTCCTAAACTCAAAATAAACAATAAAAACTACAACTTACAGTCTTCTTCTCGTTCTTCAAAGCTGTTTCAATCTTCTGAATCTCAATATCCAACAAACCTTGAACTTTAGGTCGAGAGCTCTGTTTTCTAAGAGCGACCAGCTCTTCCAAATCGGCTTTAAGCTAAAAATTTATTTATCAAAGTAAAGAAAAGACAAACTTACATCTCCTGACATCTTTTTAAACCAAATTTAACAGCCTTGTAGAGAAGGACAAGAAATTACTAGTTTTTCTAAAAATATTTTAAAAACAGCAAAAATTTATCCTGCAACCTTATGCCACAATTTGTTTTTGTGTTGGGACCAATGTGTTCTTACTATGTAACTGTTTACAGTAGATTTTGCAATGAAATATCAACTTATTTTCAATGTTAGTTTATTAACAAAGTACCTAACTCAATGTTATGTTTACAAGTCAGTAAAAGAGTGTTATGAAAATATTTTAAATGTTGTTGCGCATAAGAGACGTTCAAGTTTGTTTAGAGCTCTTCTTGGTCATTCCTTTACTCCCAAATCGCCGATTCTGTTTATTATATCTGGGCATGAAGTCAACCTTCGTGTCTTCATACATGGTGTCCACATACTTTGTTGTAAAATCGTATTCAGAATTTGGTAAAGATACGTTCAAGGTGGGATGAGAAATTGAATCCAACTCTTTTTCTGTATACATCTAAAGCAAGCGGTTGTAAATGCTGACAAAATATAAACTAAGCTTATACATACACAAGCAAAGTTCAGTGACATAATAAAATTTAATGCTTATGTATGTTTCTGTATAAATGATTATAATTTTGACCGTATTTGTTAAGTTACAGCGGTTTGGGATGACTGCATATTTTAAAAAAGTTCTAGAAAGATGTCAGAAGCCAGTAAAATTTAAATTTATTTGTTTATATCTTCACTTTAGTTTTTAACAACGTGACTTTAAAGGCAAGGGTCAGATGAGTCATACCAAAGGCCTGAAAACGGAAAGGGTTGTTGCGAAACACGGCCTTATTTCTTTAGCCAAGAAAATTAAATTTATTCCAAGTTTTATTCTACTGCTGATGATAAACTTCAATAATCATTTTTTTATCTCAAAATTCAAATTCCCAACAAAAAATTTCAATTCCAAAATGAATAACAAATAATAGTACATTATGAATAATAATGACAATAAACACCCGAAAGTCCTGTTTCAAAAACCGTTTATTACAGTGAATAAATTAGCAAGCGAAAAGCACAAGAGGAATGTTAAAACAACAACACTTAAACCGTTTAATATCCCGTTTCAACCAAATATCCAGCCAGCTTCTCGACGGCGCCTCTTGTTGCGGATCCGGCTCCAGTTTCGCCTTCGAACAAAGCCAAGATGATGGCAGAGTTGGTCTTCACAGCAACAAATCCATTCACTCCTTTTTTGCCAAAAATCAGGGATTCTTCAACACGGGGAACGATATAGTGAACTCCTTCCAGGTTCACACCGGTTTGTGGGACGGCATCGAGATTCTTGAAGTTGTTTGTTAAACCTTGAAGTTCGGATTCGGTAGCCTAAAACAAAAAAAAATATTAAAACGAAACTTAAAAAAACAACATCAAAAACAATGTTTTCTTCAAGAGAATATGTTGTAAAGTTATCATTTCTCTTTCTCTCCAAAACCACAAGACTTTCCCTTTAAAAACTAAAACAAAAAAACTATCTCTTAGCATCCACTATATAAAATCTAAATCACAAAAGAAAACAAACAACTTACATTAAAGTCGTCACTCCTGGCCCAAACTCCAGAATCTTCAACACCAATGATGGCAGCCTTCTTGATGCCTTCGGCATTCTGCAGCAAGTTGGAAACATACGCGTCCCATCCAGACATTTTTGGTATCTAAAACAATATAAATTAATAGTTAAAAAATCCAGAAAAAAAATCGAAAGAACAAAGGACGAAAGAAGAACATTCGGTTCACGCGCAAGGACAAAATAGCTTTTTTGATGAAAATTTCCAAAAGAAAATACATTTAACGGAAAGCCAAAATATGGTTTCGCGTTGGGACCAAATTGAATCTATATTGCCGGTTGTAGAACAATATATCTTGGTCAGAAAGTAATAAAGGAAAACTTTAGCTTCATTTAAAACCTATATTGTTTTTTTATAAAATTATTTTTGTATAACGGTTAAATCTATGAACGTATTTAATCATATAATTTATCTCCTGCAATTCGAGAAAACAGGACGCAGTTTGCGAATATTTTTATTCAACTCGAGATTTGTTATGAAATATTATTTTGCGCGCGAACTTATAAAACATTAAACATATTTACTAATAAATCGTGAAAAACCATTTTATCGTATTTCAACATAATATACAAATCTCATTTCAGGTCTATGGCCAAGAATTTTCTAACTTTAACACTTTTCTTACTAATTTTTCAACAAATCTTATCGGAAGTAGACAATGATGAATCAAAATGGCTGGACGTTCACGACCCCTTGAGCTGGGACCAGAATTCTGGGACCAAGAATTACTGCCAATCAGATAAATATATTGATTCGTGCAGAGAAGTGGGTGTTTATTGTAATATTTTTGATTGTTTAGAGAAAAAGAGTCTGAACAGGGATAATACGAGATGTTTAGAGGCTGGAAAGCTTGGAGAAGAAGATAGCAGACGTAGAATCAGAAGATGTGTTGCTGAGGCAGATTCTCAGGCAGTTTTTGCAACGATTGAATATTAATTTAGCCGACGATGTAGCTGTTATGAAGGATGCTAGTGTTTATTTGTCTTTAACAAATGTCAGACTGTTGAAGGATTACTTGGAGAACTACGAGAATAATGATGTTCATGTTAGAGAAAGAATGCGATCTGCTTTAAGTGGATTTATTATTGAGGTAAAGTGATTTTAAGAAAAGTGTTCATCAGATGTTATGGATAACATCGTTTGAGGGCTAAATAGTATTTTTTAAAATTATTTTTATTATTTAGCTACATTTTGTATTTATAATAATTTATGACAATTTTTAGGCTCAAGATCAAACACCCATTTTTATGAGATACCTCCAACCTTACCAACCTTATTTGATATTGTTGAACATTTCCATCTTACCAATTGCTGTTTTGTTCATTATAAGAAGAATAATGTCGCCACGACAATTGTTGATGATATTATTTATGTGGGCATTTTGTGTTTCATTTTGTTTTACTTACGCAAGGAAGTATAAGGTATATCAACATCTTTTTGTTTTAGATGATGTTTTGTTTCTCTAAACGATTACTGTTTTATAATAAAATATGTAGGGGTCAATGTGAAATGACTTGTTGTATGCTTGTTACTTTTTTAATTTTAGGAAAAGCTTGCGGAGAGGTACGAAAGATCAGAAGGAGATACCTGCATCAAGAACAAGTCGTTTTTGGGTGAAGTTTCTGATGTTTTACTCGGATATCTGAGGATAAAAGGGAAGAGTGATTGTTTGAAGAAGTACGAGGTATGTTTTTGATATATATTCCGATTTATTGAGGCTAAAACGACTAATTTCGTTGGTCAAAACTAAAAATATGATTTTTCACTTTGATATTTTTGTCCTAATCACCATAACCGAAATTTTAAAGTTTGAAGTTATTGTTTTATTCTTTCAGGACATCCTAATCGAGCCAATACTATTAATTGATCCTCTGGCCACATTTGGTGAAGTTCTGGCCAATTTCTTCCTCAGTCCATTGGAAGTTTCTGGCAAAATGATGAACAAGTTCTTTAATGACTTCTTTGTGGACACTCCATTACCGTTGGCTGTTTTCAAAGTGATCTTCTTGTTCTTACTACTCTTCTTCTTCATGGGCTACAGGTTAAGAACGTTGTTCTTCTCTGTTGAACCGGTCTTTAGGCCTCAAAATGAAAATTTGAGGATAGAACAGGTTGAAAGGGAGTCGACGCCGATGATTCAGGAAGTCAAGAGTTGCCCGGTAGGTTTGAGATTGATGAGTTGGAGTTTATATTGGGATAAAGCGATTATATTGAGGTATACAAAAGGTAAAGCTTGTTATTTTGATTTGTTATCGTGTTCTATATTTCAGACTCTACCTCCGCCAGTACCACCTCATAGGAAGCCGATAGAAAAGGCACCATCGGACTCGAATTTGGCCATTGAAAATCTGTTGAATGAGATAGAATTGCCAGAAGAAGGTGTCGAACAGATCAGTCCTCCAATACCTCGTCGCAAAAGTACAAATTTACCTCAAGAGCAATATAATTAAGGATCATTATAATAGTTAAAGTTGTAGTTTAGTCGTGTTTGTAAACCATTTGAAGCACATTTAATGTTATATACGGTTATTTCAGTATCATATACCAGTTATTATTGTATAACAAGAACTATTTATCATACATGACATTCTTTGTCATTTTAAAGCCTTAAATTTTTAGTATGACTTTTTTTAATTGTTGTACACTTTATATGTATATTTTGCTTTATAGAACATATGAAAGGAAAGAATAAATGAATTTGAAGTAGTGGGTGTAATATAATGGTTTGTTAAGGTTTTAAATGTTACCGAAACATAATATTGTAAATTTTAAAAACTGCCATTTTTGCCTAACTAGTCATTTACAAGCTGGCTTGGGCAGGGAGTTGATGATTTTTCTTATTGTGTCTCAAAAAAAAACGCCAAATCATAATGTTATAAACTATTTATTGTTAAGAGATCGAACAAAATACCCGTTTCGTAAAGAGATAAGAACAGTATATGTATATAATGTAGTTAGAGCCAAATATGCACATACATAGATATATGGCTACAAATATTTACAATGTAAAAGAAACAGTAACTTCGTAAAAATAAAGTGACGCATGGCTATTTGTAGGTATTACCGTATAGTATATGGCATTCGTATTGCAATAAGTTAAGGTGATAACAATAATAAGGTAATAAAGCTGGTATTATAGACATTATAGGGTTTTGGCAAGTGTAATATATGTATATTCTAATAAGTTTAATGCTAAGTAATGATCTTATTTTGCATTGTAATGACATTATTATTATTTTACATTATTATTTTGTAATGAAACTTTTACCGTGTAAATGCTCTACTTTATAGATATTATTTTACATTTTACTTTTAGCTAAAGACACGATGACAACATCACTGTACATGAATATATTACTTTACATAAAGACCTCATCGCTGGACCCGCTCATCTTTCGATTCAGGGACAAATTCGACCTAGTTTGTGGCAATAACCGAGGACTCAACCCATTGTGAGTTATCGTTGTCGCAGTTGAATCGCCGACTTTGGAAACACTCAAATTGACCGACGAAACCCGGCGATTCACGGCGATCGGGAACACTAGGTCTTCGGTGGTTTCGTTGACGAATCTGACCACGGATGAGTGCTTGGTACAGTCCTGAAGTTCAGGTGGCAGCTCGTCACACTCGGGAACAGTCGGCTCTTTTGGCTGCAAATTTGAAAGGTAAGGTAAGGATTTTGAAGTTTTAGGTACAAAAGTTTTGAAATATTGAGTAAAATGTGATAGTACGGTAGAAAAAAATTCTTAAGTAAGGGTAGGGTACGGTAGGGCAGGGTAGGGTAGGATATGGTAGGGTAGGTTAGGGTAACTTAGGTTAAGACTATAGAGAGTAAGTTAGGACAAGGTAAGATGCAACAATGAAGCAAGCATACCTTGGAAGGCGGCGTAGGCAGCGGCGTGGTATCACTGTGAGGTAGGAAGACAGAGCCATTAAGCATGGTAGAAGCACCGTAACGTTGAGCTAAAGCAGTTTGGCCGCTATGAATGCTGAGCAAACGCTCCGAACTGTTATTAAAGGCACTCGTCAAGCTAAAACACATCAGTTTAAAAATTTTACAACAATTTTGGCAAAGCAACATTATAAGGCAGTAAGTGCAAATAAATAGCGTTAATTCTAGTTCTCTATACTTTTTGACCAAAGAAAACTAATTTTCAGGCCGAATCTATCAAGATATTGTACTCACGTTTGTCTAGCCGTTGTAGCCGGCCCGAACTGTGCCTCGTCCTTAACAATTGTCGTATTCGAAGTCTGAGCACAGCAGAATAACGATCGGAACGCTCTCCTAAAGTTCTCCGCATTCACAGCGTAGACCAGCGGATTCAAGGCACAATTCATGTAAGGAAAAAGATGGATAACATTGACAACGATCCGATCGAACTGCGTAGAGATCCGCAGCCTTAAGATCGAGCTGAACAAGTTGAAGGTCCAGAACGGAGACCAGCACATGACGTGGAAGATGACCACCCACAGTACGAGTCGAGTGACACGATGATATGGAGCTCGTGAGCTAGAGGATCGTCGCATTCTTTTGTTGCTCTTGACTGCAGCTCGTAGTTTGTTGAGGATGTGGTAGTAGAAGAAGATGATCAGGCCTAATGGGATGGCGAATATCAGGATGGAGGAGAAGGTGATGTACCTGGAACGAAATGATTGGTAAGTTTGTCGTTTTGGAAGATAGAAGCTTGAAGTTTGGCACAGTTAAAGGTTAGTTTAGTGATTTTTTTGTGTTATAGACTTCAGTTTGTAAAGCGCAGATTACTGTAACTACAAGGGTTATTAAAAAATTTAGGTATAAAGCAAAAAATTTTGGGTTTTATTTAGGGTTTTGTACTTTTTTAAGCCTAAATTCCCTCCGAGGAGTAGGAGGATAGAATTCAAATGAAAAATCATGACAGAAAACTGGCTTCTACTGTAGTACGGTAAAGTAAAAAGTGGTTCTTAGGTATAAGTTTTCTTAATGAGGCCATTAATCGGCTTAAAGTAGTAAGTACATAGAAACCTTTTTTATTGTAAAGTTTTCATAATCGTATTTACTAGCATTAAAGTCGTCCGGAAGGCTGTAACTCATCTTTCTGACTAACCATTGTAAACAATATTTTTTTTATTCTTTTAGAGATCTTTCTTTGCCAAATATTTTGTTGTAAACACTTTATTCATAAGTATTTTTTAGCATAACCTAACATCATATCACTCCAGACTTTTGTCTAGACGTCTCTAAACTGCCAAGACTTAATCAACAATCTCTTAATTCTACTTGGACCATTCCTCATATTCTACTTGGAAGCCCTCTCATGTATCAATTAACTTACCATCTGGCCGCATCTGAATTCGGCCACTTGGCGATGCATAATTTATGCACGTTTTCCACGCTTCTGAATCTCAGCATAACAACTTCAGCGATGGCGAACAGAGGGAATGACGCGGCGACGGCCAAAGTCCATGCTAGGCACGTCAGGGCCAAGGCTACCTTGTAGTTGCGATATCGTGCACAAATTGATGGCCGGCACATGGCACAGTAACGGTCGGCCGCGAGTAGTACTACGAACATTACTGAGGCGTATTTACCTGAAATAAGGAATGGCATTATTACGTAATTTTTTGTTTTGAAGTTAGGTTTAAAATGTTTAAAATTGGTGTTACAAAGCCTGTTTTTAGAAGACAAAGTTAAAATACTGTATTTTACAGTAACCCTATCAGAAAATCTTGAACTACAAAAATGTTCCTTATAGCCTAAAACATAGTAATCCATATTTTCAAGCCATTTCACTACCTACTCTCCTCAATACACCTCAATATATACTACGTCAACATACCGGTCGTCTCTGTACCATGGTAAAACGTGCATAGTAACTGCCCAAATGGCCAACTCTTATTGTTCAACTGAGTAGCCGCTACTAATACCAAGTTGGCCAGATACATAAAGTCGGCCAAACATAAAGATACCATGTAGACATTGGTAATCGACCTCATGTACGGTTTTACTGCGATGACGAACACAACCACCAAGTTAATGGTTCCCAACGACACTAACAGTAAATGGGTTACTGTAAGTAGGAGTCGCATTTGATGTACTGTAGCCGACGGTGAATTCTCGTCTGAGGCTTTGGGGGCTACTGTGGTCGTGATGTTATCCATCGCACTCAAGAGTGTACTAATCGATGAGGGGGATGTCATTTTGGCATAGCTGAACGGATCGGCGGACATTTGTCAACGCCAAAAACGTTCGCCAATTTTGCGGTAATTTTTACAAACTGAAAGTTTTGAATTTAAATTTGAAATTCACTGTAATTGCGATGTAAAATACGAAGTACAAATGTATGTATATGTCTTAACCGGAGCGAAGGCTAATATGAGAATAACACGAAACATACAGTGTATTAAAATATTAAAAAATAAAAGAAGATAAAAAATTTGAAATAAAAGTTACAGTAATCATTAAAATACAGTATTTTATGACATATCGCGGTCTAAAAATTCATAGAAAAAGTAAAGATGGCTAAAACAATATCAACATAGACAAGACTTCTTTTATATCAAACTATGTTGTTCAACTAATTCTGTGCCCCCAAAAATTTGTTTTGAAAGAGGCTCAGAATTATTTAAACAACCTAGTATATAAAATGTCGTATAGTAAAAACAAGCTAAGAAAAGACCCAACAAGGAACTTCTCAGATATTACTTGCTAACATACTGTACTATAACACAACATGTTTTAGAGTAATTAGAGATGATTAAAATTTAATCAACTAACCATATCAGTAACACCCCAGCTATTCATATTGTACATAGTATCTAGTACATAATACTTTACACTATGGATATAGTATTACATTATAGATATATAGTATAACATTTTACACTACAGAGTAATATGGTATTATAAAGGATATTATACCTTTTACATTGTAGTAATTTTACATGCATATTCTGACAATGAATAACCACTACTATAGGACAATGAATAACATACTACATATACAATAACCGATATTGTTTCCTTGTTTACAAGTTTGGGCAAACAATAGTAATTTAATTAAATTACAATACCCTTACAGTACACTAATGATTTTGTCAAAAAATGACATTGTGTAAACAGTATGACATGTTGTATGTCTTGTTATGGTAAACAACAAGATATGTTGTTATGTTTCTAACAAAACATATATATCATTAAGATAACCAGGCATTTACTGCTGATAACAATTTTTTACTGTACTATGTTACTACATTTAAACTGAATAACCTATGTTACAGCCGCCCATCTGTGTCCAAAGATACCATAAGTACGCGCTAATGTGCCTACCTTGTGTATACCTATGATAACACTAAAAGATAAATAAAAAGCACGTTTTGATATCAACATATATATACAAAACCGCCTTCATATAAAGTGTTCTTAGTACTTGGCGATGGTAGGCTTTGTATATCTTGTCATTCCAATTATACCATATCCGGTGATTAGCTACAAGTTTCATTTTAATTAATCTGCACAGGATCCAGACGAATTATCATGATATGTTAAGAACTTGTTAATATAGGGTAAGGTAAGGTAAGGTAGAATAAGGCAGGCTTAGATAGGGTAATTTATAATAGAATAGAGTATGATAGGGTAGGGTAAAGTGGGGTGGGGTAGGGTAGGGTAGGGTAGGGTAGGGTAGGGTAGGGTAGGGTAAGGTATCGTAGGATAGGGTCGGTTATTATATGATAAAGTAATCTATACTGTTACGGTGTAACTAATCGTAAATAATATTATCGTGAACAGAAAGCGATAAAGACACAAATAAAGATATCACGCTCACTTGTTATGAGTGCATAAAGTAAAGTTTAACTACACGGTTTGTACCCAACATATTGTACTTACTTTCTATATAAAATGTACTAAAATAAGCTCTTATTGTAGATAAATACAAGTTATTTTAAGATTTTCAAGAAGTTTGCTGAAGATGACGTAAAAACGACCAATATACGACCATAAAAAAGCCAAATATAGTCGTAAATTCTCAAAATAGAAAGGCAACAATCAAAGGGGCTAGTTGAAAGAGACTGGACCTATCACAATATCGAAATTTATCTTAAATTTATTAAAAGGCAATAAAGACCAAAGATGTTAAGCTAAAACAATATTACAAAAGGCAGAATATAATGTTTATGGCCAACGACTGACAATAGCTATAATATTTTATACAATTTCAAAGTAAACAAAGCCGAAATCGAAGCCAAACTTTAACCTCGAACATTCTACAATTGTGCTCAGTACTGTGACAAGATTATCCGAGGAAACGCGGGTTTGTACAATAATAGCAAAACAACACATTTAGGCGTTAAAAGCTTAAAAATCAAAAATTTCATGGACAACCAATGGTTATAATCTGAGAAGTTTGAATTTCAAAAATCTTCAAAAAATAAACTTTTTAAAAGCCCAAAAAGTAAAATACGAAAAAATACGGTTCAATTGTAAATTATAAATTGATTTTGTGCGTATTTTGTAAACCAAATTCAATTGAAACTGTAAAACATAGCTTTGAGACTAGTTGTTACCTAAAAACCTCAAAAAGGCTTGTCGCAGTCGACAAGATTCGAACTTGTGCGGGGAGACCACAATTGATTTCTAGTCAATCTCCTTAACCACTCGGACACGACTGCACATAGTTTCAGGGCCTACGATGTAAAATATAACCTCAACAATTTGCTTTTAGAAGGGGCACAGAATTTTTTGAACAACCTGATAGTTCTTACTTCAGCTACAAAAAGGTACAGACTTTAAACAAGACCTTGCTTTTCTTCAGAGAACACAAACTAGAAGTGTAGGCGACAGTTATTCATAATAAGCACAACGAACTAATACAAAAACAGCTACATAACTTGTTTTAATAAAATATAGACTTGTAAAGTCTAAGTGTCTAATTTATGATAGTTTAAGTACTAAGTAGTATACATGTACATACTGATATCAGAGCTCTTGAAAACAATTTTCTGATAATATTAACAAAAGTATTGTACTATCAACAAGTGGTTTGAAAAACGTAAATTTAATCGTACAATGACAAAAAGTTCAATTGGTTTCAATTTACATTCTAGTTAATAGGTAATGATGTGTTCAAGTATGAAACTACAATACAATATTATAGTAGCTTATTCAAATAAATGTGTGCCCACTCTCAAAGCAAATTTTTGAGGTTAAAAGGCACATAATTATTTGAAAAGTTGTAATGGTACTTAAAAGCAGAAGCATGTCATTTTTTGTGAAAAAGTCCCCTCTTTTCCGCAATCCCCTTCCCCCTTACAAAGAATCTAATTCATATATAATAAAAAAGACGCCGGAAACAGTTACAAAATCATAAAAATAGAAAATAATCTTGATTACAATTACAATTTACTACTTGAAAATGAAAGACAGTGGTATTAAAGACAGTACTATGGTATCCACCCCACATTGTAAAAGGTTTGGTTTTGTTGATCTCTATACCCGTTAATCTCCCTCTTCCAGGATAAATGTCTGGAAAAACGGAAGATACGACTGTAATGATATTACGTTGCCAAAACAAACCGTACACAAGTTTGGGTAAAATGACAGTTTGAAAACAGGAAGTATAACATTTGTTGGCTGCAGACATGCAAGTATAACGCTTACTCAGCACTTTGTGTTAAGTACAAGACATGACTATGACTACGTATGATGGTTGTAAAAAGGAATGTAGACATTACAGCAGTTTATAACACTACAAATTTTAACTAAAAAAAGTATATTGTTGAGTCAAAAAGGTTAATATTGACATAAAATTTCGTATTTTAGGCAATTTTGACACATAAGCAAAAATAAAAACCCTAATTTTGTGCTATTTTAAAATCACAGTCATCTTTAGAATGTATAAATAAGGGGTTTATAGACCTTGTTATCTAAAAAAATTATTTGTATTCGTACTTGTTATCTAAAAAGCTCAAAAAAGCCGAACGCAGTCGACAGGATTCGAACCTGTGCGGGCAGAGCCCAATTGATTTCTAGTCAATCTCCTTAACCACTCGGACACGACTGCGCAACTGTAAAAGAGCTTACGAAAGTGGAAACTTCAAAACAATATTCAACTCATAATACCAAAAAAGTAATGAAAAAGCAATTTTATAAATAAGCAAAAACTTTATTTACAAATTGTGTTTAATTTAACAATTGTTTGCAAAAATTTTTAAAAAAAGTTTTGTAGTACCTAACTCAAATTTTTAAAAACTTCTATTTTTTCGAACAAAAACCTTAAAATTCTAATATTTACTCATTGACCAAGCGTAGACTCCTACTTACGATAATTACAAAGTCTGTACACGACGTGCCACATTTGTGACCAAAAAGTCCGCAAAGCCAGCCAAAACCTAGTTATCATTAGTGTCAAAAACAAAACTGTAAACCGAACAAACCGAGTGTAAGAACAGTATTAACCTCGAAAAAAAACTGGCTTCGTTTAATTGTCATAATGAAATGGAAGGTTTTTGACGTTAAACAAGACATTTTAGAATGAAAATTATAACTATTACTAGCATGGTATTGAATAGCATCATACTATTCAGTATCTTTCTAATATAGTACTTAATAGCAGCCTACTCTTTAGTACGTTTCTAGTATGATACTTATTATTATCATACTGATACTAAATAGTATCATACTAATACTAAATAGTATCATATTAGAAAGAATGTAAATAACTATGTAACCCCGATATAATACAAAGAAATACCAAACACACAATAAAACACCAAATCCCAAGAATCCAAGATCAAAAAGTAATCGAATTACCCTTCATTACAAAGCCCGATTCACGCTCGAAATTACCGTGCCAGAATCTCAACGTGATTGTATAAAGTCAAAAACAAAAGATTTATTATGACAAAATGGGATAATAACTACTGGGAAAGTCCTCGGATTCCATGCGAAAAGAAGAATAATATAAGCAAGATTCACTCGAAAATAGACTTGAGGCCAGAAATTACCTAAATATGTAATTTAGAATTCAACCCGAGTATAATTTTGGCATATTTTGTAAGATTTTGGTTCATGATGACTTAAAGAGATGTGATGGACTAGGAAAAGTTGGAGGGGAAATGCAAAATTTTTAAAAATTTAAAAATCAAAAATGTAAAAAAATACATAAAAAAATTGAAATTGAAATAAAAGAAAGTCAAGATTTCAATAAAAAATGTAAAATTTAAATCTTGCC